GGTGTTGTCTATTGACGTGTCATACTTTGTGGCTTGCTCTCGAATTTTTCGTGGTCAGAGCCCGCCCGCGGCCACGAGCAGGCTCTTTGGGAGCAGAATCAATGCCGAGGATGACATTATGCCCAAAGTGACCTCTGAGAGCGCGAGCGGGCGTGGTTTGATCAATTTGATGCTGTTTTCAAAAATTTCGTTCTCGCTGTTGTTGATGTTTTTCCCATTTGTACTACAGGATCACGGGAACAGCGGGAACTCACTCGGCACGGAAGAACTATGGTACAAGTCACGTGACGATAAGATAAGGAAACGATCAGTGGAGCACAGGACGGGACGCTCAGTGATCAGTTGGCATTGCCAACTGATCGCGATCACCTCATGCACCTAGGTGATCACCCCCAGGTAGACAAAGAACACTGTTCAGGACTTGTATATAGTATGACCTGAGCCTGGCTCAAGGTCAGACTTCCATAGCTCTTCAGCAATCAACTTTGTGATTACCCTAACCGGTACTTTCAGCTATACCTAAGTGACGACTACTCTACGACTCTTGTTGAGGCCTTGACTGATCACCAAGACCTTTGAAGATCTACGATCTATTCGACCAGGACCACGGAACGACTGTTACTACTCTCAATCCCTGGCTTACTGTTAACACAAACCCACTGTCAGTTAGCTGGCCGTAACAAGAATTAGGCTAGTTATATAGTAGTATAACGTCGCCTATAATAGCTAATATAGGAAGCTATAAGCTAGGTTTAGTATACGTAAGTATATACGTCAACTAGCTTATAAAGCAGCTTATAAATCAGACTAGAATCTTCTTTAACTAAATAGACTTTTAGATAAGGTTAAAGAGAGTATTCCATAGGGATCTGAATGTCATATGTTTAAACTAGCAAGCAGCCATTCTTAGCTAGTTACTTTTGTAAGTCCTACTAAGTCTTAGATAAGACTAAATAGGATAAATAAGTAAAATAGAAGTATATATACTTATACTTCTAACAGAAGGGTTCGAACTAAGCGAGGGCCTTCCCTCTTAAGAAGGTAGCGGTATAGACGATACGTTCGGTATCGTTCTAGAACGTATTAATATAGAAGGCTTAGTAGGTCCGTATCTATACTAAGTATCTTTTAAGCTGTCTAGAGGTTCTATCGAAGGTAGTAGGGGTATTAAGCTTAAGGCGTTCTCTTCCTTCGACAGGAGCTGATATAACGTTCGCGGCAGCTCGAAGGGTTGTGACTTCCTTCTCTAGTTCTTTAGTACGGCAGGCTTATTCTTATAGCTCCTTAAGGGCTTTAACGTTCTAGTTAAACAGGTTTTTCATTTCCCTAAGCTCGTTATTATTCCGCTTAAGTTGCTACTTAAGTTCTTTATTATCGTTATCGCTATCGGATTCCTCCTTTATTTCCTAGTCTTAAATCTCTTAGGCTAGATTCTAGGGAATACGTCTCTCGGACGTAGACGAGGTTCTAGGAGTAGGGTTTTCGGTAGTTCCGTACGAAGACATCTTGTCTTATACTGTTCGTTAGTCTCAAAAGGCAACTTACTAAAAAGGAGCAATCAAAGTATTACGGCTAGCTATCTAACAGTAGGGTTCTGCTAACAGAAGGTATAGTAAGAGACTAATACTGGTTCGTAGAGGTCGTTCTAGTAGATCGTAGGGTTAGGGTAAGGTAATTAGTCTTATACTATAGTAACAAGGTTCTTAGTATTTATAATACTAAGAGGTAAGCTAAAAGTTATTCGAGGATAAATTATAAGTTGATTGCTAAAGAACTATCTAGAAGGCTTAAGCAGATGCTTAAGTCCTAGTCTATATATAAGTCCCGTTTCCTAATGTCTTAGAGAGTCTATAGAGTCGCTCGTCGACTCTATCGACTCTCTTCTGATTAGTCCTTTACAGGAGTCTACAGAGTCGCTCGTCGACTCTGTCGACTCTGTCCTGATTAGTCGATTGTCACGTGACTTGTAACATAGTTCTTCCTTGCCGAGAGGTTTACCCTGGTTCCCGTGATCCTACGTACATATATCGAAACATCAACAACAGCGAGAACGAAATTTTTGAAAATCGGAGCAAAAACGGCCCCAAATACGCGTGCTCGCGGCCACAGAGCCCCCTTCGATGCAATGCCATCCTCGGCCTTGATTCTACGTCCCAAAGGGGCCTAAGATGGCCGCAGAGCACGCCCCGACTACAATGAAAAACTTGAGAGCAAGCCGCAAAATACGACATATCAATAGACAACACTGTTACCACCACCACAGGCGAGCCACAAGCCGCTACACGAAGCACTAAGACTGCGCCCAAACAATCAACTTCAACACAACAGCCGCCGACAGGTTTTGGGTCACCTGTCACCCCCGACAAAGTTTGCAACGTCCCACAACGACGAAGATGAGTCCGACAGAACAGTATCACCTTCCGCACGGAGAAAGCACCAGGCATTAGGCATGCTACGATCGATGCCACACAATACTACAGACCACAGACAGACTGGTCCCCTGTCGCCCCTTTTGCGAAGAAGGATTGGTGTCCCTTCAACGCGCGACAATGTCTGCGGAATCTGTGCGGGAGCTCTCATACCCAGTAATCGAACATGTCGGAGTCAGTGGAGCATTGTGCTTCGTGGAAGACCCTTGGGCCAATGTGGTGGAGGGCAATAGTGGTCAACAGGCAAGAAACAAGAGGCCACATAGGAACCCGGCAGGAGGCAACAAAGAATTTACAGATGCAACTGAGAAAACGGCACATACAAGTCCGGGAGGATACGGACAAAACAAAGAGACAAAGCTGAGCGCTGGGGGGAGACTGTAGGTACAAAGAACCAGATACGGTGCTACCAGCACCAACTGAACCGAAGCAGGAGGACGCAAAACAAGCATTCTAGAGAGCAACACAAAAGCGAGAAAGCAGACAGGAGAGCAACACACTTCTTCAACAGAGGGCACAAACACACAGAATAGAGAACATAGTGGGGAGCTTGGGGATAGCTGGCCCTGATGCAACATCAGGGCGAAGTGGGGCGTCGCTGTTCATTGTCGACGCTTCGGCTACCTGCCAAACCCCGCTTTCCGGGCATAGCTGCTGGCATAAGAGCGGCTTCATAACCGAGTAGGAATAAATCAATCAATCAATCAATCTACGTACATATATCCTGTCGTAGCCGCCCGACCCAGTGGGTCTGTTAAGTGCATCTGACGGGTCGTAACAGCGGGCGTGTGGCTGGAAGTGCCACACGACTCCGTATTCCAACTATCGCAACACTTGCTTTGCAGAAAGCGCCGCAGCTTTGGTTATCTTCAACCTGGGAAAAGCTTTGACATGATGATCCGAGCTGACAAGAACACCTCTGCAACATTATTTCATTAGATTGATTAAGAATAAAAAGATGGGTTAAATGTGTAGCAATCAATATTTATAAGACACTAATCTTACGAGCAGCCTCGAGCCAAGTATGGAGGGAGCCTGAGGGAGCAGCTGTGTAGGTTGGTTGGAATCGACTTACATGCAATGCATATGCATTTCCCGCAAAAATCGAAAAGGCGATAGCAATGATTGAGAATTTCATCTTGTCTTGTTCTTAGAATCGCAATGATAAAATTGGGAAGTTTTATGTGAGACTGTTGGCTGGTTAGGTAAACAAATCAAAACGAGTTGGATTTAGTAGATTGGAAAACTTCCTCTGGTTAAGTCAGAACATTTAAATATTCCTCCCAGTTTGTCAATGAGCCTACTGCTAACCCTGGACCCATTAGGTTTCACTAATTGATATTAGGTTATTAACCCACCGAACCGGGTACATTAGGAACTTTAATTAGTTTGGGAGGTTTTGTCATTGTTTTGATGGAAATCTCAAGGTGCCGAAAGCTACGATTAAAACAACAAGTAACCTCGAAGGCCCCTAGAACTGACCTGGGTCTTCTTCTCAGGTTACTGGATAACCCGAATGTTCTCGCTGGAGGTGATGGCTTAAACGGAGACTTTTTGAACTGGATTGGCCGCATTTCTCGAGTCGTACAATGCATTGAGGCTTCATTGTTTCAGCGTAGCTCGCTTAGAGCAATTTTGGCAAGTTTTTTGCCTTGGTGCACCCATTTCGAAACTAGTTTTACAAGAGATATGCTACAAGTACATAATTCAAAATCTCCCTACAAAATAGCAGCGGCAGCGGTGGTGATGAAGTATTCACCGAGTGGGGTGTGAATCACCGAGCACACCGAACACACGGACAACTGACCGGAGCATTCACCTTGCAGACCAACTTACCCAAACCGGTCGCAACCACTCCGACCGGCTTGTATCGATACGTCGCATGCGTGATGGCCCCGGGCGTCCGGACCTAATCTTCCGCGCCTCGGCCGCGAGGTCATGTGAACTCGCTCTAGCGCCTATATTCTTACGCATCCTTCGCTCCGCTTGCTTACTTAGAGAATTCAAGCCGTTTTGTTCCTAGTTGATGCCGCCCGTGGCTGACGTTGGTCACCACATCGCCAAAATTGACTTTGACGTACGTATATGGAATGAAACACTTTAAGCTCATCTACGCACCAACAAGACAACAATTCGAAATGATAACAAATACTCTCTTTTTAATACGAACTACCATAAAGTAAGTCGTATTAAAGCTATGGAAGCCTGCCGTCAAACATAGGTCGATGCCTTCTTCGCATGTTCCTAATGTCGCTCCATACAAGCCTTTCGCCATCACCATATGGCTGCTTCCTCGCATCACCCTCATAACACCGACAGTAAACCATATGCAGCGGTGTCCATAACATTCCGGGCCTGCGAATGACATCAATGCTATCAAAGGTCTTTTGCCTCTCGTCGGGCGTACCCTGTGTGTCGTGCGAAGTATTAGGGTGTGCGGGTTTGGGTTTCGGTTGGGGTTTGGAGAGGAACGCACGGCGGTGACCCCATAAGATGGTGATATTAAGACCCAGGTGCGACAGTTCGTTGAAGAACTCAAGGATCAAGCAGTACTTGAGCACGTACACGCCAATGAGTTCACGGCGAATGGAAGCTCCGGGACTGAAGACGGTGTCGTTGGCAGAAATATGTCCCACAGCACCCCAAAGTCAGATACTGTGCGGTTACCTTCCATTCCAACATCACCGAGGAGCACGATTCGATCTATGGCCCCGTACGGGCGTTCAACGTGACGAGGCGGTTAAAAAGATTCAGGCGATAGAGTCCGATATTGAAACTGATGCTGCACGTGGGAAGAATGACGGCGAGTACGGTGACAGCAACCGGAACGACAATGACAACGACTGCATGAAGCTGCAACTAACTTCTTTGGCTGATGCGGCGAGTACCCTAACCCTTTGGATGGTAGACCGTAGAGGGGATGTCAGGAGGAAGAGACAAAAGGAGCAGTTCCGAGAGGAAGAAGTCGAACCGTCGTAATCGGCGTGTGTAGAGCGGGATGAGACCAAACTCCACAACGAAATTGAGCATGAAGATGGGCAGCGCTCATTCCTGAGGCTAACAGATATCATGAGGTAATTCGGCGGCGCTTGATCCGGTAGTCATCTTCATCAGACGAAGGCGACTGTTGCCGTTTAACTGATACGTCATGAGGGCGACTCTGACTCTTACTGTGACCTTGAGCTCCCTCGGCTGGAATGTCGACTTCATCTAGGGCATGTTGTAGCAGAGCTGGGTAGTTTCTGGACTCGTTACTTTTGGCCACATCATCACAACGCCATTATCCTGGGGACTGGGCGGCATGTTGTGCCTGGCGACGAGAAAGCCAGAGAAAATGCTATTTCCTGTCATTCGGAGCGGCGGATCGCCATGGATGTTCGGTACTGCCGAGAGGTGCAGGATGAGGGTACCCTCGCTCGCGACCCAATTGTTGTGGATGCAGATCTCGACACTCTGCATGGGCCTGGATTTGTTACCGAGCTGTGACTGCATGCGTGCCGAGGAGAAGGCGAGATTTCCATGGCTCTCTGCGGTCAGTTGAAGCGAGACCATAATAGGAACGGGACGGAACAATGTTTGGACATGGAATGAAACACCAATAACTACTTGACGTACGAGTTGAGGGAACGGACAAACGAGAGTGCCAGAGACTCCTTGAAAGAAACCCATGGCGGCCGCCCCAGCTTTTTCTCATGCGGCTTCCATTTTCATTACTTAGATTAGTTTGCTCTTCCTCTGTTTGCTTGCCTGGGGGCATCTACCGGCTTTCACTGCCAGATTGATCCTCTTTTACTCTTCTCACAAGTAACTATGAGCGCTCTGCTTCCTTCATATATTGACTTCACAAAGCAAGCTCTTCCGCGATGAGTCATCATATAAAGCTTGCAACTACGATCAGGAACTGGACTGTTTTGGAGACGTCTATTGGGGCTGTGGCCAGAATCAGGCAGTTTGCAAAAGAAACACCTTCCGAAAAGCGAAATCTCGTCGACGGAGGCAAGCCTCCTTCAGGATGGCCACTGAAGGGCGCTATTGAATTCAAGAACGTGAACGTGACTGCTAGATACACGTCAGTCAACATCCATGGTTCAAATTTGATATGGGATATGTTATTGACAATAAACACAGTCAAGACACAGAACCGACACTCAAAGGGTTGTCTCTCTCCATATCCCCTGGACAGAAGATTGCCGTGTATGGCCCCTCTGGCAGCGGCAAGACTTTAATGGTGCTCTCCCTGCTGCAAATGATTGAGGTCGCAGATGGTAACATTGTTATTGACGGCATTGATGTGGCGCATGAACAAAAAGCTCGTGTTCGCGAGCACATCAACGTCATCCCACAAGAGCCTTTCTTCATGCCAGGGACCGTGCGCTTCAATCTTGATCCGCACTCGCGGGCAAGTAGTGAGGACATCAAGGCAGCGCGAGAAAAAGTTGGCCTTCTTGGGAGAATCGGCATGGCGGGTGGCTTAGATGCCGAACTAAATGCAACAGAGTTTTCGGTCGGCGAGAGACAGCTACTTGCTCTCACGAGGGCACTGATCGCCAAGAGCCAAATCCTGGTGCTCGATGAGGCTAGGAGCAGGTATGTCTTCAAGACCTGTGTCATAAAACGAAGATGTGAACTAACCCCGTGCTTAGCGTTGACCTGGAAACGGAATCCATGTTGCAAAAAGTGATTGAGAAAGAATTCTCTCAGCAGACGATAATTTCCGTCATCCACCGTCTCCAATTTGCTCGGCAATATGACAAAGTATTGCTTCTGAAGCAGGGAGAAGTCGTGGAGTGCGATACTCCGAGTGCTTTACTAGAAAACGATTCCGGGTTCAGGGAATTCTTCTCAGTGATGCAACGTTCAGCTTGATAACTATATTGCTCTGGGAGATCATCCAAAGGCGTGAATTTGTTGATGCTGAGGAGTATCAGACTGAGAAAATAGATGAATATCAAACAGCAGACTCATGTCGTATTCTTTCATACTATGGAAGCACTGGTTTCGACATCGTGACGCTCGCCTACGCTAACATGAACCTATTCTCTTCGCCCAGCTTACAGGCCAACGGCCTTCTGCGCAGCCCCGGAGGCCAACAACGCCGCGCTGGTGATAGTGCTTTTCACATTTCCCTCGACAAACATGAAAGTCGCAGCGACAACCTCAAGCCCGTTCTTCTGGATAAAGGCCTGCGTGTTAAATCCCATGCGATCGATGATGTTTTGCGGGCTGTTCCCGAGCTTGCTTGTGTCGCCACCATACTCATATTCTCCTCTCAGGGTGGACGGGTCGAAGGTCGTAGGCAGGCTGACCTCAGATGTATGCTTGAGAAGAAAGAAAGTGTACCGTGACGGGCGAGCCTCTCCGATCACCAAGTGGGCAGCCATGGGCGCGGGTCCGACGTATGGGGAGATGGTGCTGCCGTGGTTGACGATCACCTCCCCTGAGTGGCTGACCGTCACCTTGGTGACCAGCCAATGTCGGACCTGACCAAAGGTGCCGTCATTGTAATGCGTCAGGTCTGGGTCGACCATCAGGAGAACAAACTCTTCTTTAGATGCATCTCCAGGCTGTGGCGGGGGGTCAGCGGAGCCTTCATACGACGCATGATTGATTTGGCTTTAGGTCTTTACCTTGTAGTTCGTGGTAATTGTTGGCTCATCCTGGAGCTCGTCCCTGTGTAGCCTTTCTCCTGGAGCCCTGAGGCTCACCGATGGCCAATGTATGCCGAGGTTGTGAGAGATCTTGGTTCCGACTGGAAGGACATCCGGAATGATCTTATGCTCTTCGAAAATCTTACTAACATCCATGCTTATTTTATTGAACTTTGTTGCCGCAATCCACTCCTATGGTAATGGATAAGAACTGCTTTTATGTTGCAAATTGGGGGGCGGTACATTTAGCTGTGGCAGATATAAAGTCATCACAATAGATAGCCGAGGCGAAGGTAGCGCCATGATGGCATCATGACGCCATGCAGTAAACAAATGCATTATCGCTCTTGATTTTCTTAAAATTTGACTTGATGTGGCCATTATCGTTCCACCGGGTTATATCTAATTCGTCATTAATATTTTCACTGGACCAGATCGATTACTTCGGTGAAGGTGCTTTCATATGAATGCCAATTGCAGGTGGCAGGCCACCCACAATGAAACCGTGAGCCCTAATGCACTCATTTCGATAAGTGAAACTCTCATTCAATCCAGTCAAAGTATAAGATTAGATTATGGAAAGTTCCTATTTCATAAACAGCGAACTATTGGAAAGCCACTCGTGTTGATTTGGAAGGCAAGAATAGGTTGTATGAAGATGACTCTATATGAAGCTAGCAAGATATCCAATGTTACAACCGATACAGGGTGTTGTAACCTCTAACCTCCCAACTAAAAGTGACCCATAATGTTCTTGGGGACATACGGCTCCTCAAGGTACTTGATCTCATCCGCAGTCAGCGTCTTGCCCCTCAGCTCGCAAGCCTCCTCAATCCTTTCGATGGAGTTGAAGCCCGTAACAGGAATTCCACCCTTGGAACGAATCCAAGAAAGGGCTACATGGCTCATGCTCCATCCCTTCTTGCCCGCAATCTCCTCAACCCTGCGAATAATCTCCTCATCCGCCTCCGTCAGCCCAGGGTTCATGGGACCTTTAACCTGTGAGCGCTCAGACTTGTCATATCCCAATGCCCTCGCCAATTTGCCGCCGAAGAGAGGCGACCACGGCATAATACCAACTCCGGTGTCGTTGCAGAAACGGTTCATCTCGCGTTCCTCCTCGCGGTAGCAGAGGTTGTAGAAGTTCTGCATGCTGACAAACTTGGTCCAGCCGTTCTTCTCGGCGACAAATTGCATCTGCGCAAACTGGGTCGCCCACATAGAACTTGCGCCAATGTAAAGGATCTTGCCAGCCTGGACGAGATCGTGGAGGGCCTTCATTGTCTCCTCGATGGGAGTGGTGGGGTCGACTCTGTGGATCTGGAAGAGATCGATGTAAGTAGTTCCCAGGCGGGCGAGAGCGTCGTTGACAGCTTTGAAAATGGCGACACGTGAGAGACCTGAGTCATGTTAGTTGATGGTTACACAGCCAGTAAGTTTCGACTTACCTCCCTGGTTGACATAGTCTTTGCTTTGACCCAGCTCTTTTGTGAAGGCAGGAGTATGCATGTTGACTTCCTCGCCAACGTACATGGCGGACTTGGTCATGAGAACAATCTTCTCGCGGGGAATGTTGAACTTCTTGATCGCCTTGCCGATGACCTGCTCGCTAATGCCGTTGGAATACATGTTCGCCGTGTCCCAGGTGTTGATGCCGCGATCATAGGCGGCTTTGAGGATCTCGAACGATTCCTCTTCCCCAAGCACCCAAGGGGCCCAGTCTTTAGAGCCCAGTGACATGCCACCGAGAATTGGAACTGAAACCCGGAGACCAGAAGTGCCCATGTTGACATAGTCAACCTTGGTTGCGTCGAGGCTCTTCTGGAGAGAAGCGGGAAGGGGTGGGGCAGACATTTTTAGAGTGGTTGATTTTAGTTGGTGGTGGAACCTTAAATTTGGTCTTGTGTAAGTGTTGTGGTTTTGGTGTTGATGTTGATGTTGATGCATTTGTTGCTTGGAATCATTACGATGGGCAGGGTTGACTTCTTCACTTATATATGAATTATTCCGTTGCTACTCCTAGTTTGAGAATGCTGCTACGACCATGATTCCGACTCGAGACATGTTCGTTCGCTTAGCAATTGCGCAAGGAGATAATTACAAAATCCGCGATCATGGACATCGTAGGCTTCAATCTCCTGCTTACAAAGGTACGTCATGGCCTGATTTGGCTTGCGATGCTCGAACCCCTTGAAAGGCTTACCCACAGTCAAACCGGTGCAATGGCGGACATTCATCTCGAATTAAACCGCACAAAATTTAATGGCGGCCAAAGTGAGATTACGGACAATTAGCGGACAACACAGCAGTCCGACCAATTTTTTTCCATTTAGGAAAGTGCTGCAAGTGCCTGGAGTTTGGGGGTTGGGGGACTTTCTGAATGCTTTAACGCCCCAAGTCCGCAAACTCCGGTGCATATGGTTAACCCCGCCCATAAGATGGCCGAGCCGGTCGCGACAACCCATTTTCAGCCAATGACAGCCAAGTGTAACTTGGATTATATGCAGTAAGACGATGGAAGCCAACCCCCAGCATCAGATAGAGAGCATTCAACTGGACGATATCTGCTGCCTAAGTCCGTCTAATATTTTCGTTTTCTGCCAACGGCAACTTTTCTTGTTCTTGTTCTGCCCCACCCCCAAGCTCGTCACTGCTGCCATGAGCACCGATATAATATTCAATCAAACAATTCACATTCAGATGTTATATTGAACCAATGGAACAGTTAAATTGTTAGAATTCATTCACTTTACTGCAACAATAACTTCAATGCTCAGCAAACACACTTACTCGGTGAGTTTGCGTAAGTTCACTGTAACGCAAACAGCAGACGTTTAAGTACATGCTTTCCTACGCCCATCCTCTCTTTCTAGATCAACTCACACTTTTACACACTTTCTAGCCCGATTTATGTATTTCTGGTTCGTCACATCTACTAAATATGCGACGTAAGTGTATAGTTGTGTATAGTTGCGTTGTTGCGCCGCTTGGATTTAGAAGTAGCCATAGAAGTGATATTATACTCTTTGAAGACTGTTTCAAAAGTATTATATAAGTAAGAAGACTTCAGATACCCATTTGAAATGATTAAGAACATTGTGTAGGTTATATATCAAGAGAAACATCAATTCGGAATAACCACAGCTGCGGAAAATATGGGGTTAATAACGTATCCTTATGTGTCAATATTGTTGGAAAACTGTAAGTGGGAGATTAAGTCTTTGTGACCGTTGCCTCATTAGTTTCAAAGGGATATAACATGAGACATTCTGTAGCATAATAGACGCTCTCGATGTTCAAGTTTTTGTTGGCCGGGCAGGCGGTCTTCACGCCATGTCTTGAATATCTGATGCTTTTGGTTGCATCAACTCTGATTCGTTGACACCTCGGCGTCATATGATAAATGTGAATGCGGTGAGTAGCAATGGGGAAGGTTTTTTGCCAAAATTGAGAATATTGGTCCTGAAAAAATGTGTTGGAGATAAACGAGTTGGAGTCAGACATCGCCAGTGCAGGTATCTCATATTGTGATAGGCCATGTTCCTCGTATCAGATACGAAAGTCCTTCTCTAAATACACACTGCGGGGGACGACAGACTATTAGTCCAATAGAACGTAGGGCCATTGTTGTAACTGTTGGCCCTAGATACATGGTGTGTCACTTCGGCCAGCCATTTTCCAGGACTATGACCGTTTTTACATACACAGATACACTTGCGTTGGCTTGGAATGGTCGTACTCTGCACGTCATAGCCGTCTATGGTCGCTGGCCAGAGGCATTTTGTCTTATTATCAGAGTACGAGAAAGCCGTGGTGGTGTGGTTTTGACGACAACGTCTAGTTCTGAACTCATTCAAATATTCTCCCAATTTCTACATCGCCCAATCTTGTTAAACTGACATGACCACCCGCAGAGAAGAGTCTCGACATTTCCGATGTTATTTGCATCATCGGCAACTATAGTCAGAACACTGCAATCAAATTACATGTGCCATTAAATCTACCAATGTCATCATACTAGCTACCAAGCGGCTAAAGAAGCAGCAGGGGAAAGTCCTGGTACATCTCAGCTTGCATTCGGGTGGTATTTCACCCTTTCTTGATCTCAACCTGGGCAACCTCAGCATCTTCCTTTACATCTTCGACCTTCTCTACGTCGACATGTGGAACTCCATCGCCGAAGATTTGGCTAATCTCTTCAAGCGAGAAGCCCTTCGTCTCTGGGAAAACAAACCAGATGGTGATTAAAAGAAAGAACAGGATGCAGCAAAAGAGAATGTAATACTTCCACGCGATTGCAGCCATTGCGATGGGATTGACCTGGTTGGCGAAGACCAATGCAGAAAAACTGGTGATGTAAAGTGCCGATACACCACGACTGCGGAGCGAATAAGGCCAAATTTCGACAATGTAAGCTTGTAGAAGTGGTGACCAGGCGAAAGCATAACCGAGATTTGTTAGGAAGACAAAGGCAACCACGGCTTTTCCAAGGCCTGCGTCCTTGGTCTCGATAAATTTGGCCGTGAGGCTGGTCCAGATGATATAGCAGATAAACATCGTGCCAGTTGACATCAACCATAGAGTGCGGCGTCCCAATCGGTCCACCATAAGCGCTCCAATTCCAACAGCGGCGATCCAGTTGGCCACATTGAGCAAGGCGTTGATAAGGGTTTGATCCTTGCCTTCGGTGATTCCGATAGTGTTGAGTATCAGGCCAAGGTAATAAGATATCATGCCCACGCCATTCCACTATTATTGTCAGGTTAGTATTATGAGAAAAGTGGTTTCGTCGTTGGCAAAAGGTACTCACCTGAGCAAACCAACCCACAATGAAGGTGATAAGCAACCGCTTTCGATTGGCTGGCGTACGAAACAGATCTAGCCATGAATGTTGAGACATGACATCGGCTTCGGCCGTTAGAGCTGCTTCGATTTCGACCAGTTCGAAATCCACAAGAGGCGAGTTTTCATCTCCACCAGCATGGTACTTCACCAGAATGGCACGGGCATCGTTTCGACGACCATTGGCTACTAGCCATCTGGGCGACTCAGGGAGAAAGAATACACCAATGAACTGAACAAGAGGCATGGCGCCTTGGAGGATCGAAGGAATCCGCCAGCTCCAGTTTGACTCCAGTTTAAAAGTACCAAAAGTACACCAAGCTGCAATGATACCCCCAAGGTACTGTAGCAAGTTAGCTTCATCAAGCATACCTCAACAAGTAAAGAAACAATGTGTTCACTTACGAAGGACGTGTTGTACAACGCAGTCAATTTCCCGCGTTGCGTAGGGTATGCAAGCTCACTAACAAGGATGGGGCTAGGAAGAGACATGAAACTGGTAACGAAGCCGATCAGGGCTCTTGATGCAATGAACATAGCCGCGCTGGTAGAGAAGCCTTGCATGAGAGGAAGCAGAACGCAAAGGAATGCACCAAGGGCAATGCACTTCTTTCGTCCGTAGCTATCGTTCAGGTATGCAACGATGAAGAGAGCGACGATCTTGCCGGCGGGATAAACAGCATTCATGGCCCCCAGCATGGCTCCAGTAGGGTTGTCAAAGTGTTTCTTCCACTGTGGGAGTGTCTGAAGGCCGTTCATCATCGAACCTGTACCAACCACTATCAATATCTTCACACTTTTGGCTTCTCCTTTGTTTTATGCTGTGAAGGATCCTCAGCCTAAGGACATACCATCGTACCCAATTGAGCATGAAGACATAAGAGGCACCAGCAAGCAAAGGTTGAGTCGTAACAAGTGTGGCACTCGATACCACGGTCTGGAGTCGTCAGGCAAGACCTGTGTCACGCTTTAGATCAGATTTTGATACACCCCAATATTAGAGAGGCACTGGTGTATGTGAAAACTCACCTTGGCCAGGGAAAAGCCAACAGCGGCAGCCGCGCCGTTCTTCTTTGAGGCCGCCATCGAAGGAAAAATAAGTCTGGAAATGGACACTCGTTTTGTCAGGGGAAGCTCAAGACAAGCTTTACCTCTCAAGACAATTCACCTACTTGACAAGAAGAAAATATCAATGTGTGCACGTCGTGGGCAGTTTTAAAACTTTCCAGCTAAGTGGAAGAGCCTCCCTTCAGCCAGCCCCGTCTGAATCATCCACTACCCCGTGGGGAACAGGAGGAGTGGAGAGTGTGGAGGGCATGGAGGGCGTGGAGTGCAGACATCCTTGTATGGTGGGGATGCTTGCTCGGAACAAACGAACCACCCACAACGGCACTGAAAAGGTACTGTGCAACGACCATTCCTCGGATTAGAGAGAGGCTAATGTAACCTGACAGTTGCCCCACGTGGAGCGAAGGTAACAACAAAGCAGAAATGCTCCGTTAGTTAGCGCCGGCTGGTCAATATCCGGAGTGAGTCCTTGCTGAGTGTAGCCCAATCATTGTAGGAGTGACACCAACGACATGAGAAAAGAACCATTAAACGTCAACCGATTATAATCATCATTAGTTCCAGGGCTTCGGCTAGCTTGCAGATTGGTAGAATATACCCCCCTGACTCAGATTGACTCTGGGCGTCGAGTCAACGCGATCCTTGCAGAGAGGCACAGACGCAGGTGCAAACCATTAGTGACGCACGGCTAGGGTGGGAGCATTGCAGAAAGGTCCACTTAGGTTATACCCAGATTGTATCTGGTAGGTCGTCTTGGAAATGGACGATCCCACCGCGTGGGATTCTACATGTCTAGCAATAGGTATACAAGCCAGCTGAATGACCCTAGGCATATCTCTCATATGCCCGAATTCCGTGACTTCGAGGCTTCTGGTAGCTAAATATCTGCCGGCACAACGATACATCCTTATAAAAAGCCTGACTTACGAGTCTCATGGCAACTGCATGCAGATACCGCGTGAGGCTATTTAAATACTCAAGTAATAATCGGTTTCTGCTGGTGCTTCATGCCAACAGCCCATGGGGAGGAGGAGACCAAAATCAAGTGGAAATCTTTAAGACAAAATAAAGCAATTCCTGCAGTTGGGTTTAGAGCTAGGTAGTGAACGTTAGTTTCGGTACATCTGTCATAGCCTTTGTCTGTTTGTCGTATTTCAATATTTCGTCATATTTCAAGTCAATGTTAGTTGTCTTTGGAAAGTTTTCGTCTGTACACAGCCTGATTCAGAGTGCCGGACGAAAAGTGGCCGAATTACACCTCTTCTTATGTTTTTGATGCCACCTCAGGTAACATTACCACAAGGACACGTGGGATCTCCATTCTTCGGTGACTTAACCAAAAGAGTAAAAAAATCTCATAGAAGCTTGTTCCTAGCCCAAAGGCCGATTACGCATCTGTGTGATTCGGAAAAGGTAGCCACTCGTGAGATGCGCGAGTTTATGTGTGGTGTCTGTGCTCCTGCATCCTGACCATAACTACGACCTCATTCATGACCCCTTGTCTTTCGAAATCTGCACCCCATATCTGTTTCCCCGCAGAAAGATCGACGAGCCCTCAAGTCCTCCCCAGAACGAACCAACTGTGGGGACGCAAAATCAGGTTTGATGGAACGTCTTGAGCCTTGCATCCTTGGTAAGTCGCCTGTGGCTTTCTGATATTGGAGTTCCGCGATGTCATAGAAGCAATCAGTAACGCCCATTATCACATATATAATGACCCATTATCCGCCAGTCAACAACAGCGGCTTTTGTGTTCTCTGCTATACCGCTCAATAGTATTGCCAGCTTCACTAGAGTAATAACAGTAACTATGACTTTGACAACCCTGCAAGCGAACTGCCTGCCAGCAACCTTCTCTTTCACCGTTCCCGGACTCGAGATTCTCTCTTATCAGGCCAATCTTGTTACCAACTACAGCACTTTTGTTTAAGAGGCATTTCGATTTGTTCAGCCCGCAGTCAATCTTCACAATGCAGAATTCTGCAACGTTACAATCACATATACCCACCCGAACTTGAACGATACCTTGAATGTAGAAGCATGGCTCCCAACTAAGGATTGGAACCAACGTCTGCAAGCTGTTGGCGGAGGCGGAAACGCTGCTGGGCGTCTGAGCCTCTCCTATTATAACATGGCCGGTGCCTTGGCTGACGGGTATGCCACTGCGACCACAGATGCTGGGGGCCCAGGCAACTCCGTCCTTATTGCACCCGGTGTCATAGATTACAATAGCATTCGGAACTTTGCCCACCGTTCGCTTGGTGAAGAGGTTAGTGAGAACTCGAGATTGAATAAACCTTCTTTTGGCTAACAATACTAGGCTGTCATTGCCAAAGAAGTAATCCAATCCTTTTACGGCCAGAAGCCCCTTTACTCTTACTGGAATGGCTGCTCGCAGGGTGGGCGTCAAGGTCTTTCCTTGGCTCAGAACTACCCAGATGCATACAATGGGATCTCTGCAGCCGCGCCAGGGCTATATGCTCCTCAGCTAGCGCCAACCATGTACTGGCCGCAGCAGCATATGAACAATATCAAAGCCTATCCACGGATGTGTGAGGTCGACGCTATTGTTCTAGCTTCGGTAGCCTTTTGCGATCCCAAGGATGGCATCACAGATGGGTTGATCTCCGATCTGGACAGTTGCGACTTTGACCCATTTACAATGGTTGGGAAGGTAACTACTTGCAACAATGCCTCGGTTGTCATTTCCGCTTCAGCTGCGAGCGTTGTCAGAGCAACCTGGGATGGCATTACATCTGCTGCCGGGGTTAAATTATGGCATGGTTATGCGCCTGGTGCCGACGTCACTGGCCAGATATACCCTCTTTTCAATACCGCGGGTGTGGTCGCTACGAACTGTACCGCTGGGCCCTGTAGGGGGGCCTCGACAGGCCTCGGCGCCGACTGGTTTCAAAATTACCTCGCCAAAGATACAAGCTTCAACGTAACCGCCATGACCCAGGAAGAGTTTGAAAAATTATATCAGGAGGGCATAGACGAGTTTACTTCAACTTCTGCGACAGCTAACACTGACCTGTCTGCCTTCCGCGATGCAGGCGGAAAGCTCATCACCTTTCACGGTTTAGTAAGTGCTCTTTGGTTCATCCATCACCTTTCTGCCTCCTACTTTGCACATTTTACGGTACTGGAAATAGCGTAACCGGTATCAAAGAGCATAAAAGCTAACACAAGTCCCAACAGGCAGACGCGGCCATCCCAGAAGAAGGTACCCGCAAGTACTATACGGATGTGTCTGAAAGATTTCCAGATGTCTATGATTTCTACAGATACTTTCCCATTCCGGGGCTAGGGCATTGCATGGGTGGTCAAGGGGGACAGCCTACAAGTCTCTTTGGGCAGCTTCGCGCCTGGGTCGAAAACGGAACTGCACCCACATCCCTTACCGTGTCTTTTCCTGGCACGAATGGTACTGGGTTTGAGCGAGTCTTATGCCCTTATCCCAGAAAAGCGCGATTCCAATCCGCTTGCGGAGATTCAAACAAAGCGTCATGCTGGAGTTGCAACACTTGTGTGGGTATATGAGTTGAGGAGAATGAATTCATGCTCGTTTTTATGGGTCACTTACTCGTCCAAACTTGGCTGAGCTAATTATGGTATCCTGCACTTTCAACATTATGTGACTGTCAAGCGGTAATAACTTCATACATTTGTCCGTAATAGATTGTTACAGCAGTCTAGAACATGTGTTTGTATGACGCGTCTGCTTCTCGACCCTTTTACAAGCGAGTCTCGCCGTTGTTGATAGATAGGAAACAAACCACCTTCCTCCACCGAAGGTTAACGTCAGTGCTGTCTCTGTCAGATAATACATACCACAGGACACGTCTACTAGCCACTGCGCTATACCAGTTTCTGAAGGGAGCCTTTCACGTAAATGGACAAGCGAACCTTGGGAAAGTCTTGTCGTTGTTTGGTAATGGGGTTAGGAGATGCAATGGGAAAGAGGTTGAAACTGAGTGGAACCCTAGGGACTGATAAACAACCATTACCTACATTAGCTAGACATTCAAGAAGACCCGATTTCCTCTGAGTAGGGAAGAGAACAGGGATGAATGCAACCACCACCCGACGCCTATCTGAACTCTTCAGTTTGTGCCAACCAGTATATGAAAGCGAAAAATTACGGTTTACGGAAGAGAATGAAAAAAAATACATGGAGCAACGTATGAAGCTGTCCCTTTATCCCCGCTTACCCCGATTTCCGCCTCCCCGCATACGATGATCGACATAGGACCGCATGTACCCTGCCTAATACGACTGAGACCCCTGTCTTTTCCAAACACGAGTACACAAAATGTCGTATCAAATACGATAGGTACACCGCGACGGGCATTCAGTCCCCGGACCAAATCCAATTGAGTGCCTTCTATAGACGAGCTGTGCTCCAATCCACCCTGGCCAGTACTTGCCACTACCCGTTAACTATCCGGACATTCATGCTCCGAAGCTCAAGTTGCACCTCTTGCCACGTGTGGTCCCATGTAAAGCGTGGGTTCCATTCTGCCTTGAGGGCTCAACGCCATGAAAGAGTCTTGGCTATGGTTAGCCTCATCATGTGCTGAATGATACATTCCTGCGGAGACGGCCACGTAACAACGAGTCAGAATGCTCAAGTCAGAGCTTGGCAGCACACCTTATGTTTGAGCTCTTTCTATAGTCACACTGCCGTGAAACAAACTCCCCTGTGAACTGGTCTGGGACCGAGTACTATGTAGTGACTTTTCCACTCTCTGGCCCACGGGGTACTCCGTGAGTGTGAGATCACCGTACTAGTGAGAGGATGAACGTTTGCTATCTGGGAATTCTAACGTGTTGCATAGGAACCCGCAGCCCAGGCCTCGAAAAGTATGTCACCTCGAGCACAGAACTCGCCATGATCTGGAAACCTGTCTGCATGGATTTCGGGATAGATATGGAAAAGGTCGGTCAAAGGAAGTTGAAAATGCCAGGTGGGTGGCTGCAAGTTTCATGCATAATTTGAATACGTTTGACAATGAGAACGATCCATTTTCTCGGTTGTTAGTCTATCACGACAAGCGATAGCTTCGATAAATTTCGTGGCGAGAAAATGAGACTATAGTGTGTACCGCCAATCTGCTTGTTTCTCGTTCAAAACCTTGCCTGCATCCATGGCCTTGTTCATTTTCCAAAGGTAAACAATCAAGGATTATTATCATGATAATGCTTGTCATAGATAGAGCAAACGTAACCCAAACTCCCGTCTGTTCGAGTTAGCGGCAATGTTTAGATCATCGGCGCTGAAACTTTGCTTACCGTGTAGTGCGGGCTCTCACTCGCTACGAATGCGCAGCTTGCTACAATTCCTCCGATTTCCCCTCCGATCACACATGTCGCAGAGGCCACCGCTCGTTTCGAATGAGAGGTGATGTTGTTAGCCTGAAAGGTAAGAATACCCGGGACACAGAACTGTAAGAACCCAATGCCTTTGTTGTTTTAGAGTCAGTCTTGAGTCGTAGCAACAAGATAAAATATTGACCCCCTACCTAAGAACGAGCCGAAATAGCGGACTGCATTCGCCTTTCCATAGACCGTGATGAGCACACCAATTGCTGTTACCGGTTGATGCACCGCTATAATGGGACCTCGGATTTTGTACTTATCCCCAAGCCATCCCGAGATAAGAGCTACGATGGCGGCAAGAACATAAGGAGGCCCAGTGAGAAGTTGCGACTGCGTAGTATTGAATCCCATGCCATCGCGGAGAATGATGAGCAGAAAATAAGAGTAGGCGTAACCAGGAAGTGTTGATGTCATGAGGCTGAATGCCCAGAAGTAGAGTTTCCAGTCTCTGAGGTGAAAGAGAATTTTGGCGATAGTAAGGTCGTCTTCTTCAGCATCCCCACGGCCGTCATTGAGGCGGTTGATGACAAACGCTTGTTCATCTGGTTTGAGAAATTTCTCTGCCTTCGTGGGGAAGTCAATCACAATGAACCATCCTGTCATACATATGACAACCGTGATGGCACCCTCCATGATGAATATCCCTAGCCCCTTTTGCTTCAGAAGTTGTAATCTACCACAAATGAAAGAGGCATGGAGTTCTCGAGAAACTTACAGCGCCAACCTTTTAAACCTTGAGCTCCACTCAGCATCGTGAAAACGTAAGCCAGGATGGCCGAGAATCCGCTGGCAAGCACAGAAAGAATCCAGAATGCGGACAACCTTTTGCCCACCTCAAATCGTGTGTACCAACATGTGATCAAATATGTACAACCTAGGGCTTTCAGTTATCAACTGGGTCTTGATTGAAAAGAAATTTTGCCTACCAGGGAGAAATCCTGCCTCGAATGCTCCCAGAAGAGTCCTGCAAAGAGCCATAGTGCCCCAGTGATGGGTAAATCCCATACCAATCAAGACTGCGCCGAATGATACGCCCAGAAAGGCGAGCCAATTTGCAGGACCGGCGTTGGGCAGAATTAGATTCTGAAAAACGTGGTAAGCGACCTATGTAGCTTTACGATATTTTGATGGCCTACACTTGGGATCTCGAAAACGCTGGCAAATCTATTCAGTCCTCTTCATGGAACGGGAAGCATAGGTCGGCTACACTTACATATACGCAATGAAAAAAACCATCACGATCACCGTGTACCGGTTGCCTACGGCGAGGGCAAGATCCTCTTGCATACCGGCCACGAGTGCTAGCCCCAAGTTCGTTCGATCGATCAGGGAGATTGAGTACATAATTCCTAGAATTGGCAAAAGTTTGAAATCGACACGTCGATTACATGGCTAATCAGATAATACTATCCGCATTGAACAGCAAGAATATGAAGTTAGGTTTCACTTACATGACCCTCTTTTGTTGACTAAGGCTGAGGCCACCCCCGATCTCCGACTTGGTCTCTCCAGATTCGGCATGACCAGTGCGAGGTTCTTCTGTGGAAGCAAGTGCAATAGATTCCTTTTGTTCCGCCCCAAAACCGTTGCCCCTGGAAGTAGCTTGGGAAGGCATGGCCAAGTCTAAAGAACAATAGTTCGTAGAACTAACAAAGTTAGACCAACTGTGCACTTACTATCAGTGACCGTCCTCCTTATATCAGCAAAATCCAAGCACTTTAGAAATTCAGGCCTAACTCCAAAGACGTCATGCACGGCTTCTACACCCCTCCCCACTTCACATCTCTGGGGTTGCTCTCTGTATACTCCCCCTCCATTGTTCGCGAAACTGGTGGCCGTAGTACATGCATGCAGGGATGTGTCAGTCCGGGGAAAGGTCTGAGTCAGACTGTTCTAAAGTCGTCTTAGTCCAGAGTCGACCCATGAAGCTCAAGCATGTAGCCTTTTGGCTAGGTACGACTCCATCATAATCTGGTTCAAGCTGTAACTCAAACCCTTGAGATTCTATCAATCTTCTTTCTCCTTGAAGTTTGGGTGTTGGGGTAATGACCGTGTACCCTCGGGCCGAGGGCTTTGGCTGCCTGTGAGGTGAGGAGTTACAACATTTAGCCATTGACTATTAATTGACCGTTTTATTGCCCAGCTCTGTGAGTCCTATATAAATCTCGACTACCTTGAGTCAAACAGCCAAGATGTGAACAACACCGTTTGTTTCAACAGTCGTCAACTCGAGCGTTCCGGGTTCAAACAACAACAACAATGACCATTTACAAATCTACCAAGAAGATCCACATCCCAACAGACCAGAATTTGACTGAACTGCTCCATACTACCGCTCGACCAGACAACAAGCTCAGACAACAAGCTCAGACAACAAGCTCAGACAACAAGCTCGGCCAGCATGTTGTTTTCGAAGATGATTTGGAAGGTAGAACAATCACTCTTGAACAACTTAGGCAGAAAGCAGGACGATTGGCCTACGCTCTGAATGCTCATTACAAGCCAGTGGATCAAAGCCGATGGGCAGTGATTCTACCCAATAGTGCCACGATAGCAGAAGTGGTTCATACAATTCTTTGGCTTGGTGGAGTTTTCTGCCCCATAAATCACCAACTGCTCTCTTCAGAAATAGCGCATGCCCTTGTTGTATCGCGGCCGGCGTACATTATCACGTATGGCAAAGTCATTCAAAAGATCGAGGACGCAATTATTATTGCTCGTAAGACCAACCCAGGCTACAAACCGGAAATTATTACTGCGATTCATCATGACATCAACTTTCAGCACTGCAGCCTTGAAAAAGATTTTCCAGCATCAAATCAGCTACTTGTACCTCACTACGCAGACACCCGGGACCGCTTAGCATCTATCCACTTGTCTTCTGGAACGACCGGGTTACCGAAAGGAGTCGGATTGTCACAATACAATTACCTCTCAAACGTTTATCAGCTGTGGAACCACGACCCCGAACGTTGGAACACAGAAGAGTCTGTTCTCTCAGTCACTCCATTTGTCCATCTCGCTAATGGCACCGTTCCTTTCTTCCTTGGTCCTTGGACAGGTGTGCGGCATATCATCATGTCAAGCTATGAGGTTGAAAAGCTCGGTAAACTGGTGGAGGAGAGGCGACCCACAACTGTTCAAATGTTACCAACCATACTGCAAGGCGTGTTACGGTCCCAGCTGACGACGCGATACGATTTCTCCAGCGTGAAACGAATCACTGGATCTCATGGGGGTTTGAAACGTGACGAAGAAGAACAGCTCTTTGGCAGAGGCAAGTGGCAGCCACTTCAAATGTATGGTTTGACCGAGGCAGGACCTTGGGTTGCTGTCCAAAGAGTTTCGGAGCATCTGAAAAAGGGTCAGATGGGACAGCTCGTCCCTGGCTTGGAGGGCAGACTGATTACCGAAACCGGAGCTGACGCAAAAAATGGCACCTCTGGAGAGCTCTGGATTAGAGGACCTAATGTTACGAAAGGGTACATTGATAATCCGGAGGCCAACAGAAACGCGTTCCCTGCGGAAGGCTGGTTCAACACCGGCGATATTTGTGCAATCTCAGAGGATGGAATTGTTTCTTTAGTGGGACGCACCAAGGAGCTGATAAAATATAACAGCTTTCAAGTAAGCCCGAACGAGCTTGAGGTCTACTTGTTGCAACATCCGGCAGTGTCCGATGGTGCAGTTGGACCGACCTGGGACAAGGCCAAGGACACGGAAGTACCCACAGCCTATGTGGTACTAAACAAAACATTTACAGCCGAGGTTTCAACGATTCAAGTTTTGCAAGACATTCAAACAAAGGTGGACAACCAGGTGAGCGGTTACAAAAGGCTGCGAGGTGGGGTCTGGGAGGTGACCGGGATTCCAAGAAATGCTAACGTCCCACACCCACTTCTGGGCACCCCCCACATTTGGGCACCCCATTTACACCAAAAACGCCGTTTTTCGAAATTCTATATTAAACTAAATACTTTACTTATTAAAGAGAATAAATATATATTAAATAGATTAAGACTTAATTATAATACTTAAGTAGCTATATACTAGTATTATTGATAATAAGTATTATAAATTCAAGGTTTAACATTTATAATACTAATTTACCTAGCCTATATCTTAATATATAAAATAGGTAGAGATATTTAACTAATATGATTAGAATTTTTAAGTAAGATATAGTAGATTTATATATTCTTATACTTAGTAAAAAATTCTTTAAGCTTAGAATAATATTTTAAAATTTCCCTTAAGAAAAGTTTCTATTATAGAATTTTAACCCTTAATTATACTATATTTACTAAAGTAATACTTTTAAATCTCTTTTAGATATAATTATATACTTTTAATAAGTATAAATATTAATTTCCTAGATTTTTTAAATAAGTATATATGAGCGAAAATATATTTTTCTAATGTTAAGGAATACTAGTAAGTTACTAGTATCTACTAACATTTTAAAGCTTTTAGTTTTAAACTTCTATATTATAACTATTATTATATTTAAACCTTTATAAAAAATTAGATGGCTATAATTATACTTAACATAGTTTATATATATTTTCTTTTCTTAGTAAGTATAGTAGTTAGTTTAATATAGAATTTCGAAAAACGGCGTTTTTGGTGTAAATGGGGTGCCCAAATGTGGGGGGTGCCCAGAAGTGGGTGTGGGACGTTACGTCGAAAGTTTTGAGAAAGAAGCTGCGGACTTTTGTCACTGGAGTATGTTCAAAACCAGTTGGTAATACTGGATCACGGCTATAGTATTAATATAGGGCAAACTAGGAGATCTAAACATTTGATGGAATGTTCAAAAAATCCGGTGTTCTTCTCTGCAACTTGTAGCCTCCTGACTCAGATCGACTTTAAGCATCGAGTCACCGCGATCCACCTCATGCAGAGAGACATAGCTCGTTGTGTCTAATAATGGCATTCATCTATATGCTACATCGAAATACTCCCAAGCTTCAATAGGACCTTCTCTATAAAGCGTACACCCACCAAGATGCCATCTTCGTCTTGCATCTCCTCACCTCCAAAGTCATCATTATCTTCATCAAGGCATGTGAGGCAGGTGACAACAACAGAAGTGTATATATCGCCCATTTTAGGCGGAAGCCGATTTCTCGCCAATTCCACCAGATGTTCTTTGATCTTCAGCGTCTGGGCAACATTTCCGGGCTGGAAATCAAAGTCGCTCGGAGTCAGCCCCAATTTCGGCCCCGGGATTGTACTGCCATCGGCCTCCAGCTGGAAGTTGACAAAGCTTTCCCAGAGCCCGAGCTCGAGTAGACATACTCCCAGGCTGTATACGTCATGTTGCATTATGTATGACTCTTGAGCTTGGATGCCTTGGCGGGTTGGGTGTCGATAGAGGTTTCGCTCCCACGCCTTATCGCCAACCTTCATTGTGTGAAAGTTAACATTGCGAAAAGAATCGAAACCGACGAGAAAAGCAGAGCCGAGCTGCGAATGCGGGACAGACTTGTCGTCTGGAAAGACGAGAATCGTCTCTGGGCGGATGTTTTTATGCACGAAGTCGAACGTGTGGACGAAGCTGACAGCTCTTGCCAACTGCTTTGCAACATCGAGTACTCGACTCAAACTACAACTCCGATCTTGCAGGAGATGACGACGCAGGCTAACCGGCATATTATGTTCGCCGTGATGGGGTAGTTGAAAGGCCAAGTACATGGAGCCGAGCCGTTGGGTTTCTGGGTTCTTCTTTTTGATGACCCCTTTGCAAGAAAGCAGACCAAACGCACGAATTTCTTCCTTTTTGAGCTTCTTTGCAAGTCCCTCGGTATCTGCTCTCAACCGAGAAATGTCGTAAGACGTGTCGCAGACGATGGTATCAATAGCGAACATCTTTTCCGAGCCTTTCCGTTGAATCAAAGCAGTGCTTGAGTATTCTATCTTTCTGACGCTGCCCCAATCAAGACCGCTTTCTGGTAAGGTGACGTGTATATCGCATGCTCCTTCTCCTTTCAGTGCTTTTCGAAAACTTTGCGCCGAGGAAAGAGTGTTGCTAGTTGCACCGGAACTTGATATCGGGTAAGCTGATGAAGTGCGGCCTTGTGCGACATCCGTTGTTTTTGATAACTCATCATCAATGAACTTGTTGCCCATACGAAGTATCAAATACCATGTCGGGTCGAAAATGCTTTGCCACTGCTGCAACTGTTCAATGGAGTCATCAATCACTTCACGAAGCCGAGCATACTTCCATCTCTTAACACCTGATTCAGGCCCAGTCTTGACCACCGACTCGATCTTCTTGACGGCAACAGTCAACTTGCTTTGCAAGACTTCGAGAACTTCCAAGTGTATCCGACAGTGCTCTTCATCTAGCACCTGAGCGACTCTCTTCACGAACTCGACTTGGATGGCGGTCTTGCTCCAGATGGCTTCTACAATAAGCAGTTTGGATTGCACCGCTTCATTGGCATCCTTAATGTCTCGATATACCCTCATGAGAGTTTTCCCATATCTTGAAAACATCCTTTAGCATCATGCACAGCGCAAAAATATGACATGCGCCATTTGTAATCAGGCTACGTACTTGAGGCACAGGTCCGCTGCGGACACAGCTGCTAATACCAGTTCAACCGACATGGGGAAACCAACAGCTGAATGCCCAATCCCAAAGGGTAATTCTGGAGGATACCAGTCTATGCTTGCACGGAATATTTGGCTTCTCGAGAGGACCAGAAGTCGGGCGGCTGAGGTGGTTTATGTATCTAGGATAGCTGGCAGGGGCTGTGCCTCGGAATCTGCCTCGCTAATGCAGAAGCTGAGGGTGGGCGCATTCGGCACCGAAGCCCCATCTACTTGCAGTCTTTGTGATCAGGCTGAGGCCAACCCCTCCCGCCTGCGCGCGTAATTTTAACGCCTTCAAAAATAAGAACAATCCGACACTCAGCGTATTCTGGCGATTTGCGATCGCAACTTGGGGATCTTTCCTGTGGTTGCGCGGCCGCAAATGGACAACAACTTTGTGGCGTTAGTTTATCATTCAGCAGATCACGAGTCGAGAATTCATTGGGCAAGCCGCGACATGACCGTGCCGAATTTCATCCCACGATAGCCCGTTCCTCGACATGCCTCCTCATTCGGACCTTGTGCAGGAATCAAAGCTCGAGACAATATTCTTCCCGACTTACACTGAGCATACTTTCTACAAAAGAGGGGCTTCGGGGCGCGAATGGAGAATACGGGTACAAGAACAATGGCAGCGAGAACGACGTCTCGGCCAAGGTGCCTACGGCACAGTATGGCTAGAGACATGCGACCGGCCGGCGAAGAAGAATGGGCCTGCAGTTAGAGCAGTCAAAGAGATACCACTGGACCCTTCAACCTCTGAAGGGATTGACTATTATCAAGAGCTAGAGGCAGTCATGAAGTTCTCTCAAGATCGAGTAAGCCGGATTGGACATGAGTCCTTTCGAATCACCAGGCTTTGCTAATACCGCATGACAGTATACTCCATCTTTTGTCGAATCCTACGGCTGGTTTCAAGGCCCAGAAGCTATATATATCGCTATGGAATACATCCCTCATGGTGACCTCCAGAAACATCTTTCCCATCCGATTCCTGAGGAAGAGGTGAAAATGATTACCCGACAGTTAGCGGAGGGTTTAAATCACATGCACAAAAATGGCTTCACGCATAGAGATCTAAAACCAGGGGTAAGTATATATACATATAAATCAAGGTTATCAATTGAGTCAGCATTTCTCATGTTTGGTAATAGAATATACTTGTGGTTTCAAGAGGCCCTGACTGGCTTGTACAAATTTCGGATTTCGGTATTAGCAGGCGATTACGACAGGACCAAGCCACTTTGGGTACCATTCGCAGGGGGACACTAGGCTTTATTGCACCAGAGATGCTTGGTTTCATACAAGACCGAAGTCATCCTTATGCTGTCGATATATGGTCTCTTGGGACTGTGATCTTCAGGATGTTGACAAAGAAGCTCTTTTTAACGGACTTCAACCTTCTTCAAAAGTATGTCACTGGAGGAAGCCCTTTCCCATCAGGCGATCTTGATCTATGTCGACCATCCCCCCCGTTGAAGGCCTTTTTGCGCCAGTTATTAGAGCCATCGCCGAAAGAAAGACCAACGGCAACCGAAGTTCTCGCTCACGACTGGATTCGAACCTGCGCTAATATTTCGTTGGACCACAATGGAGCCCAAGAAGCCGCCGGTCAGAACAGTGGCCACTTTTCTCAGAGTCCAAGCATCGAGCGTCACAGCTTCGAAAGCGATACTGGCGCCCCATCAGCGGCGTGGAGCACAGCCATACTTTCGGAAAATATTACCCAGCATTCACGCAGGGCTACCACGGTGGCATTGCCAGATTCAAGACGTGCTATGCCGCGCGACTCCGGAGTTGCACTCGAGGACCCGCGAATGCCAATCCAAGGGAAAGCGAACGAGGTGACAAACCGGACATCAAGAACCTTGAAACACGAACTTGAGCCTCATCCGGAGTCCCAGTCTCCGCCACTAACAGCACGCTTTTTTATTGACGAGAAAGGGACCACTTATCCAACTCTCGATGTTTCCGACCGGGCCAGCCACAATATTGCAAATAAAGATTTTCGACCGATTACTTTGCAGCCAAAAAAGGCTCAGCGTGAACACTCAAAAGAAACACGGCCTTCAAATGCATCGAATTCTACTTGGAGTCGCTTTTTTGGTATGCCATCCAGGAATAAGAAGGATTCGCAGCATAACCAACCAACTAAAGACGATCGACCAAAACGAACGGCTACAAAGCCAGTGAGGGATATTCCCTCGTCTCCCCACGAAGACAGAAAATCCCCAAAGATTGATCTCGCAAAATCAAAACACGATGAAAAGCTCCTCTTCGCGGCCCAGTACTTGGAGATGTCAAGGGGGGCCGGTTTCGCCCGGTCAAGCACAAGTCCCAGCCCATCACCAGACCCGTTGCCACGGCAACCGAGTCCGCGAGCTCAAAGTCGAAGTCCACAGAGTTCAAGATATGGAACTGAGGTGCCTCAGGATAACGGGCATGCCGAACCAAAGGAGTCTGGCTTTCGCTCATCCAAGGAAGAACAAGAATCAGACAAGGCCCATCCACCACCGCCGAGCGACCATAATGAAATACATAGAACGGACAGACAGAAGTGGTGGGCTAGCAGGCAGAGCACTAGCCGACAAAGAGTTACACGGAAAGTTGCTACGCCGAGTGACGCTTTGAAAGCCCAGATTCCCTTGGGGTATGACATTACGTTATGGGACCCCCAGAAAGAGCCCCTACTATTTCTGAAATCAGTATTTGATATGATCTCATTTAGCGACTGGCTTGTCGACTGTGTAGTTTACTGTCAACGTGTAGACGATGAAATAGTCGAGGGAGATGCTGATCGGATTATGGAACTTGTGGTAATTTTAGAGAAACTCGATAAACGGGCTGGTGAAGCGGAGCTATATGCTCATCGGCTTCCAGGGCGAGACATTAGAGAATTGGCCTATGATCTAAATGAGGGCTCCCGCCGGTTATTCCGGAGATTTCAGAATTTGCTCCGTGCATGGGAAAACACCTTGATGGATGAAAGGAGCAAACGAGGTGAAAGAAAGGCCGATTTTGGCTTTGCCAGTCTTCTGGGCCAAAGCAAGAACTCGGACGATTTGGAGAGATTTATGACTTCAGTTCGCTTGTTCATCTTGCGGTATGATGCTAACTTGGAAGCATTTTTTGAGAGCTACAGAAACGCCGAAAGGGATTAGGCTTCAGTTACAGCTAGGATAACCTCGTTTGTCAAGGGTGTTATTTCCGAGTACAGAGGCATGAGATTTATAAACAAACACACCTCGTGATTGGCTGCAATAGTGCGTGGCGTTTTGAATATTGGCTTATTAAAACCTCAGGTGGACTACACAGGTTATGTAGTGGTTTCTTACTATGTCCCAGCCACTGCCCAATATCATCAATAAGTTTTATAATAGAGCTATACCTTTACAAGCTAAACGATAAGCAAACGGCCAAAGTCATAGACTTCATGCAAGTGTACAGATTAGTTACATAATCTCTAGCTAGCCTTCAGACATCGGACTCGCCGACGCCAACGCAGACATTCTGATAGGATTCGCAACTTCGTCTACCGTGCGCTTGGTGGAAATATTAGTAAGGAATCTAGGTTATGTGAACTTCATATCAGGATATCATTGCCAAGTCAGTGATCCAATTATTTTATGGCCAAAAGCTGAACAGATACGCATAGGGCTTATTCAGGCCAGCACTATGACTCTTTTCTATTACGGCAGAGCCTTTCTAGATGTGGCAGTCTGATTTTTGTACCACGGTCTTCTATTATTGAAGTCCTGATCTGGATGTCACTTCTGCTTGATACTAATTCTGTCTTAATTGGGTATGTCAGATATGGGTGACATTCGTTTAGTTTTTTCAGGTATAACAGCTCATCAATCCAGCTTGCCGGTTTTTGATGCCAATAAAACCACAGCCAGACACAGCCAGATCACGATGTGAACCAAGGATCATTCAACCAAGATCTACATTTGCGGTGATAGGATAACGAAGGACTCGAACTGCAACGCTTATAGTAGTTGGTCCGAGCCACGCCACACAGTCAACGTAAACAATCCAGGTTCAAGCAGACAGAAAGGGAAATGCGGCCATTATTATTACAGCAGCCCATAATTCCAATAAAGAAGGCAAGCTTCATACCGTTGAACTAGTGACCATTGCTAATGGAATGTCCAGTTCGTATAAGTCTTCAAGGGAGAATCGCGATAGCCAGTCTTTACTATGACGCTGATTCTTGGGACATACGCTCGTTTACACAACAAACTCCATTCATCACTTATAGAGGTCCCCACCCAGTCCACGCTCATTATTATCACATGATTGTATCCACATCCCGTTTTACATCAGCAGCGCTCTCGTACTTATTAGTCCAACAGCCCATGATGATGTGTCCTCCCCGTAAACAAGAAACATCCGGAAAATCTCCTGCCTTGAACCTTTTCGTGACCTGTTCATCATAGTGTTCGACGTTATTCCTGTCCAGCCTGTCCGTAACACCAGGCTTACAAAAAGGCCACCACCCGGTCATTATGGCGTAGAGCACAGATCCAAGGGCAAATATGTCCGTAGCTGGCGTCGTCTCGAACTTCAAGTTCCAGAAGCCAGCGTCGGGTAGTTGCCCGCCATCCAGCCCAAGATGTTCACATACCGAACCATTGAAGTCGCTGAGCCACATATCCCGCCCGTGAATCATAAAGTTTTCAGGTCGTAGGTCAGAGTGCACGACGCCACGATCGTGAATATATGCTATGGCATCTGCTGCTTGGCAAAACCACCGTTTTCGCTCAGCCATAGTGACTGTTGTTAACTCTTCTTCAAGGTATGCCTGTAAGTTACTGTCGGCTTGTGCTAGCAACAATCCTTGGCGGCCCTCGAATTCGCGACATCCGTAAAATCTATGACCTATTAGTAGTAGCAAGGCACTTCATGAAGGAGAAACAGACGGAAGTATTAGCTTGCTTTCCCCAAGTGCTTCATAGATCCCCCGTTCCACTTCAAAACCTTTTGCCCTGTCTCGATTGAGAGCATAATGACCTTCATTTGTGGAGGGAACTTCTCTTGGTACTTTCAGAACTTTTCCCGGCTCGATTTCATATATGTTTGACGATGAGCCTCTCCATCGAGGCTCGTTCATAGCCGCCATCATCATGTCGACTCTTTTTGATTGAGGTCAAGGGATAAATCATGCAGGAGGAATCTAAGCGCCATTTAGCAATGCACCCATCCTAGTCCTGTATGTAATTAGTCAGCACATGTAGAGGTGTGAGCCATGGTCTTAGAACAGTGTTCTGCCGATTCCTGCTGGCCAGATAGTCGTGGTCGAATATGATGACTAAGATTGATTCGACCATGTGAAACCATTTTTCCAAAGACGGAACAAATTCAGTATCTAAAACCCGTAGAGAAATCTGTCCAGTTAAACGACCAGATATCAACACTAGACTGAGTATCCCAGGTCTTGGTAAAAAGGTATCATCTGGCCCTCAGCTGGCCAGCTAAAGGAAAGAACAGCAGCATAATCTAAATAAGCATCATTCGGAGCTCCTAAAATATATCGAAAGTACCTTTCTTCGTTTATTCTATTATTTCGTTAGTCGACTACTTCTTAGGCCAACAAATTTAGTTTAACAACGTCCAGTGAAATAGAAGGATAGTAGCAGTAGGTAGCTATAACAATAGCAACGAGAAGCCTGTTGGGCGGTGGCACTACGCACAAGCTGGCCCCGAACCTCTGAGCGCTCATGGGGCGTAAGCGCAGTGGATTCCTCCATGAAAGTGCCTCTTTACCACACAGACAGATCAGATCCCCTTCAGCCAATCACTTCACGAAAATTAACTTTTGGGTGGCGCATGCCCTTGTTGACTACCTTAATGGGAGAGTTTCACCTTGACGTCTTATCCTTATCAAATCGAGGTCCAGTTGACCACAGGTACATCCTCGTGAGGAGAACTAGCCACGAAGAGGCCAACCAGGACATTTCCTAGCCAACCATTAATTTGACTGAAAGGTACCTGCACAATGTGCAGAGTCTAGCTTTGAAGGAAACAAGTACCTGCATTATCAGACTGACAAGAACGCAGCCTGGAAAACATAGAGTTTAATAGTCGATGGTTATGTAGCCCTGGTATGAGGAGAAAAGAACGTGTAAATTGGTGATTATGCAGCTGTAGCCAACCGGACCTTGATGGGATACTTTCATTCTCGTTCACAAGAAAAAAAAAAGAGAAAAAAAAAAGGTAGTCATTATACTTCACCACGTCTGCCATATGCCATCAAATTAGCATCGACTTCGCAATACGACAGTCATTCATTGCAATAAGCACCTTTTCTCGCACCTCGCGCGTCAGAATTTTCAGCATAAGAAAGCGGTTTGAAATACAATGCTTTTCACTTCGACTAGATAGTCCAGCTAACGCGTAAGTAGAAACGGTTGCCACGATGAGCACCAGCAGAGCTGGTAATTTGATGACGACTATCGATCGACTCTTAGGCCCTGAGATAATTGATGACCGCCTCAACCACCTTCAACTCGCGGTCGCCTTACGTGGCTTCCAGGTCCAGACGGAAATTCTGCATATCCCCGAGCGATTTGGGTGGTTCTCGTCCGGTCCTTCCCGCCTTCAGGTCCACCAGGGCCGTCTTTTTGCATATCACATCTTATGTCTTGTTATTTGGGGCCTTTGCGTGGCTCTGTTTCTGGGTCTTACCTACTTAGACCCTTCGACTTCGATGATGCCAACTTTGAAGTTGATGGGGATTTTGACTGTGGCTATGATCGTGATATCTTGGACTGTGGTATGTCTCGAAAAGACAAGATCACCGGAATATGACTGGGGGAAATGGAAGTCGCATGGGGAATGATAGCTATGTTGCTTAGCTGCTAATTGGCTGTTTACATATATTCTCGCATCAGACTACAAAAACCCTGTCTTAACATTGATCATCCTCTCAGACATTCTCTTGGTTTTTTTCTTCTCACTCAGTCACTCTAGTCGTCTTGTGTCAGGGCACCGCTTTCTCATTTTTAGGGTCATCCATGTTCGTCTCATGGCCCGAGAGGAGACGAACGACCAGCTTGACTGCGTCCCTCGAGACCTAGATCTCTCAAAATTGTCCAACGGCCGCCATCAGAAGCAACCGAAGCCCGGATATGTGTTGTACTCAACATCCTTGGATATGTTCTACTCGCAAGTCGCACACTGTCCAGCGTCTTTATATTGAGCATAAAAACCGTTTAAAGATTTGACCCTGTCACTTTCAACTTTGCCTTTCTCGCTGATTGCTCAGAAGCGAAAACGTGAGAAGCATCTTTTGCAGCTTTGCCCTTCTCTAATTTCTGAAAAGTCTCGAGCTCTAATTCATTCGCTTTGTGTAATTGTGCCCTCCAGTTGCTTGACAACAGGCCTTTGTTGGCACTCAGCACTTCTGACGGCAGCGCAGCGAGACGGTTCGCTATGGAGAGTACATCGCGGAGAAAATGTTCCCTCGGTACGATCTTGCTGACAAGTCCCAGCGACTCAAGGTCTTGGGCACTGATGCGCTCGCCCGTCATGATGAGATGAGATGCTTTTTGTCTTCCCATGGCAGTTGGGAAAGTAAAACTTGAGCATGCCTCCGCACAGAGGCCCCATTTGATGAACGGGGTAAAGAAATATGCATCTTGGACAACATAGACGAGATCAAACAAACCAAGGCTGCTAGCGCCGTATCCAACACCTGTTCCATTGACAGCAGCGATTGTTATCTTTTCGCAGTCAATCAGGAGCTTGTTAATCTCACTAATTCTCGAAGTTAGTGGAAATATCTAGAAAATAGGGGTGGGATAGCTCCTTACTAAAGCACCCTCGGAGCATCGTCTGTCTCGTGGCGGGTAGTCTTCGGCAAGGAAAGATCCATGCCTTCATCAACCATGCGTTGAACGTTAGCTAGCAAGTCACAGAGCTTGAACAGATTTCTCAGGCCCAGATAAATCTTTCCATCGCCAATATCTTACAGTCTTTGCTTACCCGTAGAAAAGAACTTTCCTTCCCCTGTTTGAACAATTATCCTAACTCTAGAATCATCGATTGCCCATTTTATAGTTCGCAAGAGACCCTAGAACCTAGTGTAAGTCTTTCAAACTCTGTAAACTGGTAACCCATGAGCGCACCTTAATAGCGGCGTTGTTGATGGAGTTTCCGGTCTCAGGTCGGTTGTATTTGATGATAAGTACACCATCCTCACATAACGTGGTGGTCAAGAACTGACATTCCGGTGGGTTCGCCATGGTCCTGGCCCAGCTCATGTGAGAGACTCAAGCCTTGAAAGAGTGCTGGTTGAGAAATTGGCCGTGCAGAAACGTGAGAGAGAACAGAAGTTGTGGTCCAAAGGGCTCGTTAATGGCATTGGTAGTCATGAAAGTGATATCCGGCCTAGTAATGGTCCGAGGTAGCAGCCTCATGCAGGTACAGGTAAGGTACGAGCCGCGAGCGTGCAATCTTTTCAAGCTTGCTTCGATTGATACAATTGGTAGAGATAAAGGAAAATCTAGACTAATCTCGGCTAGATATAAATACGACTTGATCTATCAATGATTGCTTACTCAATATGAACTCGAGTTAGCAAGTCGGTGCCGTCACTCTGCTGTCGGGATGAGAAGATGTGCATGTGAGGGGAAGCCGATTCAACTGTGACCGGGTTCAAAGTATCCGAAAGGCTTCCTATCCTTTCGACAGCATAATGCTCTGTAATAGGACTAGCGAGGTAATAGTGGGATTCTACAAACATAGGCTAAGGCTCTAAGACAAACCAAGGCATGTATTACAACCCTATCCCATTGAGTGCTGACTGACCTCACTTTTGCCAAGGGCGGGGTAGAGCCAATTAGGGCTTGTATGTTTACCATTTTTGTTAACTCATGTACTTGAAGCTTGCATACATCTATCCTCTGGAATTTTTAGAGGGACAACATGTACTGGCGATCTCTATCAATACAGAACGCTACATCGCAATGACGACTAAACAAAAGTGCATTCAAAGTACTCCTTATGTATGATCGTAGTGCGGAGAAAAAGTGGCTACAAAACTGGAAATTTCGAGACTTGGCAAAAGTGAGGTCAGTCAGCACTCAATGGGATATGCCGGCTTCGTCACCCGGAACCAGCATTCATATCTGTTGCCCAGCTCCAGACTACTGCCAGCCAACTGCATTGACAATGGAAATTCTAGATATCCGATTCAATTTGGATTGCCAAGCATACGTAGTAGAAGTGGATATCCGTAAGTGTGCGCTCCGCAAGTCAACTAAGGTAGTGTCCGGACACTGAGCGTCCGGGTGCTATCCGTCCGACTCAAGATTCCTATGTAATGCATCATCAAGGACTCCTGCGACAGCGCAGAATTCGCTTTTCCTTACTCTGAGAACAGTTCCTAACGGCAGCTATTTCTTTGGGCTTTCAAGCTGACTTCGTTACTTATGCTTGTGTCTTCTCGGGCTACTAAGACGGTCGTCAAATTGCAGTGTCCAACTTTGACCTGCTTTCCATCGTGAATCATGTCACCACAGGAGCCTGAGATGAACGGTAGCACGGCCGCGGGGTACGTGGCGTTCCCGCACCTTGACAGCGACGCGACAAGAGATGGGCAGCCTGTGCTCAACCGTCATTCAACTTTCATCACGCGAGATCATGACTTTCCACCTGCAAAAGTGTGTTAAGACCAGCCAAATTCCCGATGTTCTTCAAAAAACTGACAATGGCTAGGCAATGCTCTACGCCGCAGGGGTTCCCGACGAACATGCGATGCAGACGAGCCCACAGATAGGAATTGCTTCGGTATGGTGGGAGGGCAATCCTTGCAAGTGAGTCTATCATCTCTTGAAGTATTAAAGGAGATGTAAATGCTGGCTTACTGATTCTGTGATAAGCATGCACTGTAGGTATTCTCGAAAGCCTTGAACGACGTAATCGCGTGCTAAGGTAACCATAAACAGTGGGAGATTTGGCAGCTACGATCCAAAAGTCAGTTCAACAGGAAGGATTTTTGGGCTGGCGATATAATACGATAGGCGTGTCCGACGGGATCACTATGGGGAACGAGGGTGAGTTGTTCAAAGCCACCTGCGTGGACGCGTATTGGTGGCCGGTCTAACTCGAAATCTACAGGTATGAGGTTCTCATTACAATCACGGGAGATCATAGCAGACAGCATAGAAACAATGACCTGCGCCCAAGCCCATGACGCGTGCATCGCTATTCCCGGTTGCGACAAGAACATGCCTGGCTGTGTTATGGGGCTGATCCGCCATAACCGACCCTCGGTGGTCGTGTACGGAGGCACGCAGAGAGGAGGCTACAGCAAGACGCTCTCACGACCAATCGACATCAACACGCCGTCGGAGGCAAGGGGCGCATATATTCTGGGGAAGTTGATAGAATGGGCCCCGAACCAGCAGCATTCTGCTGAAGAAATCATCTCTGACATCGAGAAGAACTCGGTCCCGGGGCCAGGAGCTTGTGGCGGCATGTACACGGCAAACAGCCTGGCAACAGTGATCGAAACGTTAGGGCTCTCCGTGCCAGGCTCTAGTAGCTCACCTGCCATGTCACCCGCCAAGCTCCGAGAGTGCGATCGAATGGGGGGAGTCATCCGAACATGCCTGGAAAAGAACATCCGGCCACTCGATATCCTTACACGGCAAGCATTCGAGAATGCTCTAACCATGATGATGGTAGTTGGCGGCTCAACAAACTCGGTGCTACATATTCTCGCAATGGCGCGAACGGCCGACGTCGATCTGAGCTTGGATGACTTTCAGAGAGTGTCTAGCAAGACACCCTTTCTCGCCAACATGGCTCCTAGTGGAAAACACACCATGGAAGATTTGTTTGATATTGGCGGTATACCATCAGTGATGAAGCTCTTAGTAGCCGCTAAGCTGTTAGACGGTTCGACGCTCACTGTAACCGGGAAGACGCTCGCCGAGAATGTCGAATCATGGCCATCGCTGCCGCAAGGACAAGAAATCATTCGCTCTCTCGACAACCCCATTAAGCCTAGTGGCCACATCGAGATACTCAAGGGTAATATTGCTCCCGGCGGAGCGGTGGCTAAGATCACTGGCAAGGAGGGCTTATGCTTTGAAGGCAAAGCAATGGTGTATGATAAAGAGCACCAACTATGCACGGCACTCGATAGAGGAGACGTGCCAAGGGACGAGAACGTCGTCCTGGTTGTGAGATACGAAGGGCCCAAAGGGGGGCCTGGAATGCCCGAACAGCTACGAGCGTCAGGCACGTTGATTGGGGGTGGATTCAAGAATGTAGCTCTTATTACCGATGGTCGGTACTCGGGAGCCAGTCACGGCTTTATTGTCGGCCACATCGTCCCTGAGGCTGCTGTCGGTGGCCCTCTCGCAGTTGTGCAAAACGGCGATGTTATTCGCATCGACGCCGTCAACCATCGCATTGAAATGCCCAACGTCACCGACGAAGAGATCCAGCGACGGATGCAAGCCTGGAAGCCACCAAAGTTGCCGATCAGGAAGGGCACCCTGGCTAAGTATGCTCATCTTGTGTCTAATGCTTCGTATGGAGCAGTTACAGATGCGTTTTAGTTATTTAGGTAGGAGGACCGCTCTCTAGAGAGATTTGTCTATATGAAATGGACGTTTCGCTGGAAGCTTTCGAAGCTAGGCATATTTGCCTTACGACGCAATATTTCATGTTGCTTGGAAGGCCCGTCCCTTGCAAAGAAAAGTTCTGCGAACGGCACAAACTCTAGAAACGCCCCCAAATTTTGATACTAGGGGTTTTCCCTGTATACCGTGCATACCTTTGCCTATTTGCTTATCGCAAATTTCCGCATTAAACTTAAGCTGAGTTTTAAGAGATCAAAGACTGAGAAATTACACATCTTTTCTTTCCAGCGCTACCTGTGTGCTGCGAGCCAACTTTATGGGGATTTACTGCCGCATATCCTAGAGAGGCACCGAAAAGTCAAGAATTTTACATAGTTGCTGCTTGTTTTGTAGACTCTACAGCATTTTCTTGTGGGCTGTTATGGTATAGGTCGTACAACATTGGATATTCCACCATGCCCAGTCTGCTGTCCGTTGTCTCTTGGAGCCTTCTGAAATCTTGGAACGCGAGATCTACGTCAAATTCCAACGATTCAAGGTTTGGCAGCGCGATAAGATGAGAATTTGGGGACCCATTTGCAGCGTGCCCATCGGATCCGATGCCACCCGGCAGTACCTGGTTTGAATTGGGTGAGACGGCATTCATGTAAGCGGAATGTTGAAGCTGGCACTGTCCTGAGAGGCCGCCGCACTCGCAGATATGCACGGCTGCTCGCTCCATTAGCTTTGCTATGATAGAGCTCGCCCTTTTTGCTGCCGAGTAGAAAGCCTGGTGCTTGGAGAGACAATTAAGGCAGATACGTAGAGCTTCGACAGCTCCAAATTGGTCCCCATGTCGAACAATCATGTGGATGAGTACTGTGGCCCCGATGTAGGCGGCGTAGCAGAGGCTGAATGTTTCGCTGAGTGGCTTGTATAGTTTTTCGTGTACTCGTAGAATATGTGTGATCTCGGAGGCGGCTTTCCAGCAGGTGGCGAGAGCCTGACTTGCAATCGATCCTGCGGATAGGGAAACATCGGATAGGAGTAATCGATGCACCAGGATAACAAGAACATTATACACAGCCCTGTATCACGCCATGTCAGAGCAGTCTCAATGGCAGTAAGTTCCGAGTGAGACACTAGGGCTTACTTACAACATGCTAAGATTGTACGGTAGCGGGCTCATTTTCGTCTTGTACGTGATGAAGTCTAAATGCGTGGGAAGACATTGCCGCCATGCCTCCAGCTCAAGTTGTAGGTCCAGAGCCTCTTTGCAGAGATTTTCTGACGTCTGGGTCAGATGACTGACGGCATATATCTTGTTGTGAATACGTTCCATTACAATGCTTAGCCTACACAGACTTTTCAATGTTGTGATGTGGTATGACGGTGAAGTGCTTGGCTGTGCTGGGTCGCAGAAAGAAGCCCCCGGAAACAACTCAAGCTCTTCGTAGTCATCAATGAAAACAAGAGGAACATTCGTATCAGACATTCGGAGACATGGGTGTCTGCCTTGATACAAGCACTGGATCTTATCAATCACTATACGCATGGCGCGTCAGCAGCAGTAACCAGATTTCACGCTGCGGCAGCCGGTTTTTGGACCTACTGAATGCTCCCCAATATACTCTCCGTCGAATCTCAAGATCCTCACTGGCCATTGTTTTTGACGTGGGCGATTCAACGTGAATGCCACTATCAATTATCATGTTGAAAGCGTTCCCGGCGTAGAGCCACGAGATACTCCTCTCACCGCACCGGGTGAACAGCGAGCTGGCCATGATTAGTAGTGCCTGGATCGTCGTAATATGTGTCTTATCAAATGATGCACGAAGAAGCTCGTCGAAGCGCTGCCGGAACGACCACCCGGAGGTTGCCCTATCGGCCGCATTCTGTCGTATCATCTTTGCAGGGCTGTGCTTCGAAGCTGCGTAGTACATGGCATTAAGGAGAAGTCTGGAGAAATAAGGGCCGCCACATGCCATATCTCGCATGAACGCAGTGCGGTAGACGATGAGCCCGGCATGGGGTTGACGAGTCCAAAAGATGGACAGCAGTTGCATGCCGAGTTCAGGCTCGACTCCGTCAAAGTCAAGTCTACCAGTTGAAACATTGACATATTCTAATTGGCCTAAATGTTATTGAACCTGTTAGTGAATAGCCACAACTTGTGCCAGACGGGCAAGGAAGCTGGTGTTCAGGGATGGGCATACGCTGTCTTGCACTCTCTGCAACCAGTCTATATCTTGCCTGCTCTGTATCCTCTGAGAAACGTTCCTCGGCGTTGTTACCTCCCTGAAGTCGTGGGATTTCTTCGAAAAGGACGCTTGTTGGACCATGATAGCTTGAGTGGTTGTTCTGGGGTGCTTCTGCCACCGGATTTTGTGTCACTGGCTTCTGATTGATTATGATAGTGAAACCCTGGGGCTTTTCCAACGACTGGCCCTCATTTGGGTGAGATACCAAATGATCACTCAAATCTCGCTCTTGAACTTGGCCCGTCTCATGGGGTCCTGCAGATACAGCAGGGAAAGTCGCCGTTTCTTCTGATGGGTAGCTCTCTTGGGCCGAGGCTTCATTTAGCAGTTGTAGTAGTCTGCGATTTTCATCTTCAAGCTCCCTGATGCGTTTATTTGTCGGCCTAGACTATTTGTATGAGCATCGGCTCGACAGTGATACTTTTCTACGCGATTCAACATCTAGCATCCTTACCTTGGCTGCTGGTTCAGCGTTTGGGGAGAGCATTCCTGACCACGAAGCCTACATGACTTGCATACTGGCTTTGCGCCATCACACCGAAGCTATGATTGCAATCTAGTCAGCCGCTTTCAGAGGAAAGTTGAGCCGACAAAGACATTGAAAGTATCTCCGATTGCCCCGTAACGAACAACGCCGGACGGCTTCGATTAAAAGGCGACGTCGTTATAAGCCGGTCCTGGTTTCAGAAAAGAGACATTCCGAGCTAACCTTCTTCTCACGGCAGTTTTCGCAGGCCAAGGTTGTCCTCCGTGAACGGGAAGTTTCGCTGGGGTTGGAAACCATCATGGTCCGACGAACGTGGAATTGTTCTGTCCGAGGTGGATGCGAACGCCGGTGAGCTTCGGCCTACCTTAGGATGAAATGTGTTTGGGCAACCTGTGTTAACAGAAAAGCGGAGAAAATGGAGAAAGGAGCCAAGGTTGTTAGCGCCGGGGTGTGATGGTCCGGCACCTCGGGTAATGCTTACGCCACTGCAAGAAAGGCATTACGAACGACTGCCTCACGATGCGTAGAGGGGTGCTATAAAGACAAGGTGTCTACACATAATCTGATTCAGTTGTACCAACCTAGAGCCAAACGGGAAGGCTGACTTCGGTTCCTATGAGTCAACCTGCTGCTGCAATAACAACCCTGGCTGGAGATGGTGGGAATGAGGGGTTGTTAAACCCCATTTATATGTTAGCACCACATGTGCCCTGCACAGCGAATTCGAGTGCAATTCTTAGGATGGTATTTTCGTATGGAAACTACCTACCTTTATAACGGTCGGTTTTGCTCAGAGTCTTACCCTATAAAATAAACCACTTCTCTCACCGAGGTGGAATTAAGCAGGATAGTGACCTCTGTGGGGCGCTTGGTCAGGGGGTTAGGGTAGACTTGGAAGGATACCTTTTTTACTGCAAAGTTTTGAGTCCCTTTTCTTGCCATGTACTTCGCTTTTATTAGGGCGCCAGACTTGCAGACGCGCGCGATTTCAGCAGTCCTCCTTTCATGATTCTAAAATCCTCCTTCTCTCACCCTACTCAGAATCAGAGCATTTCCTACGTACGCAAGAATATTACCAGAAGACCTCTAAGCACTCTTGTCAGAGGATCGCAGGCGTTAGCAACACGCCGCGGTGTGAGAGCAGGTTCATATGGGATGAGTTAAATCATGAACTGAACCTAGAGGTTTGCGTATCGACCGCCTGATGCCATCCTTCATACACTCTGTCCACGGCATTATTTATACCGCTCTAGAAACTTCTCTTCCCAATCCTGAAAGTGTTTCTCAAACTTACACGACGACACTCGATCCAACCATGGAACCTTACATTAACACGCCTTTACGGCCGCTGGAGATAACGCTCCTTTACGGCCGGTCTACACAGCGGTGCGAAAGAGATTGGCCAGATTAACTAGACAGAGACCACTAGAACCAACAGCATCACAGCGCTGAAGAACAACCGCATTCTAACAGAATGCTCCGACTCTGACTATCCCATTTGAGAAGGTGTTCTTGAGAGAAAAGAATAGAGGCATGAATTACCTACCTATCCCGCAACGACGTCAAGCTTGCTTGCGCTGGAGATAGACTCGTCCGGAATAAACTCCGTTAAATCCTACAACCGCCTCAGCATTCATCTTCATGCCCGACTACACATTGCTCATCTAAATGTATGAAAGCCAAGACCGTCTCGTTCTTACATCAAAATCAACATCAGAAAGCAAACAACAGCTCAACAAAACATCATTCTACAAGACAACACTCTACAGATAACAGTCACCAGTTCATATCCTAAACAAAAAAATAACCCCAAAGAACCCAACACCAAAACAATGTAATCCCCAAAAAAAAGCATCGTCATGACCGGAGCAAGCGGCTACCTCGTCCGCGGCGACCTCGCCTCCCTCGACACCCTCCGCAACGAGGGCGCAGAGGCAGACATAGTCCTCCACTTCGCGACAGCCTACAATCTTCGGCGTCAGCGAATCCTACAAATCCGTCCGACAACCTAGACTACGCCGCGTTCGACGCTTTCGCAGCGCTAGCGGGTCTACGGAGGTGAAGCGCCAGTCAGGTTCGTCATGACCAGGCCCAGTCCCCTGTTGGGCAGGCTGTGTCGGGCAAGCTGGTATGGGGCTGGCTCGGATCGAGATCGCCCTCGTTGCTGCTGAGGAGAAGTCCGCACGTTCGTTCACTTGGACACCACGAGGGCGGTGAGAGACCGGTTCACGAGGCAATCCGTTCCCAGGAGGGCATCGTATCAAAGCCGACGAAGAGGCGCTGGGCCGAAATCCCTTCTGCAACAGCACGATTGACTCGGCGCTGAACCCCTTCTTTATACTGTCGTAAAAAAGAACTCGGAGACGTGATCGAAGAAGGGGACCGAGTCAATCGACTCTGCCCCTTCCCAAGTACTGATAATGCCGACATTGTCCACCAAGATGCTCTCGGCCCCATGTCCTTGGTCCCGGATCCTTGCTAGCCAGGCAGTCTGGATTCGTTGAAGGGCCTCTCGGGTCAGATAGCTGAGGCCATGGCTGAGGCGGTGGGTATCCGGGTGAGGGACATTTTCGTGGGTGGAGGCAAACGCTCAGCTCGAGGCTATGACGACCCGGTTTGTATCAGTTGAAATCAGCGCGTCGAGCAAGGTTAGGAACGAGCTGGACTAGCAGCCGAAGGGGTTTAGGAATCTTGGAGGACATTATAGAGGGTTCATACAACGTCGTTGCGCAGGGTCTAAGAGGGTAACTTGGTGGCTGGCTGATTTCAAACACGAAGGACGACGGAGCTTCGGTCAAGTTAATGTCTAATATACGATATGATTATATGTTAAAATCTACACCCCGTCTAAGTTGTTGATCTTTTCGTAAGTCAATCCACTGGTAAAAAGACTGTAAGCGGCTGTCCCTGCGTCCAATTATCATCCCCATGGCAACCCGCCTTCATCGTAGAATCGCAGCTGATAAATGCCCCCGGAAGGGGGCAAATCCACCTGTGTCAGTGAGCAGGTGATTGTCCATGGCATCCTGTGGCCTCAGTAAGCGGGTACCGAAACTCAAGAGTCGAACAGAAGAGGATCGGCGGAGTCATTCGGACTGAAAGCCATCGCCACCATCATCGGTCTCATTCGATAGTCCTGCATCATGTTGAAAGCCAGGATTGACTAAGGGACAAAATTTGTCTTAATTCATCAAAGATAGCCGCGAGGGCTTCTTAGGTCTATACTCTGTAATTGTACCTCTTGTATCTTCTCAGAGGTGGGCATACTTTTGCCCTTTATGGATGCAAAATAGCGGCTTTTATCCCTGTGTGTGCGACATGTTCCTACCTGCAACGCTATGATTATCCGTGATATTTTCAGCACATTGTAACAAAACTCGTGTCCTCTATGTGAGATGAACACTAAAGGCTCGGCATGTAAGGTGAACAGCTGAGTGGTCGGTCATGGTTCGGCCTCGGCATCAGTACCGTCTTCTTCGCCGACCCAGTCGTCACTCTCAAGACCACGGTTGCGGATGGCCAGAGATCCTACCCAGCCAAGCAGGGCAATGCCTCCAAATATTCCCCACGCGAGAGCTTCGCCTTTGGGGTGGACGCGAGTGGAGGCGGTGAACAGTGCGCCCGACACAAACGGCCCGAAACTGCGGCCAGCTGCTGACAACGTCTGGGCGATGCCATTCAAGGTACCCAACGTCGCGTGGTTTGGGGCACAGTTGGTGATCTAAAGCAAATTCATCAGCATCACCCGGTACACCAACTGACGGAAAACTTACCAGTAGCATCACACTTGACAGTCCGCCAACTGCACAAATGTTTTTGATAATGAGAATGACGCCCAGCTCGCCGTAAAGCCAGGTGGCACCGGTGCCAACGCCAAAGAGCGGCTCGTCATCCAGGTAGCCAATCCACGGCATCAATGCCATGCTGATGGCAAGTCCCAAAAGGGCGATTCGGTAACTGCCCAGATTTCCCAGTCGCACCTTGAGGGGTTGGAAGAGGAAGGCCTGGAAAACGATGGTGGCCACACCAGCCAGACTCAAACTCACGCCAATCTTGCTCGGCGGCAAGCCGCGGCCCGTTGGAGGGGTGGCATCGGCGAAGATGGGGTATAAGCTGTTGTAAGAAATATTGGACAGCTGGAAAACTAGATATGTCAACAGGACTAGGATCGTGTTGCGGTTCAACAACTGGCGCCAGGTTGCGAGGTCGCTGGGTGACTTCGCGTCTTCGCCAGCCTCCGAGCCTTCTTCAGATCTGGGGTTCAGGAGCCCCTGGTCCTCGGTCGCGCCTTCTTCGTCGTCGTCTTCCTCGTCGTCCGATGCGCTCATCACAGCCTGCGAACCGCGGCGGGGCCAGCGCGTGGCCCAAGAGTTTGTCTTGGGTTGTCCTCGCCCTTGGACCCAAGCCCAGGCTTTCCGGACCCACGAAGGGACCCAGGCCGCCTGGTTTGGTTCAAGCGTCTCAAGCGTCTCCTCAAACCAGATTCCAACAATCACGACGCTGACAAAAAGGAGCAGAGCGCTCAGCAAATTCGGCGCGAGGTAGGGGTATTTCTCCCCTAACGTACCAACCAACAAGCCGCCCAGGGCGGGACCAGTAATGCCTCCCAGGGAGTAGATGACGGGCAACCAGGTGAAAGCTCTACTCTGGTTGGAGCGATCGGTCACCTCACCCAGGACAGTTGGTACCACAGCAGCATTGCCGTTCAGCATACCCATAGCAACGTGGACAATGACGATCTGCCAGTATGCTTTGCAGAAACCGAAGGCGACAAAACAGCACATGAGCAGGAAAGTGCCCAGGACCATGACCGGTTTTCTTCCGATAACGTCGGAAAAGTATCCCCATAGCAGGCTCGTCGACAACTGAGCGAGCGCAAAGGCTGAGGCAAGAATGCCAACGTATAGGCCTGTCTGAGATTCAGGGATGTCGGAAAAGGCCTCGACCATCTGTGGCAGGTAGGGGCCAATGGAGTTGAGGGCGGTTTGTTCGCTCAGGGAGAGGAAGGCGAGCAGAGCGAGCTGGCGCACCGGCAAGGGAGTCTGGTCGTGGCCATCGTCTGAGGCGTTGGAGCTCGTGTCGGAATGGTCGAAAAGCTCGGCAGAAGACTGCTCTCGAGGTGTTTTTGGCGGAGGTGTTGGGAAAGTATGATATCGATGGGTTGACTGGCGGCGCATGGTGAGGGTTCGACGGCTGGACTCGATGCTCCCTAGGGTGGGAATAGGGGCGCCTGCGTGAAATGAACCCGACGAGGCTGTGCGAGATGAAGCCGCGGCGCCGACGAGATTGGTGTGCACCATTTCGAGGACGGAGGATCAAGTCGCGAGTCGGGGGCTTGGGGTTAGCAGGCCGTAAACGCAAAGCACGGTTGGCGGTGACGTCGACGAAAGACACACAGACACGGTTCGTCGTCGGTGGTAAATCGTCGGAGAATCGGTATCGGTTCGGTGGGAGATCCTCTTCGGGTGTAGCTGCTGGGGCGCTACCCCGCTGCCAGGGTCTCACGATGATGGAATGCAAAAACGCAGCCTCGGGCGCATGGCTTCAGGATTCGGGAAGAAAGAGGAAGGCGATGATGATTTAAGAGGGCGAGATTCGACGATTAAAAAGTAGCGACAAGTTAAGAGTGCATCCCAAAGCTGGTGGAAGAGGGATGTTGAAGGGGCGACAAGGGCGACAGAATGCGAAGTCGCGAAGATGCTGGTTGGTGGTGAGCCGGGAATTGAAGGTCGAGGTTAACGACGGGAATTAGCTTTCGGTTAGATACGATGTAGCGAGGAACACCTTCTGTGTGTTTCTTTTTACTGTTTTCTGGTGCTTGTTATCCGTATTCTTGCAGCTTACTCCTGCTATTGGTCACGACCTTGCTCCCTTACTACAATTTACCCTACCTATCAGCACTGATATGATTATTTTATTTATGTAGGGAGAGGAAGCACAGACGCAGGTGACCTCATTTTTCTCGCGTTTTTTTTTTTCTTTTTTTTTCGCCCTCTTCTTCACCTTTCCAAGGCAGTTTGTGCTCCGTGCGCTGTCCATAGAAAATGTGGGTGGCGGGCGGGAAGTCTTTTGTTAAGCTTCCCACAGTGACAGATGCTTAAGCACTAACAACCAATCAAAAATCAGGAGGCTACGTGCCTGCCCTCGCCTCGTGCCTCAACTCTTTCCTCGATCACGCGCATATGATGACGCCCACCCACAAAATCAACCGCCTGTCATTGGCTACGCCCATCTGATCTCTGATCTGGCACTGGAACTTATCGTCCGAGATCCTTCAACGGCCACCAACCAACCCGCCTACCCAATCTTCTTTCGCATACTGCTTCCTGTCACTCCCACCCGTTCTTCTTTCTGCGAACACACCAATCATTTGACCTCTCAAACCGTCGTGAAAACTAATACAATGTTTCGCAGTCGTTAGCCAACCGTAGCCTTGTGACCATGCATCGATGGCATCACTCAAGCCTCCCACGCCGTCATCTACCACTATGTCGAGAACATCTGACTTTTTTTTTTTGTCTCTGAAAATCTCCGAAACTAGGCGCATGCAGGGTCCTGGCATTCCATTCTTTAGCATATGCCCGTGATGAGAAACATCGCAGCAAGTGCTGTGCTTTTCAAAGTCAGCCCGAATAAACTGGGCCGACTGAAAGTCTGACTGAAAGTCAGGCGTCGTCATCCTTGGTCTTAGGGTGACACCAGCAAACGGTTTCGTATCCAGTGATCCGGCATTCGTCAACCGGATGATGACTGTTGAGATGGTCTCAGATGAGGAACACCATTTAGGTGACGAACATGTTTGATCCGAGTGCACAGAATACCAGTAGTCAGCCCTAGGCTAGAGACGAACGCCTCTGTATCCGTTCCCTAGCCTAGGACTACTAGCTAAACAGAAACACCGCCTCGCAATGTCCATCATCATATCAGCGAACCCAGATATACCTAAAATCTCGCGACCAAATATCTCATGCCGCAACTACTTCCCACCCGAAGCAGACTTCTCCGCGCGGCATCCACAGCCGTTACACTCACATGCGTACGTAAATACAAATTGTAGTAATCTATGTCTCGACGCCCGGAATAGCCCCGCAGATCACGGGCTCGGATGTAACAGCCACCGCATGGCTACGGCAAGACATATATGCACCTCGGGCTTTATTCACCGGGACCTCGTGGCATCTTCCCAGCAAACGATAAACTGCCATCTTGGCATCCCCCCCAACGAAGCAAGTACTGCTACTATTCAGAAGCCTGAGCCAGTCGTGTGTGTGTGTACTTTGTATCGAGATGTGCCGACCTCCCGAGCTACACACGACTACTATGTACTCTGGTAAAGTGGCTTGCGGTAAGCCGCAGCCAAGGGGGGGGGGGTGCCGAGTACCAAGGTCATTCCACGTCTCCGGGACGCACCATATCGCCCCTTGAGACGACCGGCTGCTGCGGACAGACAGAAAAGAAGCTGCATGCATGATTTCACAATTCTCACAACTCCCGAGTTCAAAGAAAAAGACAAGGCTATCCCGAGTCCAGGCAAGGGTCCACGGCTCCAACGTCAAGGGGTCACGACCTGTATAGCCTACGGGCTCCCCGGGGGAGGGGGTGAGCTTCGGTCGATGATGAGCCGAAAGACGAAGGTCCCCGAGGATAGACGCATCTCCGGGTGAGAGCCGGCTCAGGTACCTTGACGAGAGCCTGGGAGCCGGGGTTTTGCGGCCCACCGCATTTCTTTACCATGTACAGACATCACTTTATGACCGGTGAACCCGGTCCGGAATTTTCGAGAAGGCCAGGGAGGGGTGTTCACGTAGTAAAACAGAGGGGGGACCTTGAGTTTTGTTCATTGATATTCATAAATTTTATTCTTTTTTTAACTTCATTTCAACATGGTATCATTACATCAGATATAGACGCGCAGGAACTCAACCAGGGCCATCATGGCCATGGCCTGGCCGTAGGGCATACTCGTACGCGGGATGTCCTTGTAGTGCTGCAGATCGTGGCCCATACCGGTACCGAAGGAGGTGTTGAGAAGCTCACCCTCGGGGCTGATGTTCTCGAGGACGGCCTTGACGGCCTTGACGGCGACCTCCTCGTACTCGGCACTAATGTACTTCTTGCGCTGACCCTTGAGGATACCGTAGGCGAAACCGGCGGTGGCGCTGGCCTCGACGTAGGAGCCCTCGGACTCGGGAATGTCGAGCAGAGTGCGCCAGAGACCGTTCTCGGCCTGCAGGGGCACAAGGGCGGAGACCTGGGCGTCGAGGGTGTTGACGAGGTGTTGCCTCAATGAGTCGTCGGGGGAGAGGTTAAGGAGCTCGATGAACTCGGGGATGACGATGGTCACCCAGCTGTTACCACGGGCCCAGCGGGCACGGGCGAAGTTGTGGCCGCCCTCGTGGAAGGTCCAGCCGTGGAAGAAGAGGCCGCTAGGGGCGTCAAAGAGGTACTGAAGGTGGATGAGGAACTGCTTCTTGGCTTCCTCGACGTAGTGGGGGCGGTTGAGGACGAGGCCGATCTTGGCCAGGGGCATGACGGTCATCATGAGGGTGTCGTCCCAGAGCTGCTGGTCGTTGACCTCAAGGTAGGTGATGTGCTGCATACCGCCGTACTTGGTACGGGGGAGGTCGTGGTAGGCCCACTCGGCCCAGCTCTCAAGCCAGGGCCTGTAGGTCTCGTTGCCAGTCTTCTCGTAGACGTAGGCGAGGGTGAGGAAGACGGCCATGGTGTTGATGTTCTTGCCTTTGTGGCCCTCCTCGAAGCGGTTCTTGAACCAGTCCTCGATGACCTTGAGGCACTCATCGTCGCCCGTCAGCTCGTAGTACTTCCAGATGCCGTACAGACCGATGCCGTGAGTCCACTCCCAGTCGTTCCAGCCCTTGGTGTCGATGATGCGACCATCGGCGAGGGTCATCAAGAACTCGCCCGTGGTGTCCTTGATGTTGACGAGCTCGTGAATGAGCTGCTTGACCTGCTTGTGGATGTCGGCCGACTTGACGCCATGGAGTTCGGCAGGCATTTTGGCGGTTGTGTAAAGTCCGAAGACTGAATTAACTTGTAGAGATTGTGACCCTTTGTATGTTTCCTACTGTTCATTTCAGTCAGCTTTCATGACACTTCAAAAGAATTTGTCTCGATGAGGCGGGGTAGCTCCGACTCCGGCCCTGGTTTCTGGAAAAGCAACTTCCCAGCCAGCCAGCCAGCCGGTACCAGTCGTGGTTGTCGAGGTCAAACGAAGCCATTGGGCGTCACAGAAGACAGAAAATGAGGACCAACCTTTTGAGGAAACTTGAAGCACTGAGAAATGTGTATTCTCACAAATCTCAAGTTGTCTATGTACAGAACTGGCGGACTGGTTTCCGGTTCAAGGACGATTGAAAAGAGAAACAGGGGACGCGTTGACGCAAGGCTCTCTCTTTTTTTTTCCTTTTTGCTGGCTGCAGAAAGACTTATGAAGGGAAAGGGCTTCGGGGAAATAGGGAGGATGGGAAACCGGGGTCGTCAGGGGTACGTGGACAAAGGGAACGGTGTACAGAGCAACTCGGCGTGATGCAGGCCGAGGGTGAAGAAAGCCAAGCAACGCGGTGTTTCTGGGCTTTGCGGTTTCGCAGTCTTGGAACCCCGCAACTTAATGCAAAAATACGTTAAAATCAAGCACGAGGGAGGGGAACTCCTGCTGCTTGCTGCTTCCTAGATCTAACGAAGGAAAGGGTGGGTGGCTTCCCTGTTGCTTAGCAAGGCTGCTACTAGTAGGTAAGTATGACTACTTAATACGTGGCCAGTCCTTTCCTTCTCCCACTCACTACCTTTCTTTTCTGCTAAAGACAGGAAGGATGGATGGGCGTTGCTGCTATGGGGACACGGTTTAGGGTAAGGTAGAATGGGGCTTGGCCCACTTGGACTATCCATAATCGGTGTGTCTCCGCTGCCAGCTCGGTTCCTCCTCCCCCGCGCCCCGGGCCAGTTACCCCGCGCTGGTGGAGACCGGGCACCCCGTTTTTGTCCACTTATGGTTTGGTCTCGAACCTCTTTCTGCCTCGGTGCTCTTTTCCCTCATTCCCACTTTCTTTCCTCTCACTGGCTTTTGAATTTCCTAAACCTGTATAACACGTATTGGATCATCCTTGTTCTCTCTCACTAATCATGAGCACTCAGCGTCTGCTGACTGCGGTGCGCTCCCCTCTCTTCTTCCCAGATAGGTTAGCTTTTGGAGAAGTCATCTCCGCACCCAGGGATCTTTTGGGGAAGACACAGAAGAAGGCTGGAGTCTGGAGTGAATAGAGAGGAGATTTGAGGGGAAACTGCGGGCATTCCCCCCCAATTTCCCCCAGTTTGCGGAGAGAGCAAGAGAAAGAGACAGAGAGGGAGGGACGGTTTCCCCCCCCCCAAAACATAGCGCTCTGCTGAGCAAAGCATTTTGCACAATTCGCTCGACTCAGGCATAACTAGAACGCGGAGTAGAAGCGGAGTGAGATTGAGCGAGGGGAGCGAGATTAGTGCACAATAACCTAACCCCCTCCTAAAGGGACTAACTAAATGCGCCTTAATTGCAATTCAGAGCACCATGATGCTTTAAACCATATACCGAACAAATCTCGCCCACAACATGGCACAGCCCTACCACGATCATAGAACCATGAATTAGATTACTACGTAGTAGATCAGCCTACCACGGTTCCAATTTCTGGCCGGACATGATGTGTATGCAGAAGCCATCACGATAGCACGCTAGTTCGACATTAGATGCAATGCATCATCGTGCGTCTCCACGCTTGACACCTGTGCCTTCATAGTGCATTGTGAATTATCTCCATTCTCGCAAAAAAGTCCCCGGCCAGACACCGGCCAGACACTCGGCCATATCCCCGGTTCTCAGGGCCATGACAGACAATCACAGTCAGTCTCCCCCCATGTGACCCATTATGCAGGCCTTCTTTTTCCAACAGTCACAGCTATGACCAAGAGGCCCAACGCTGGGAGGCGAAAAAAAAAAAAAAAAAAAAATACCAGTCAGGCCCCAGTCCACCGTGGTCACAGGATGGCTCCGTCAAGCTTTTTTCCCAACCAGAGCCAAGGTTGGACGGGTGTTCGCCGACGCTAAAATTCTCCTTCTGGGCAAGCCACCCGCTCCCCATCACCGCCTCAGCCGTCAGACGAGCCAATCCTACCATTCCTACCCCCTGTAGGGCCTCCCGAAAGCCGAACCGTATCGCCAATATTCATCTGCCCAGAAATTGCCCAGACTTCCTTTCCTTGCTCTGCCGTTAAGTGCCGTCGCATCATCGTTGGTCACCCGTCTTGGCCAAGAGCCTCCAAGACGACCATCTTGTCCCATCTCTTATTCCCAGTAGACTGACCTATTTCTAGAATAAATCTAGGCCAGTTATTCAGTCTCAATGAGACACAACACCTCAGAACATCCAACGGTCCAGAAGCCACCACCACCACACCCCGGACAACCCCCCAGAGACAGCAACCCCAGGCGCCCTGACGCTGGCTGGGTCTCCCACGCCATCCGCATCAACCCTGCAACACGAACCAGAAACAAACTGCGTGTCCACACATTCCTCTCTTTCGCCATCTGAACCATGGCCATTGACCAATGCAGCCTACAGAAAACACCCACCGTCTTCGCCGCCGCCTACCGGCTCCGTGGGTCCCCCTTCCCAGGTCCATATCAACGACCAATCCTGACTCGTGCCGGTCTATCCATGAATGATGGGGTCCCTTTGCCCATCTACTCATCCAATCTGAACTCAATCCATCTCTCCTTCTCCAGATATTTTGAGTCTAGAGGAAGGCCCAAAAGGGGGGTGTGCCAAAATAAAATCAAAACACAGACCACATGTCTCGTCTCCCGCCTCTTCGGTTGAATGATGTCCCAACCTGAACCCACCAACAAGGTTGTTCTCGTTGGCTACCGCTGGTTCCTCAGCTTCCATCGTCGAATGGAAGACATTCCTTCTCCCCGGGACCCGTGGGGGTTGACTTGATCGTGCTCGCTCTCGTCGTCCTTTCTCGCAGGGGGCCGACCGAACTCCCCACTTGGGTACCGCGCGCTCCCAACAAACAAACTTGGGGTAAGAAGGGAGAAAAGAAGGAGAGGATTGGGGGTGGGATCCGGGGTTTGTCAGATAGTCTAGTCATTATCCGTAGTGTGCTGAATGGGGAAAAGGGAGTGATATCCCCAGAAGACGCACACACACACACACACACACACACATTACCACTCTCGGACTCCACTTGGGATCTGCTTTTAAATAGGACGAGGTAACATCTCTTCTTTCATTTCTCCTCCGTTCTGGTTCTTCAGCTTCTTCCTTCTCTTCGAGGTTAGATAGACTCCGGATTCCCAAAACCCTTATCGACTCTTAACTGTTGTCGTGTGTCAAACCAATTCAGTCCCATCAACACCACAGGGTTTATCAACAACACCATCGTCTCTTCTCTCAGTCCGTCTCATCAGACACCAACAACCGCCCAACATGGTGTCAACCGAAGTCACAGACAGGGACAATGTGCGTCCCACGACGCCGGCCCACGGCAAGAACTCCTTGCACGAGGTCGAGCGCACCACCTCGTACGAGAAGGCCGACGCCCAACGTCTCGAGAACGTCGACAACGAACTCTCAAAGTACATTGGCGGCGACATCACCGTCACCCGCGAGCGCAGCGATGAGCTCCGCAAGAAGATCGACCGTCGCATCCTTCTCGTCATGATTGGCACCTACTTCCTCCAGGCCATCGACAAAGGCACCATGTCTTTCGCCTCTGTCATGGGCCTGCAGAAGGATACCAAGCTCGTCGGCCAGCAGTTCTCTTGGCTCACTACCTGTATTTACATCGCCATCCTGTTCGTCGAGTACCCCCAAAACTACATCATCGCTCGTGCCCCCATCGCCAAGTACCTCTCCTTCTCCATCATCGCCTGGGGTGCCACCCTCGCCTGCCACGCCGCCTGCACCAACTTCACCGGCCTCGTCGTCGTCCGTACCCTCCTCGGTATCTTCGAGTCCGCCTGTCAACCTGCCTTCGTCATCCTCTCCTCCATGTGGTACCGCCGTGAGGAACAGGCCTCGCGTGTCACCTACTGGTACATGATGAACGGTGCCCAGCAGATCGTCGGTGGTCTCCTGGCCTACTGCTTCACCCACATTAAGACGGGTCCCCTCAAGTCCTGGCAGTGGCTTTTCCTGGTGTACGGTGTCATCTCCGTCATCTTCGGCATCTTCGTCCTCTTCTGGATGCCCGACTCCCCCATGCGTGCCAAGTGCTTCACTGAAGAGGAGAAGCACGAGATGGTCGCCCGTGTCCGTGACAACCAGACCGGTATCCAGAACAAGACCTTCAAGCGCGAGCAGGCCATCGAGGCCCTGAAGGACCCTCAAGTCTGGGGCTACGCCCTCATCGCCCTCTGCACCACGCTGCCCACCTCTGGTCTCGGTGCTTTCGCCAACATCATCATCATGAGCTTCGGCTTCAACACCCTACAGGTTCAGCTTCTCGCCATGGTCCTCGGTTTCTACATCATTTTCGTCCTTCTCGGCTCCGTCTGGTTGGTCAAGAAGACCGGCCAGAACCTCTATGTCATGCTTGGTTTTTGTGCTCCGTAAGTGTTGCCTTTTCACCCTTTTATGACTCACGGAACCTCCCCTTTTCTAACAGTTCATTAGTTCCGTCGTCGGCACCGTCCTCCTCATGACCCTCCCCAACAAGACCTTCTCGCAGCACGTCGGCCTGCTCATCTGCTACTACATCACGCTGTCCTTCTGGTCCGCCCAGACCCTTGCTCTGTCCCTCATCTCGCGTAACATCGCCGGCCAGACCAAGAAGCAAGTCGCAGTCGCCCTCAACTTCATCATCTGGGCCGCCGGTAACGCCATCGGCCCTCAGGTCTTCCTCAGCTGGAACGCCCCCCGCTACTTCATCGCCTTCGCCGTCCACCTCGGCTGCTACGCCCTGCTCATCCTCATCATCATCGGCCTGCGCATCCACCTCACCCGCCAGAACAAGAAGAGAGACGAGATGGCCGCCGCCGGCGTCGCCGAGGCTTCTCCCAACTACACCGCTCATGCGTTCGAGGACATGACGGACAAGGAGAACCTGTCGTTCCGCTACGTGTTTTAAGTCTTGTATACCAGCGATTGCGATTTGCGTTTTATGTATATTAGTCCATAATGAAGAGACATGACTGGTCATGAGATTCGACCAAACATTACGTTTTAATTCTTGGTGATGTTGTGTTAAGTGTTCATGGCCCTTGAGTGTACGAGTTATTCGTATTTGAACAGACGAGAAATGGTTGGCAGAGTAAGGTCAACGTCGAGTATTTCTGTAACAGAACAGACGTGACACCTTTTTCCTTATTGATTTATCCCATGGAAAGAAACCGTCAATTCAAAGACACATGAGTCCACAACAGCTGATACAAACGCCGTCACATTGGTGGGGCCCCCTACATAATGTTTACAAAGTCGTGATAAACAAAACCACACAACATTCTCAACGTCAACAGAAGCCACATACCTCCAAATTCGACCTCGTAAAAACACAAACTACAATGAACCCATTCCCCTCGCAAAAGCTCAAGAAAAACAGCAACTCGACCCCCTCGACCCCCAGATGTCGTCGAATCAAACTGCTCTTGGCATCTCCTCACGCCAAGCACGATATTTGGGGTATCCCCCTTCCCACCCTGCCAGGCCCTCTCACATTTTGGGGATTTGGAGTCTTCGACGCGGACAAGGGTTCCGAATCCGTTCGCCAAGTCGCGGCCTTTCCTTCTCTGGCCAACCTTTTGATTCTATTACTCTCTTCTTTTTTTTCCCCCTGTTGGTGTTTTTCAGCCCTAACTACGAACCACCCACCCCCTTGACGACGGGGCTGACTGCTGCTGCTTCTGAGGGGCGGCGGCGCAGCCGCTGGCAGGTTGACTGGGAGTCCTCCCTGGGTTGTCGACTCACTATGGGTCAGCTGTCGCGTGTGATCTTATTTCGGGTTGTTTAGATTCGCTGCTCTGACTTGGCATCGCCAGCTGCGAGATATTGCGTTACTGGTCACATTTGACTTGGTTGCGGAACCGAGGTGGTGGCCGGGGGCTGAATCGGCTGCTCGGTGGATTGCCCGGTCCGTTGTAGCTCCGGGTTGTACTGCCCGCCGTCGTTCTGGGTAAGTACTAGTCTTTGCGGGTACCAACGCATTTCCAGCAGCCGAAGGGAGTTTTTTCAACATGTCATGTTCAAAGACGCATGAGCTAGGAAAGGCTTCGTATGCAATTATACGGAAGTCTGCGGACCTGCCAGAAGACCTAGAGCCCCGTCTACCCCATAAGAATCGCAAAAAACGCCACAGGAAAAGTAAACACCAAAACATGAAAAAAAGAATGGGAAAAAAGAGCTCCTAAATATCGTCTTGGAACAAACATGCTGATGCCGATGCCGATGATGATGCTCATGCTCATGCTCCCCATTCCAACCCAATGCCGACGCCACTGTGCCGTAAGAAAAGAAAGCCGCTCGCCTGCCTCCCACCGCCGAAACTGCCTGTAAATGCGAATTTTCCTCGCGCTATATGCTGACCCTTACTCGTACATGTATCATTCCCATTTTCGTTCTGAAAGCTCTTTGTTGTTCGGCCCGGGTACCTTAGTACCAGGTCGGCGGGACCGACCAGTGCCGGAGCATGGTGTCGACGGCCTTGTTCCACTCATAGTCGAAGCACGCCGCGAGTTGGGCCGCTTCTTCCGCCGACGGATCGCGACCACCCCACATCTCGGGCTTTGCGGCCTCAAGGGCGGAGTATCCGGAGATTAGACCACTGAGTAAGGCCAACATCAGTATTTACCTCTCACGCTTAGGGGGAGCGGGGATCTCTTACTCTTCCTGGATTTTGACGAGGCAGAGCCAGGCGAGGTTCCAGCTCTTGTTCGAGTTGGGGTCATTGCGCACGCGGACGTGGGCGTCGTACAGAATGTCGCTGCAGAGGGGATAGCTGCGCGTCAGCCCGCGCAGCTCGGTGAGGAGCTGGTTGCTGTTGACGTAGTAGTCCCATGCCGCCGTCATGGGGCCTTGGAAGGCAACGGCATCCTCTTCGTTCTCACACGTGGCTGCCACACGCTCAATGCGGCAGAGCTCCGTCAATGTGTTGACGCGGTGAGTCTCGAGGGAGTCGATCAGTTGCTGGACCGAGCGCTATAGTTCAATGTTAGCTTGCTTTCCCTAGGACAAGTGACTGAGGTAGTAAGAAACTTGATGGAACACAATCTCGTCGGAGTGAAGAGCTCCCATGAAGAGCTATGGGTAAATATGGGGACGGGATTGGGGATAGTACAAAGAAGAGGCCTTGACTAACTTGAACCGCCCTCGGCTTCTTACTGCTCTTGGAGCTGCGGTGGCTGGAGGATCCTCCCGAACGGCCGGAACGAGACGACGACATGGTTGATGGTGTTGAATAGGAAGGACGAAAGTTCTTAGTGAGACGAGTTGCCGAGAAAGAAGACAGGATATCTTGAACCGTGAACTGAATGTCGTTGTCGAAATGATCTTGAAGCTCAGCTATGTCAGTGTGTATGCTGCTGTCGATGCTGCTTCTGTAAAACTGAGAGTTCAGGCCGGGCGAGCTCGATGATGATATATCCTGTCCTCTTGTCTTCTCGGGAGTTGCGCTCATCACGATAGGGGTTAAGCTCTGAGAAGCTATGAAGGTCTCAGATCGTCCGATTGAGGTAGCCAGGGCCTGAGTGACGTCGATGGTTGAGGAAGCTCGAGATAGCCGTCGGGTTCCAAAAGTTATCCGCAGCAACGGTGAACGGGCAGGGCGTATGACGATGATGTGATACTGTGCATTCGCGGAGCCTCAGAAGTGCTACGGTACTCCAAGTCAGAAGCTTATATGTTGAAGTAACACCGAGAATGGGGCAGATATAGGTGCAGGTGGCTTGATTATCAGACACCGACCATTTGTATGCTCTATATGGTGACCATGGAAACAAGAATATGACCGTTTTAACGTAACGAAAAGCCTGCAACATTTGGTGATAGAGAATAGGTCGTCTAAGCCACTGGTGTCAACGGCCTGCACCACACCCTGCCATGCGAAGAACGAAATATGGGGACTCTAAACGTGGAAACCATGCAAAACGAAGCCTCTGTGGCCCAGGGCTGAGTCTGAGGCTGATGAAAGGCTTCGGGAAGTGGTCTGGGAGCACGGCAGTGGAGGGACAACGAGGACAAGCCATAAGAGGGGCACAGGGGTGGGCTTGGGCAAGGAACACCCGAGTCCGTGGGCAGGATCATCCCGCCCTAAAGGGCTGGCTGTGCATGAGATGCAGTAAACGGCGAGCATATTCGATCTTCTTAACGACTCCGGGCGCCAAAACCGGGAAGACTAGGGGGTGTGCATGTTCTGCAGAGTGGTGAAAGAAGAACAGGGGATTTGATCCGGTGATTGGCGGACACCATATAGTTGCTCGGCGGAATAACTGCTGACAGAGCAAAGCGTATTTTTGTCCCGGCGAGCTTCTAGGAGTTATCCAGGAGAATGACGACAAGATGGGCCATCTTGTGAGCCCCATTGCCGGGACGGTTATGCTGCCGGTGATGCATGTCCTGGGATGTGACAGGTGATGTGCAAGGATAACAGCTGCAGCCCTACCAATGGTTTTACGAAAACCGAGGTCTGATAGGTTAGCAGAGGAAGTGTCAGCGGAGACTAAGAGTTGCGCTGGCCCTAAGAAAGGCGACGTGAGAGTGGTGAGATTTTAGCAAGGGGGCATGTCCGTGGCATGGCACCCCAAAGCCGCTCACCACCAGCCACCTCCAGAATCTGATTGATCCATATACCTCGGTGGAATCTTCAGGCGGGGTGTGGGTTTTACGGCCGTTGAAGGATGCAGGGCAGCAAAACCAGGCAGTGGCGCTGCCTGCTGACAGGGAATGGAGGAGCGTTCCCTTGGCGGTCTGTCGGACCGTATGAAAACATCATATTGAAAGATGCTATTGATATGGACGAAATTATTGACAGTGAAATCCATTGTGCAACCTCACTAGTGAAATGCACGGAATAGAGTGATGGCGAGCGGGTGTCAATCCGGACGTCGTGGTGTACGGTGGAGGACCGGCATTTACACAGGCGAAAAAGCGGGATGGTGATATCCCTCAAGCAGACGCGCGATGGTAACAGCCCGGATATCGGTGACCTCACATTGACATTGTCGTATTGAGACGGTTTGGCCTTACAGCGGAAAAGCTAGTAGGATACCAACCCCTGCAGCCCTCGCTGATGGAGTAGTCCGACATGTGTCTTCTCATGTTCCCGCAGTGTGGTATCATCCCAGTCCCAAAAATCCGGTATGTGTGGCTCGACCTGCATGTGTGGGGGAATAGTTGATAGGGCTGAATGGCGACTTGGCTGTTTCGAGCACAGTCTGGTGGGCATGAACATCAGCAGCCCCGCGACTGGCATCATTGAGGGTAGAGGCCTCTCTGAGTTCCGTTTTCGGGCCGTAAATTTGATGGCTCAGTGACGTCCGTGAAGCTGATGCCGAGGAGATGCAGTCATTCGGGCGTGGGGATCGCCTGTCCTAGATCTACCATCTGGTGCCCGTATGTGTTGTCATCCTGGACACTAATGTCAGGGAGTCAGGGGTGATCTGTTCCAGACCGTGAATGCATGGCCATAATCACCTACCGGCCCTAGCTGCCCCATGGGATGGGATTGACCAATAATACTACCAAGAGTCTGTCTTGGTTCTGGAGGAAAACGTGCTGCTGAAGGTGAGGCTGTTGCAGCTGATGCAGCTACCCAACCCTCCTGGCAGATGGATCGACAAGTTTGGTTACATCAAAACGCGACCGGTCGATCACAGACATGGAAACGCTCGCATATTGATTTGTGCTGTCCTATGCGAGGCATTTCTGCAGTAAGCGGCGAGCAAAGTTGGTAGTTGTCACAAATGAGTGAGGCATCGGGCACGTCAGAATGGCTTGTTTCAATATTTGGCGAGGCAGACTCGCGGTCGTGGGTCACGAAGCGCCAAAAAGGACCAAACAAGCGCGCGGAGGGGCCGTGTAAAGCCAAGAGGTGATCCTAAGCGCGGGCACATTGTGAGTGGTGTGGTTTGCTGCGGTACGCGTCTAAAGAGAGAATGCCACCAGGAGCCGCGGCAGGACTAAAGGTGCAGGAGCCCTAAGACTGCCGAGACTGATGATGGAAGGAACTGCGGACCATCTGGGAGCAAGAAGCCCAAGGAACAACTTCCATGGAAACAGGTTGTGACAGGGCGGGCAGCTTCCAAGCTAGTACATAGTGGGTTGCCTGCGCCACGATGGGGGAACTCCACTGAAAAGGCTCATGTCCGTTCCTCATTCCAATCAAATGCTCTGAAGAGTCCGAGAAGGAGCATTGTTATTGGTTGAGGATGTGGCTCGTTCGGCAACGTGGTGGCTTCTACCTCAGCCCCCGGTTCAGAGGAATCCGAAAGGCTGAGGAAGCCAGAAACTTACTGTTACTAGACCCAGCAACCTGGATTGGGTGTTATTTTTCGCCGAGAGGGAGCCGGTTGTTTCCTCTTGACATGGACATTCCTATTTGGGGCATCTTGTCACGTTTTGCATCCTGTAGTGAGGTGAATACAATGAAACCGATGTTTTGTCCCCTACTTGTACTGCAACCTTTTCCGCGCTGACAGCTCGCTGTAGCTCCACCCACTGAATGTTTCCGCTGTTTAACATGCCGATGCGGAGTGCAAAAGTCTGATGCAACTCTTCTAACTCCACGGAAAGAAGCCAACATGCAAGCTCCCATCTCACACCTTGCGAGTCACACTTGCACGATCGCCTAGTGTCACGAAGACTTGGTGATGTTTGCTTGGAATCGATTAGTCCTACTTCTCTGCAGGTTCTGTTTTCAAGTGAAAAAGCGTTACTGTATCCAAAGCATTCACTCTTAATATGGTACGTATATATCAGGGGTATCATATTTACACGGCGGCAACATGTCAGCGCGCGACATCATGTACCATGATCGGTAAGCCAGACTACCTAACTCACGCCCGGTCAAGTGCCTTTTGGCCCCCACGTCTCTCATGGTGCCACCGAACTGAGATCGGGTTGGTGTGGCTTACGAATACTTACATCACCCAACGTCCATCGTCACGTGGCCTTCTCAACGACCTCCAATCTTGTCTGACTGCAGACACCGGCTATCGTATAATTTGGTCGACTCCGCCTGTTCTCCGCTTCCCGACATAATGGGACTGCAAAATTGCTGGTTTTCGTCAAACTCCTGCTTACCTCAGTCCAGTCCAAAAGGCTCGGCCATCTCCACGGTGCCGCTAGAGATGGCTGCAGTCCCGCTGACCACCTCCGGAAAGCGCCGGCGTTCTTAGAATGCCATCATTGACGTCAAATTCACATACTATGTACACGACTGAGGCCTCTCGAGTGGTTGGCATACCCGGTGGTTTTTATCAATTAGGGCGACCACAGATCGTCTGCTGTCCATATCATCAGAGCATCTCACCATTCTCTCCTTGTAAAATTCCACGTTCGTTCTGTTTACTGAATGAATTTCTTGTTCGTTAATTTAGAATCTAATCGTAAGGCTTATTGGTTTTCCTCGAGATCAAACACTCAGGGTCAATATTGTCCAGTGTTCCATTGTATGCCACCCCCAGGCCTGCCACCCAAACAAAGCAAGCCTTCACGCAGTCAAGTATTTTTTAACCGCCACCAAAGATTACCAAGCAGCCCAGGCCCCCTCAAGACATGCGGGTCGCCACTAAATGCATCCTGGGAGGGTTTTCGCCTCGTCTAAGACCAGATATCACAGTCGGTGGTGAAAACCTGGGGAGGGTTGCCCTCAGGCCACCAGTCCGTGGGCTTGCACATCCACTTGACTGTGTAGCAGTCCGAGATGCCGCCAAGACAGCTGAGGTAGCCGTTCCAGTTGGTGAGGACCTCGTCTAACCAGATGTAAGCATTATGTGGGCCAAAAACAAGGACCTGAAAGAGGCAGATACTCACTGACGTTGATCGAGGTCTCTTTGTAGGTGTCGGCAAGCGTCTTGCACTGGCACTTGATGTCATAGCCATCGACAATACAATCCTTGCAAGTCTCCTAGAACTTGCCGCTGCTAACCTGTCAGTAAAGCCCATCCCAGGAAGTCATGTGAAAGAGGGCAAGACCGACCCGGTATGGTGCTCAGGCTTGATTTTGAGATCGCCAAGAACATTGGCAATGCAGTCATTGAGGTTGATGGCGGAGAAGGAGGATGCACCGCAGATCTTGTCGTCGCAGTAGGTCGTGACGGTGCCATCACCACGCAAGGTGAACTGATTGCCGTCGTTGAGGTAGCCACATCCCTCGTCGAGAAAGCCGGCCTGGGCAACCTTGGTGACACCAAGAGCAAGGAAAAGGCCCTTGAGAGCGGTGGTGGAGGAAATGCCAATCATATTGGGGCTGACTGGATATGACCGTTTTGCAGTAAGGTTCTTTTGTGTATGTTCACTGGTGCTGTAAAACGGAAGAAGGTGGGTTAAAGAAAATGAAGAAGTTTGTGAAGTTTTGTGGGAAGGTGTGAGCAGTAGATGAAAGAGAAGGTTGTGCGAGGGCAGTTGTAGTTTCTGCCTGGCTCCTTCTTTCTTGAGAAGATTTATATGCAGCTCTAATGGTGTTAAAATCTTCCAGTTTTTTCAAAGCCCTCGTACTTCTTTGGTGAATCACCTGATTTGGCTTTGGTTCAACCGCACTCTGCTGTTCCTTCCAAATTGAAATATTCATTGACGAGGATTGACAATTCCAGAAAAAAATCTCAACATTCACTGAAGGTAAGCGTTCTTTCCATATGAACAGTTCTCAACTCGGCTGATAACCCTTTCATCTGCTACCTATCTTCAGTGAGGCGTCTTTATTCCATCTAGCCATTTCTCTGGATTACCTCACACAGTCCCTTCCACATACGCCCTTTGAAATACAGGCAAACTTCACCCTTGAATACACAAACACCGATACTAACACACGTCAAGTACGTCAAGCACACCAAAATGAACTTCTGCACCATCATCACCTGCCTCCTCAGCTGTCTCTGTCTCCTTATTCAAGCACAAGACGACTCCCCCACTAAGACTGTTGCCTTGGAAGCCAACAAAACCATCCCCTCGACTCCTAAAACAACCGTCACCCAGGCCGCCAACTCCATCTCCGTCTCCCCCATCGCCAGCTCCTATCCCACCCCCATCAACAACCTCGAAACGACAGACATCGCCGCCCTCGACGACAGTAAATCCGATCCAGCAGCAGGCTTCATCAAGACCTGCGTGGCATGGCAAGTCTGGGACGCCAACAACTACCTCTGGGCCCGCTGCCGCGCCAGCGGCCGTCACGGCAAATTCTTCTGGTCGCGCATCGGTCTCGACCACATGCTCGGCAACGTCGGCGGCCGCCTCGTGTACCAGAAGGAAGGGTACTTCTCGTCCTCTTGCATCTCGTGCCGCCCCCGCCCGTTCACCGACACCTACTTCCAGTGCGAATGCCCTGATAGCAAGGGGGAGTTCCAGTTGACCAGCATAGATCTGAGTTAGTTCCATCCCGGCTTCGGCGTCTGCGTTCCTCGTTATGAGAGATACCCCGACGTATCTCTGTCTCAATGCTAACAGAGTGCCGCAGACAAATATCTCGGCAACAGAAACGGCTTCATCTGCTCCGAATACATGTGTGGTGTCCGCGAAGATCCCTCCCCTGCTGCGGGTCAGTAAACCAGCAACGATGGGGAGGATGTGGTGAAAGGGGAGACGAATGCCATCATCGGCTAGGGGCTGCGGTGATTTAGATATAAACCAGTTGGACAGTGAACGTGAATCAATTGGCTATTTTCGTTTCGATGCAAACCAAAGAATATATCTGTTATGAGCACCTTTAAAGTGCCATGAAAGGAATAATCATATCAACCAAAGAACCCATTCCGCATTTTACCATTTCATATCCATGGATGGTTTTCTACCAGCAAAAACACTAATACTTCATTACCAGCTCCCCACATTGGATAGCTGCCTCGAACTCTCACCCACCAGGAAGGAGTATTGTCCGGTCGTAACCATCACCCAGTTTTGCTCGTCGGTATCCCAGTAGCTGAGATCACGACGCGTGAGGTTGAAAGTGACAGTCTTCTTCTCGCCCTTCTCCAAGTTGAACTTGTCAAACCCACGAAGCACCTTGACAGGGAAGTCCACATTGGGAACGTTCTTCGGGTAGGAGAGGTACAGTTGAGGGACCACCTTTCCGGCGACCGCGCCAGTGTTGGTGACCTCGGCCTTGACGGTCACGTACGTTTCCCAAAGGTCGGGGTTTCCGCCTTCTTCACCACCAGCTTCGGACAGAGGCTGCTCGGTGTGGTATCCGTCGGGGTAAGGATAAGGTCCCGTCACAATCTCGTCTGTCGAGTCCAGGTACGGATAGACGTACTTGTCCAGTTTACGGAACCCTTCAGGAAACAACACCTCCTTTGGATCAGGGAGTTTGTTGCTGAACTTGGGTGGCTCAGCAGCTGGTGCCGGACGAGAGGTGGGCAGCTTCGACTTGGGCTTCACCTCCTCAACGACGACGTTGGAGAAACTGAATGTCGTGTACGACTTTCCGAATCCAAACTCAAACCGGGGCTCGATACCCTTCTTGTCAAAGTGTCGGTAGTCGATGTACAAACCCTCGGAGAAGTCTTGCTGGGGCACAACGCCATTTGGCAGATACAAGATTTGACCGGCAGGGCCATAATCCTTCAAGGACTTGGCGATAGTGTAAGGGAGCTTGCCGCTGGGGTTAACATCGCCAAAGATGACATCGGCAAGAGCGTTTCCACTTTCCTGGCCAGGCAGGTTGGCATAAAGCACGGCTTTGATGCTGGGGTGTTCGATCCAACGCTCCATTTCAACCGGGCCGACGGAGTGAATCACAACGATTGTATCACCGCCCACACTATTACCGGCGCCGCCCTTGCCGCAGTTATCAGCAACCTGGAGGATGAGATCATCGCCTCCCTTCTGTAGTTTGAGATCATTGCGGTCTCCGCTGACGCCCTCCCAAGCGACAAAACCTTCGCCGGAGTCGGCGTTGGCGAAGACGATGCAGATATCTTTGTCGTTCAAGATCGATGGATCCTTTTTGAACGGAGGCGAGTTGGTCAGAAATTCCGAGAGCTCAACCTTGTCGGCCTTGAAGCCTTTCTTGAGGGCTTCGACTGGAGGCACAAGGTAGGGGAACTCGACAGCTCCGCTGCCCCATCCCGAGCCTAGGGTACCTTGGTTGCAAGCACGATCCTTGCAGTAATTGGGGCCATTGCCAGGGCCGGCGTCCTCACCGAAGATACCAATCTTCAGCTTACCTTCGTGACGCTTGCGCTTGGCGTCGATGAAACCCTCTCTGCTAATGGGCAGCACGTTTTCGTTCTTGAGAAGAACAATGCCTTCGGCGGCAACACGGCGTGCGATATCGGCGTGATCGGCTTGGACGTTGACGTACTTGTTTACCTCAGTTTCTTCCTGTGGGGTTTTGCTTCCCGGTGCGAGCACTCCCATCTTGTCATCGGTCCACGAGGAGAAGTTAGGAAGCTCGTTGGGAAACTTCTTCTTGTCGTCCTGACCCAGCTGATACCACGAAGCAACAATTCGGACGGCCATGTCATCAAGTCTGTCAATCGGCACTGAGCCGTTCATGACCGCCTTGGTAAGCTCAGGGCCCCAGAGAGACTTGCCATCCGCCCAAAACAGTCCGTCACCAGGCATAGTCATATCAAGGCCAGCCAAGGCACTTCCAACACCGGATCTCTGGGCGAGCCAGTCTGACATGACGAAACCTTGGAAACCCATTTCGTCCTTCAGAATTCCATTGAGAAGCTTGGAGTTTTCGCAGCCGTATGAGTTGTTGATTTGATTGTAGGAGCACATGACACTGGCAACGCCGGCCTTGACGGCATCAAGGAAGGGCCAGGCATAGAGCTCGTGCATGGTTCGGTCATCAATGTTGCTAGAAATGGCGTTGGGCAGGCCCCATTCCCAGCTCTGGCGGAAATGTTCTTGCTCGTTGGCAACGAAATGTTTAATGGTTGCCATGACGCCTTCCTCTTGGATACCCTTAATGGTCTCGGCGGCAGCAATACCTTGCAGGTAAGGGTCGGAGCCAAAGCCCTCCCAATTGCGACCGCCAGCAGGCATACGACCGAGAGGTCCGACACAGGGGCCAAGCAAGGCGTTAATTCCCTTGCCTCGCGCCTCCGCGCCGTGCGCCTTGCCACGTTGGTACATCAACTCCCTGTTCCAGGTAGCGCCGACAGTAACACCTGCGGGTAGTGCAGTTGCGTTATCGGCGAAGCGAAGACCAAGCGGACCATCTTGCAGCTGAAGTTGCGGAAAGCCGACATGAACAGCAGGACCGGTGGTGCCGACAGCCAGACCCATCATCCAGCCTGTTCCAGTCGTAACGTTCACCTTTTCAGGCAATGTCATCTTGGCGACCATCTCCCCAGCCTTCTTGTAACTCTCTGCCCAGTTTTTGGATATTCCACCTTTCGGAGCAGGGTACCATGGTGGCGACAGGCCTGTAGGAGGAGGACTCTTGAACTTCTTGAACATGACAGCTCCTCCGGCGCTAATGACAACCCACATGACGAAGATGACACCAGCGAGAGCCCAGCATAGCCTTGAGCGGCCACGGAAACAGTTCTTGAGCGCTTCTACAGGCCCAATGCGTTTGCCGGACAAGAAGGCGGGCCTAGGGAAGGAGGACTGATTCTGTTCCTCGCGTGGCAGGTAATCGGTCGCATCGATGTCGGATCCATCTTCGGAATCCCTATCGTAGGATCGACGTGTCTTCTCCTCGTCCAGGAGTCTCTCCTTACTGGGATCCATGGTGGGCGTGGCGATGGATCAATTCGCGGTGATGATGTGTGATTGTTTTAAGGTTGATGGAAGCCAATGGCCCCCAGCTTTCGTCTAGGAATGGGCCCGTCGTCGATGGGCAGGCTGGACTCTAACAGCTTGATCTGGCAGCACGATACAACCGGTAAACCATTGCTCGATGCGCCCCCAAAAAGACGTGTTAGGGAGAATCGGGTAGGAGATTGAGCTCGAAGTGATGAGGTCGACCCGTCCAGCTGTCAGCAACCAGTATGTGAATGATGTTGTAGTAGGGACGCGGAGTAGGGACGAGAAACAAGTCGTGCTTCGGACACAATTGGAGTGTTTGCCAAAGTGAAGGAATGACAAAAAGGGCAAGAACGGGGAAGGGCGTCAGGTCTGTTCTCTTAGGTTTCGGTTCGCACCTCCCGCAGCATGCTCTAGCGTTTGCTTAGCACCTGGGCACGCTTTAAAGGGACTCAGGACTTGAGAATGTTCAGTTGAAACAGTGGGGGGGAACACCAGCAGGACAGTCCCCCGCTTGGGCCGCTTACCCTTGTCCGGAGTGATGTCAGGTACATTCTTAGTGGCCTTCCCCACTGATTGGTGCGGGACCCTCCGGCCGCACGGGCCTAGCGTGCCTTGAGGAGACAGTGGGAGTGCAAATCCACCACTGAATGCCTTCTGTCACTCTTGACCGCCCTCCGATTTGGTCCTCCACGAGACCCATCTGGTGCTTGTTCCAGTATTGAATCCCATCGACCTTGTCTGTCCCGCCCGAGGATTTTCCGTTCTTCTGATGATGATCCAGTCTCACAAACCGATGCCGAGACAGTATATCCACCGCCGAGTAATGGCCAATTCGGTCGGCCTGCATGTTTCTCTGTTGGTCAATATGAGGTTCATCACACAGTGGCCATTTGCATCTCATCAAACTGGAGCAGAGGACAATGGGTTGTCAGCATATTTCAAGCGCTTAAATTAGAATGATCGAGTCTGGGGTCCAAAAAGAAAGGAATGTGATGCATTTTTCTTATGCATCATTCTCGTCTACCCGACAAATCAGAGACATTTTGTCTCAACTAAACCAACATGAGCAAGGCAACATGAGCAACGAATGACACCTGTTGATCTTGTGAGTAGTCTCGGGATCTCAAGTCCGATGCGAGAAACAAATTTCGGGAGCACCTACAGGCCCCAACTTACTTCCATGAGGTTCTGTGCAGTGTGTTCTCTGCCTAGACGAAGTCAAAATTTGAGAAAAGCACCGGAAAAAGAACGACCATCCGATAACTGTTCACATTTGAACTCTGATCTGTTCAATAATGCACCGCGGCAACCTTGTCTACAAATAGTACATCCACTACTAGGAGTAGGAGCCGCTCTTGGCTGTTCACGTAAGCAAGCCCAGAGCCACGCATGAAGGGTAAATGTTCAACTGTGTATGTACTCCGTATCGTTTATCGGAGACTGTGGGTTATTAACACTCACCTAGCCCAGTTGCGTTAGAGAACACCAGAAGTCCAAAACCAAGTGCACATCATCTTCAATGTCCAATCAAACTCTCTTCAATAATACTCAATAAGTAGTAAGATCAGCATCCAGGGCTAGTGTAAAGTGTCAAGGGAGAACTTCAATAAAAAATCAAGCCGCATGCAACTAGAGCAAGTAGCACAGCATAGAAAGTCAATCTGTGCCGTGTGATTGAAGAGTTAGAGGGGGAAAGATGACTCTCGTAGTCTGTTTTCAAATCATGTGTTGCCTCCAAACGGCACGGTTCCAACGGAGTTGCCACTTGGCTGGACGGAGGATGGGACGTCTGACAGAGACGTAAGATGTATCGATCATTAGCGGTTGGGAACCTTCGTGTTTCAGTCAGCCTTTCCGCGATGGAGCTGGTACCCTCTGCAGGTGGGGGTGACAAGCCTAAGCCCTATCTATCCATTTATCGTTGAGAAACAATAAAAAATAAAAATAAAATAAAAATAAAACCCCTCCGTTAATCAGGCTTATTGTTGCCGAGCTAACAGCGAGATAGACAAACAGCACTCGTGGATTGGTAATTCGGGCATCAAGAGGTACTGACAGCGGAGCGAAAAAGACGAGATACGGAGCATAGCGGTACGTATCATGACGAAGAACGGGATCCACCAGTGGAGATTAGCAAGGGTATCTGACGAATAAGAACACACCGATAGGGGGCCGGATAAGTAAAAAATTTCACATGGGCCAAGGATGCGATTCTGCTTGGTGGATGGGACAAAGAGTGTAAAAAAAAAAAATCGCGCCCGGACACCCAATCTAAAGGGAAAAAAATAACTTGTGTTGCGACGGGGAATACAGGTTCCCTCCTGCTTACTGCACACACAACTCCGAGTCCTAAAGAGAGAGAGGACTGACGAGAGCGCCCTTCTGCTAGATTCTCACTCCTTCCTTTCGTCAGCAGCAGAAGTGAGGCCTTTTTCGCGCTCTTCGCCTATTCCGAAATCCTCCTTCCTCTCTCTCCGTTTACCCCTCCAAAAAAAAAAAAAAAAAGCGCGGGCAGTCGCTTCTGATGCCTCACCCAGTAACCCCGCCCTTATCGCAAGAAGAACACCAAGCGACGATGACCGTCGTGGCCAAGGGCGAGGCCCCTCCCCCGCCAACTCAGGAGGAGGTCTCTGCCTTTATGCACTCCATCTTCAACGCTGCCACTTCTGCCGCCTCCGTCGATGCCGCCTACGGCCTTTGCGAAGTCCTGAACAACACGATTGGATACCAGGGTCTGCTGCAATATGGTATTGTCGCTGAGGTCAAGAAGGCCGCTGCCAACAAGAAGTCTGGCCAGATCCGCGAGTCTGCTCAGAACCTTCTCGGCGCCCTCTTTGAGCGTCTTCCTCCCAAGTCTCCTTTGAGCGAGGTTGTTTTCCTGCTCCAAGATGGTGGCTTGGTTGCCTGCTCGCTCGACGCTCTCTCTGACAAGGGCTCTGTCGTTCGTGAGTCTGCACAATATGCGCTGGACGCTCTCTTCAACAACCTGAGCCCCGAGGCTCTTGTTGTTGGCCTGCTGCCCGCCCTCTCCACCTACCTCAGCAAGAAGACCGGAAAGTGGCAAGGCACCGCCGCAGCCTTCAAGATGCTGCAGAAGATGGCCGACAAGGCCAAGCAGACTGTCGGCTCTACCCAGGAGCAGGCCGAAGAGCAGGATGTCCTGCGCGAGGCCATGGGAACCAAGTTGGCCGGTCTCATTCCCATCGTTGAGGGAGGCATGCACGACCTCAAGAGCGAGGTTGAGAAGCAGGCCGTGCAGACCATGACCTCGCTCACTGGCCTGCTGTCCAACGACGACGTTGCTCCTCGCATTCCTCTCCTCATCGACACCATGCAACATCCCTCTACCGAGACTCTGCGCAAGGCCATTCACGCCCTGTCCATGACCACCTTCGTCGCCATCGTCACTTCGCCTGTTCTGGCTCTCCTGACTCCTCTGTTGGAGCGATCTCTGAACACCCCTACCACCGCTCAGGAGGTGCTGCGCCAGACTGTCGTTGTCGTCGAGAACTTGACCAAGCTTGTCCACGACCCCATCGAGGCCCGAACCTTCTTGCCCAAACTCCAGCCTGGTGTTAAGGGCGTCTACGATCGCGCATCCCTTCCCGAGGTCCGTGAGCTTGCTAAGAGAGCTTTGGACGTTATGGACAAGGCTATGGGTGACGACAAGGACGTTATTGAGCGAGTCACCGGCGATGACGTGTCCAAGATTCTCGACGCTGAGATCAAGAAGAACGGCGGGCTGGTTGGCAACGCCGACATTTACAAGCTGGCTCGTCCTTACATGTGCGACCAGGTCGCCGAGGACGTCAACCACCGTTTCGTCGGGCGCATTTCTGCCAGGATTGCTCCTTACCTTCAGGCGCTGGTACAGACTGCCGACGCTCACACTGTTGTTGCTGACGCCGTCCAAAAGCACTACGTGGAGGAGGATGAGCGCAAGTACGGTGTTCCCGAGAAGGAGGACGATGGCGAGACCGAGATTGTCAACGCCCACTTCTCCTTGGCCTACGGTGGTATGCTGCTGCTGTCCCACACCAACTTGAGACTTCTCAAGGGCCACCGTTACGGTCTTTGCGGTCGCAACGGTGCCGGCAAGTCTACTTTGATGCGCAGCATTGCCAGTGGCAAGCTGGAGGGTTTCCCACCCCAGGATGTCCTCCGTACCATCTACGTCGAGCACAACCAGGGTGAGGATGCTGATATCAGCATTCTGGACTTTGTCTTGAAGGACGCTGAAATCGCCGCTCGTGGCAGGGACAAGGTTATTGAGGTTCTTGCTGAGTTCGGTTTCACCGACGGCCCCGATGGTCGCCAGTCTCACAAGGTCGGCTCCCTCTCCGGTGGTTGGAAGATGAAGCTTGCTTTGGCCCGTGCCATGCTCAAGGGTGCCGATGTCCTGTTGCTGGACGAACCTACTAACCACTTGGATGTTGCCAACATCGCCTGGCTCGAGAACTACCTCAAGACGCACCCCGACATTACCAGCTTGATCGTTTCTCACGACTCTGGTTTCCTTGACAACGTCACCACTGACATCTACCACTACGAGCCTAACAAGAAGCTCGCCTGCTACAAGGGTAACCTGGCCAACTTCGTCAAGCTCCGTCCCGAGGCCAAGAGCTACTACACCCTCTCTGCCTCCAACGTCCAGTTCAAGTTCCCGCCCCCTGGTATCCTCACTGGTGTCAAGTCCCAGACTCGTGCCATCATCCGCATGACCAACGTCTCGTACCAGTACCCCAAGGCACCAAAGCCTTCCCTGATGGAAGTCTCCTGCCAGCTTACCCTGTCTTCCCGTGTGGCTATCATTGGCCCCAACGGTGCGGGCAAGTCTACCCTCATCAAGATTCTTACTGGTGAGGTCATCCCCACCACCGGCAAGGTCGAGAAGCACCCCAACCTGCGTATCGGTTACATCAAGCAGCACGCCTTGGAGCACGTTGAGATGCATCTCGAGAAGACACCCAACCAGTACCTGCAGTGGCGTTACGCCAACGGTGACGACCGTGAGGTCCACATGAAGCAGACTCGTATCCTCTCCGACAAGGACAGAGAACAGATGGACAAGTTGATTGACCTCAACGACGGCAAGGCTCCCCGCCAAATTGAGTCTCTTGTCGGTCGTCAGAAGTACAAGAAGACCTTCCAGTACGAAGTGTAAGTAACCATTGCATCCCCGCCGTCAAATCCCCTTCAAAAAGCTAACATGGCGCAGTAAATGGCGTGGCTGGCTTCCCAAGTACAACACCCAGGTCTCCCGTGAGACCCTGATTGAGTGGGGCTTCAACAAGCTTGTCCAGGAGTTCGACGACCACGAGGCTTCCCGCGAGGGTCTCGGTTACCGTGAGCTCCAGCCTACCGTCATCTCCAAGCACTTCGAGGACCTCGGCTTGGACCCTGAGATCGCCAACCACAACGAGATCGGTTCCCTGTCCGGTGGCCAGAAGGTCAAGGTCGTCATTGCCGGTGCCATGTGGAACAACCCCCACTTGCTGGTTCTTGACGAGCCGACTAACTTCTTGGACCGCGATTCCCTCGGCGGTCTTGCTGTCGCTATTCGCGAGTTCAAGGGTGGTGTCATCCTTATTTCTCACAACGAAGAGTTCGTCGGCGCCCTGTGCTCCGAGCAGTGGCACGTCAACGACGGCCGCGTCGCCCTCCGTGGCAACGCTGCCATTAACCTCGGCTCATTCGAGGACAACAGCCAGCCCGGCAGCGGCGCCGTCAGCACCGTCGCCTCCACGGCAGTTTCCAGCGCTGTCAACAGTGCCGTCAACAGCGGTGTCGAGGATAACGCAGAGCTCAAGTTCAAGGCCAAGAAGAAGAGGAAGAAGACCAAGAAGGAGCTCAAGGAGCAGGAGGTCCGTCGCCGTCTGCGTCACATCGAGTGGCTCAACAGCCCCAAGGGCACCCCCCACCCCGCTGACACGGACGACGAGGAATAAGCTGGTTCCCTCTCATTTGTCCGATGTTTTTTGCGACGGTAATATGATGAATGCTAGTGTCTAGACGATTTGCCGGAAAAGTGATTTTTGGTTTTTCTTGGGATATGGGGTAGATACAGCTGCTATTGTGTGCTTTCGTTGTTTCTTTCCCACGGGAGAGAAAAGGAAACAACAGCCTATAGCAGAGAACCCCAGAGAAGCGATAGAGTATGAGACACCCTGAGCCCCGCCGGGCTCTAGACGGAATGAAAGGGTACACCATAGAGGCGTTCTGCATATAGACGGATTGGGATGGGCGGATTCATTTCTTTAGTCAAAGGACACCCTAGACAGATATTCGAACGATGGACGAATTGATCCAATTACTTTTTACTTTACTTTACTTTGTTTTACGTCTTGATTGGCTGGCCAATGTGTGTGAACTTCTCTGTTATGTTGTCTCGAAGCAAGCGGGTCATGGCATTGGGCGTACATGAGTTATCATTTATCTCGGAAGACGAATGGATTTCTCGTCAGACCTCGCTTGCTTCGGCGAGACCAGACTTGCTTCGCGGTTTCGCCATGAGCTCAGTAGGCAAGTACCTCTGTTGAATAAAAATAAAAGAAATAATAACAATATTCTGACATTCCAGCATACTAATTAATACCCCCACCCTCCGACGTTGATACCTTATATGGCGGGATATATTCTCGTCTCTCGTCACTCTACCAGCTCTTGATAAACTGCCACGAAACGAAGAAGTCAACTTTGACGCGGTACTTCTGACTTGCGAGGTGATGTGCAATACGCCTGTACGCCCTCTGCCCACATTGGCATGTATTCTTCAGAGCAGGCACCGGCTTCAGATAACATCACTAACCTTTGACCAACGACTTACTGTCCCACTGATTGGATGTAAATAGATAAGTATCAGGCACAGCCCGACATCGAGATGGGGTTTGGGCATCAGGAACTTCCTCACCATGTCTTTTTGCTCTTTACCTGACTTGACTACCTTCAACTGCACTGTGAATATGGCCTTGGGGCCTGGGTCTGTTTACTTTCCTGTGCCGTAGATTCCCTCCATTACTTCCAGTGCCAGTTGCCCGAGAGTTTGGGGAACACTCGGGAATTCTCAAGAGGCGTTATTTAAGATAAATGGGCAGCTCGAGTTGCAAGGCAAATGAGTACGCATAAACATACATCGCATATTTCGGGCCGTTCCCAGCCACATTCATTCGGGAGCAACAATGAAAGCTCATGACAGCCAGTAGTATCGTTCACTTGAGTCGAGGCAACAGAACAGATTTAGTGGTAACGATTTTGTCTAGATTGTGTGTAAGAAAATCCCATCATCAGGGCGTCCATTTTGTACCGTCATCTACTTCATGTTCTTTCCCTTCGTCCAATTCCAGTTTTCCCTGGTGCCCTTCTTGGCCACCAACCTCGTGGCAGTAAAGATTAAGCTTTAAGAATAGTAGCAAACATATTTGCATGATATCTGGGAAAAGAAGAAAATTGAGAGCCCTGTCCATCATTCCATGATGTGCTCAAGCTGGAATCTAGGTATCAATCCTGTTGCAACTCCATCCAATGTCTATAACGATGCGGAAAACGCCCAATGCCCGCTGCTGGGACTATACAAATATTGATCGCCTCGTAGGGCCCATTTAAATAACCAATTACGCGCAACAAAATTCTCGCAATAAATCGCTTACCACGAGAAGGTCATTAGCGCAGGGTTGAGTGCGATGGGCAAGAGGAGATGGCTGGCAGAGACGGTGGCCATCGGCAGGATGGCAACGAAGTCGGTAATGCGCCAGTCGTGAGGGACGAATGGCGCAACTGCCAGAATGATCATGCCAGCGATGAAAACGCAAGAGAAGAGCATGGAGAATTTGAACTATTGAAAAGCATGTCAGCAATTTGCTCGGATGAGACTGGAATCCAAAAGGTACTGTGCATGCCCTTATAAGGCGCTGCGATTGGTGAAAACAATCGCTGGAATGCGGGGGAGACCGCCACCAAGGGGCTGACAGAGCTGAGGGAGTAACAACTATAAAAGCTTACCTTCTTCAAAACCTTTGGCACTTCGATGAAAAAGTTAGAGAACTCGGCCTCCTTGGATGTCGCACCCCACGTCATGTCGATCTCGAACATGTGAGCCAGAAGAGCCTGGCTGACGTGCAAGCTAAGACCACCGAGGAAGATGGCGAGGAGGAAGGTCCACTTGATGTTCTCGAAGAAAGCCCAGAGCAAGCTCTTCTCACCGACACGGTAACGCATCACAGCGAGCGCAACGTTTCCGAGACCGTTGAAGACGATGATGATGGAGAACCAAACCTGCCACGAGTCGACATAGTACTTGTCAAGGTATCCATTGTACCAGCCCATGAGGAAGTAGTTGACAGACGTCATGATCCAGGCGGCGCCGATAGCGTAGTAAGTACCAATGTATGAAACGACAGTGATCTTGGAAGTGAAACGGATGTTGCTGAACAGGAACTTGCGGAACAGAGGGGTGAATGGACCTCTCCAGAGCCAGGTGCGGATAGGGTGGAACAGAAGCTCATTGCAGCCGTATGCGTACTTCTCCCAACGGGCGAGCTCGTCGTAAACGGTAAGAGACACACCTTCCTTGAAACCCTCGCCAGCCCATGCGGCTAATCGGATGATATAACCGTTGCACTGGAGACGAAGCGACATATCGAAATCCTCAGACACGTGAGACTCGGACCAGAACTTCTCGTAACCATCCTCATCAAAGTAGCCGACCTGCTGGATGGCGCTCCAGCGGAGGATAGCGTTGTGACCGACAAAGGGGGCGACGTCACCATTGGAGACGGTGTATCGAATAGCGGAGTAGATGAGGTTGGTAAAGAAGGTGATGCCGTTCTCGAAGTAAGTGTGGACGACCTGCATGACACCGGAAGAGAATTGCATAATGCCAACATCAGGGGACTGCTCCATCTCGGAAACGGCATCAAGCAAGCAGTCGGCGGGGATACGAGTGTCAGAGTCGATAATGAGGATGTAGTCACCAACACGAATGTTGCCGTCAGCCCAGGCACGGCCGTCAGCTTCGAGAACTTCCTTGAGGGCTTGCTCATAAGCCTGGGCTTCGTCGTGCTGAGTCCACTCGGGAGGGCGGTTGATCTGCTGCAGCTTCTCCTCAACCTTGATGGAAATCATGAGGGCGTAGTTCATGTTGGAGGCCTTCTTAAACTTGCCGCGACGCAGGAAACCGTCCTCTCCGTGCTTGGGGCGGCCGACCCAGCCGATGCTATGGTCGGCATAAAACTCAATGCGGGCGCGACGATCCTCCTCGGAAATCAGCTGAATACCATCATCGTTGATGAACATGTTGGCAGAGCCTCCCTGAAGCTCGTAGGTGGACATGGCCTGCTTGATGGACTTAACCGTGGGTGCAATGACACCGCTCAGACCCTCCTTGTACACAGGGCACTGGACAGTGATGTGAGGAAGAACCGAGTTCTGCAGCCTTGGGGGAGGGCGTGCGGAGTAGAACTTGGAGTTGATGGACAATTGACGAATAGGACCGAAGATCTGGGCCAAGCAACCGACAATGACCTGCGCGAAGAAGAGAGTGAAGAAGATCTGAACCGGGAAGAGGGCTATGAGAGCCAGACGAAGGTACTCTCCATCAACGGAGACTTCGATGGCGAGCTGTCTCCAGGCAGCACCGAGAGAAACAGTGACGAGAACAAGAGTGATGGAAACCAGGTAAGTGTTGAGGAGGTGAACAGGTCGCTTCTCCGGCTTGATCTCACCACTCTCCTCGTCGATCTCATAGTCGGCAACGTTGGGTCCCTTCTTTTCATCACCATCTTCATCATCAGCGCCAGCCTTCCAGACCAGCTCCATGAGCTCTGACTCAATTGCCTTGGCTCTCTGGACAAGGTGCAGTGCGTCGTCGTCCCAGACAATCAAAAGACCTTCTGATGCGACAAAAGCAGCAAACTGGTGCTTCCTTGCCCTCGGCAGGTCCTCGATGGTGGGCAGAATCTGGACCCGCAGACCGTTCATCAGAGGCACATCGACAGCGTCAGGAGTCCACTGAAGGAAGGTCTTGATGACACGGGAGTTTACGGTCATGGCGCACTGAACATTGAGAGCAGCGCAAGCCATGGCGAAGGGCGAGTTGCCCAACTGCGGAGGGCAGGCCATGTACTGGCCCCTGGCCTTTCGCAGAAGAACACCCTCGATCTCACCGGATCCGTCGCTCACCCACAAGTGGGAGCATTGTTGCTGGTAGAGGTAGTTGACCATGACCTCGTGCTTGATGTCGTCGAGGAACATGGAGCTGCCGTTAGATCGTGTCGAACGGCCGGAGATGGACTGAGGGCGAGAGTTGTATCGGGGAGTAGGCGGTTGGAGTTCCATATCGTTGGAGCTTCCCTGCTGGGGTGAACCCTTCTCAGACACCACAGGAGCTTGGTTTGCGCGGCCGGCCTGGGGTGGGCTGGGTCCGCGAGGAGCCTCAGGCTTGTCAGCCTTGAAGTAGCTACCGATGCCCATCTTGTCGATATTGGGCTCACGGTGCCTCTGGAATTGGTGAGAAACTTTGCAGAGCAGGGTCGGGGAACTGCCCGCTCAGAAAGTCGAGTGTGTTGAGACGCAAGATGTCAAGTGACGTCGAACTGGACTAGATGATTGTTGGGATAGCGAGTGTACAGGCTTCTAAGTGGAACCCGAAAAACAAGAATAAGCGATTGTATAGAGACGTTCAAGCTACCATGGACGAAGGCGATGGTTGTCGAGTCGAGGAATTCAGACCGTTTGGCAAGCGACAAGCCGATGAGGATGCACCTATAGAAGAAGGCAAACCTCTGGTCTCTATTGAAGACGCCTCGAGTGTTAGTCCGATAGACGATCCCGAGGGAGGAAGGAAGGGAAGAGGGCCGAGGCGATGGACGAGGACGAGGGAGAAGTAAGAAGGTTATTGAGGACACAAAGGCGCAGGAGAAGGACAGGCAAGAAACACGGGCGATCCAATCGGGCAAGGCGTCGATGAGCGTCGCCAACAAGACCAGGGATGAGCAGCGCGGGTAGTGCAGCAAGCCAGTCTTTCAACCGAGAGGCCGGTGGGCAGGAGAGAGAGGGTGGTAGTGGTGGGTGAGTGGGGTGGGTTGATTAGAGGAATCCTCTCTGAGCCAGGGCTGGCCGGGGCCTAAAGTTGGCAGCTGAGAGCCAGAGCGAGAGCAAAAGCAAAAGAGCAAGGATGTCTTTAGGTGGTTGAGGGCGGTGATACGGATGGAGGATACACGTCGTCGTCGTCACTAACGAACAGTACAGCGGCGTGCAGCGCCTGGGAAACTTCCCGTGTAAGCGGCGCGGGAGGAGGCGAGTGCGGTACCTCTTACACTCGGCGAGGCGAGGCGAGACGAGGCGAGAAGATCTGAGATGTTGAGGGGGTGAGAACTCACTCTATTCGAAGATGCCGGGGCACTGCCCTGGTGGGTGAGTTGTCCGGATAGGAGGTTTAGGTGTCGATAGTCAGTGACCTTGGCAGTGGTTGCCACGCTGCGCTGGGATTATTCGCAAAAGAGGGGCCTGGAGGATGCTCCAAAGGAGGGGAAGACAGCGGCAGCGGAAGGGAGCGAATGAGGGATTGGAGGGGGAAGAAAAGAAAGACGCTGTCTGGAAGAAACAGCAACAAGTGAGTCGACCTATTCTCCTCTCGTGGGTGGAAATGAGAGAGGGCGGCCGGAGCAGTTGTTTAATGGGATGAGCTGCAGTAAAGACTGGGGGGACGCCTGTAGTGGAAATTGAAGACTTAGCTTCAACAGGACTAGCCGAACAAACAACACCAAGGAAAAATAAAAAATAAAAATACAAAAAAAGAGGAAAATAACGTAGATGCGCCGAAGGGTCATGATGCCCGGATACGGAAAGTAGAACAAGGGTCGAGGGCCAAGGGGGGCGTGGGCCATGGTCGCGACCGTGGCCCAGGGGACTCAAGCAGCATCGTGGCTGCCAAGGGACAAGGGCCAACAGTGTGTACTTCAATGGGAAGGTGCGAGGAACAATGAACAAGGGGGTGTGTGGGACGTCCACAGGGAAAGAGCCGGGGTCAGGGATTGGTTGAAAAATCCTGGTTGCCCCCCGCCTTCAAGGAAAGAGTAGACGGCCTGCTGGGCTCCGCTTGCCTGGCCTTAGAGTGCTAAAGTGAACCTGTGCCTGAGCCTGAGCCTGTGGCTGACCTGTGCTTCCTCTTCTGATGGATCCAATGTGGGGCCACGGATACGCTAGGCGGTCCCGGAGGGTAGTCGCGCCTGGCTGGTGGCTGTCGAGGTCCGGGCTTTCCACACCTCCAACTGCAATCGTTCTTTCCCATTGACATTCGCGAATGCAGGTAAGCAAGGTATTTCGTTTACTGTGAATGCTCGAGAGAACAGCACGTCCCTCCTTCGCAGGCGGTAACCATAGGCAGTGACGGTAATCAGAATGGCAAAGACGCGGTTACCGTGGTGGCGCTCTGCCATTTTTACCCGTGGTCGGCCTAAGCTGCTTTGGCTCATCATCCCGCTTTATGCATCTTGATGCCAAGGAGCTGTTCCCATTTTGTTCCTTTTTTTGATAATCCTCGGCCTCTTCGACTGCTTCTCGCTAGTATCGCCAGAGAGCCGCATCTACGGGTTCTCGATGCCGGTGACTTGGGGATCGACATCACCGAACTGTCAGACGCGAAGCCCAATCCGTGCCACTTCTCGCTATCACGTCCCAATTGCCCGATCCTGTGTCAATGCTGGCCCGTTACCCGAGTACCCAGTGTGATGTTCACCATTTTCCTGGGTTGTGCTTCCTCGCCGAGAATCCCGTGCAGCACTACACCTGAGGCGACCTCGGCATGAGCCAAGCAAATATCTCCATAACGCTCACCGAGAGCACGAATTTCGTGGGTCAGGTTCAACAAAAGCGCCGATGTTTTCAACGCCCTACCTCCACTCATCGGGATCGGGGGGGAAGAGAGACACACACCTATCCTTCGTATCAGTCAAACACCATTGACTTTGAGGTGCGCTCCTCATTCGCGTCTCATATCTGTCAGATTACGCCAGTCCTCGCATCCACCGAGCCGCCGCATTGATCAAGAAGAAGAACGGTGACCGCCACCCTGACACATGGCCGCCGCTCTACCAACACTTATGTGGATATCCATCTCGGGTCAGGACCCCCCACGATATCAATAGAAACAAAAACGTCGTTTGTATCTGTTAATCCATGCGTTTGTCACTGCCTGTTGGGCGGTCCGTTTCCATACGGCCCTTCTCAAGAGTGCGGCTGCCCTCGTGTTGTTGATACGGACTGTCGATTAGCCTCATTTGGCATATCATCGGAAAGATTCTTACTTGTTTGATCAATCACACCATTATAGACATTGATACAGTATACTCACCGCTTTTAAGAGGCCCAGTGAGCGGGCTTTCAGCCTCGGGGGCAATACTGTTTCTGTCACCCGTCATCAAGCCTCCAGCTATCGACTATCTTTGCCCCTGTGAACAGGATTCCATCCTTTTTCGGTATTGCCCACTCTCGAATGGTCGTTACCTGAACAGGGGCATGAATACCTCCAGCTTGTTCTGTAAGTGACTGGTATTGGAGCTGAGCTGAGAGCAGTATCAAAGAGATTGTTACTTTTACGCGCTCTCATTTCTTGCGCTACTGGCTTGGTTCTCTGTTGACTTTCCAAGATGAGCGCCTAATCTTGCAAGTTGCTGTCTTCAGCCCCCTCCGAGGCAGCCTGTTGACAGATTTGGCTGGCGTAAGGGCCAGCCACCCACCAATTCACTAGAGCAATCAATAGTTACGGCATCATAATGGAGCTGGTGAGAGGCTACCCCCACTCAGTAAGTGCTTCCGCATGAGGGCAGGCTCTCTATGGGGAGTACGATGGCGGTCTCTTCACAAAAGACTGTTGTCGCGCGCGCCTTTCTATATGCAAAATTGTACATGTCGCCCATTTGCCTCGCCAATTCCGATGGAAGAAAGATCAGCATGAACAAAGGCTTTAAAGGTCCGTTTGCGGAAATGGATTCGGCTGCTGATGAAGGGCTCGAATTGCTGGTACTTCCGTATGGATGTAGTTGTGTGTCAGCAGTCAATGAAACATATTGGGCAATTACAAACAGTGTACAGCTGAAAAGCATAGGCATAGAAGTGATCAACAGGGGTACGTCAGACTCGCGCACTCTCTAGGGAGGTGTATGGGCTTGGCTCGCGGAGTTTCCCTCAATGAGAAAGTATTGGTATCTCAACGTCCTACAGCACGTCCTTAAAGCAGCGACGAGGCCCCGATGGGTGGCGCGAACAGGGGTTCGTCCATGTTCTGCCATGCAGCATGCAATGCACCATCAGGCAAGTAACGGATGCCCGGCTCACTAGCCACAGATTCAAGGTCCTTTTTACCTGCGAGTGTGGCAGGAAGAGAGTAATATCGAAAATAAAACCAATAAAAAATTGCAGGGCGCTAACAGCAAAGTATAATGGAGCTTCTGGAACGCCTGGACGTCAGCACATTCCGCGGACCCGATTGACAAGAAGAGCGTAAAGCTATGATGCTAAAGCTAAGGGTAGATGAGACAGCGGCGTAGTACCTGCCTCCTGGGACACTAGGGAGATACAAAGTCTCACTGGCTGAGTCTTGCACCATGCTTTCTATAATGCCTTCCTCTCAGACAAGTTGGCATCTTATGGCAACGTTTGGTTGTCCCATATTCTGCTTGGGCCTAGCCGAGTTGGTGTATCGGACTGCGTTCATGGGTGCTGGGGTGTATGCAGGTTTTACCGCAGAGGTCACCGACACCAGGTTCAGGTATTCTATCTTGGCTCTTTGTCAACATGGCTCGTATCGCAGGCCTCATGGCCAATTTTTGATAGAAGACGTCTGCACCCTGTCGTGGTGGCGTCCTGCAGGACGCTGTTGACCGCATATCGGATGATTTTAGGATGCAAGACTGAAGGTTGGACCCTCGAACTATGCTGACCTTGGACTCAGCCAGCCAAGGTAAGGCAACACCGAAGAGAGCACTTTGCCATATCCGGGCAGAAAACAGCGTCTTTGGGGGGCAAGTCGACGATAATATGTTGCAGACAGCGAAAAAGTCGACAAATAGACCACCCATGAGACAGACCTTGGCTGGCCATCATTTTGACTAGGGTCCGAGATTTACATGCTATGCCGACAAACGGCATAATGGATGTTGAATGCTACAATACCGGCTGATGATTGGACTACGAGACCGCACTGCTGGCGGCGGCGCAGCCAGTCCATTGACACTCGACGAAGCCAGGATTAATTTTCCGTCACGATCGCTAAAACCTCCGGCGACTTTTGCGGGCCTGTTGTGCAAGGCCTGCTTCTCCAAAAGGCCCAAAGCCTTCCAGGGGGAAAAAAAGATCGCAAAGAATAAGATGGAATAAAACGTTATGCATCCTGCCGGGGGTGGCTGTGTTTATTTTAGGAGCATCCAAGGCGCCAATTCTTCGTATTCTATCAGTGGAGTTGCAGTGCAAAAGCATGCAGACATCCAATCGGCCAATCCAAGCTCAAGAAACACACACACACACACTCACCATCACACACCCACATCCGCCTCAGAAGCCAATAATCAACAATCCGTTACCGTTCAAATCTCGGCGGGAAGGATAAGAAATCAAGATTTTGTCTGGTAGCGATAGGTGGGACGTGCCGCCGGCGCAACGGCCGAAGAGGCTCTGACTGGATAAGAACGACACACACCTACCAACACGGCCTGTCTACCTGCCGGTGAAAACCTTCACCTGTGACCGAAACTGCCCTCACAGCTTGCCACGACAACGGCGACCTCGGCAGGCGGACAGGGGCTTTGACAGAACAAGGATATGGCGACTTATTGCCAACAGGGCCCCCTGTCACCAGCACCGTTTAAGCTTATCACGGCTCACTGGCTCAAATAATCATGATAAGCAGGCAGTAATCTGTCTCCTTCGTTTGACCTCATCAGGTTTTCTTGTCAGCATTTTGATAAAGCATGAATGACTACGGATACATGGCCGAGACTAGTTGGGACAATGATAAACCGGCTTCTCCTGAGCGAAATCAAGCTTTTTCTGGTCACTGCTAAATGACGCTGGTGCTGACTCACGGACAGCAAAATGCTGCCGTCTCCCAATCAGAGTAAGAGATGAAGTGAATCGAGATGTTGTGGCTTACAGTCTGCAATTTCCACACAAGCACCTAGGAAAGGGGTAACAGATGATGATACGGTCTCTGAATGAGGGGCTTCCACGCGGCTAACAATCCATCTTCCCCTTTTCCCATTCTTCACGTACCTCTCATGGGAATTACCGCCCACGCAAAGTGCACGCACCGGAATGACGGCAAGAAAACGTGGTGGTGACTGGGCCCGTAATCCAGCCGCAAACCACGACCTCGGGTCCTCCTACAACGTGGGAGGTATGGCCTCGCCGGGCGGCTCGCTCGTGGCGTCAGCTCTCATTTCGGGATGCCGCCGTATTGGGTCCTCTCACGGACCGGGCCACAGATAGAGCGGATACGCAGGCCGTTCCATCTGTGACTCCCGTCAGACAGATATCTTTTTTTTCCTCGCGTAAAACGGCTCGCCCACCCCCTTCCTGGCGTACAATGCTCCCATCGTCAGCCTTACATAGACTTTCGCCCGCTACTCCGTACTTCCTAGAACAGTTGCAGCTCACCACCAGTCCCACTTGGAAATGAGGACTTTTGTGTGAAACGTCCCAAAACCAGACCACGAGGTTGACAGCCCCCGCCAAGCTATCCTGATGGGCGTCTGACGAGTTACAGACGGCTCTTCATGTCGCTGACGGACTTGTTGATACGATATGACTATGAATGCAACAGCACTATTTTCTTACCAGAGTGGAAAGTCTCGGTCGAATTCTGGGTTCGTTCTTCTGGTATTGCCCGGATCTGCGCTTGTACCCGTCCGGCCGGCCCACCTCACCGACAAAGGCACCATCCGGCGGATCGCCCGGCAGACCAAATGGCCTCCACCTATTTTATTTTCCCATGGGCTGTGTCTATCACAGGTGGCGTAGCAGTACCACCCTGGCTTGTAACAGGACCGCGATTTGTGGTCGTATCTGCGGATAAGCAATCGCCTCCGTATTCTCCATCAGCCCATTTTTCAAGCTGAGGTCAAGGCGCGTTTCTCCATTGTGTCTGCGGACACCCGGCGATCAACCTGACGTCGACTGGCCTGAGGAGCGGATTGGGCCGCTGCTCCTCTGATACCTTACATCGGGCGCTAGTGATGATATACATAGGATGGCAATACTGAGAGCCATTTTCATACCCAAAGTAGGCATTGTCACCAAGCAGTTAGCATCAATAGAATCAAGTTCTTAAAACAGAGTAACGGCAGGGTTCGGCATATGATTTCGGTTGCTACGTTGCGGCTTGTACCGGAGATCCAGCTGCAAAGGACGACAGAGTAATTATTCGACTGCACAACTCATGACTCGAAATGCTGGCCAGCTATTGCTGTCACCAAAGAATTAGGCAGGTTACGTACACGCAAGTTCAGGCCAAACCTCCATGACAGCAAACCATCAAATGAACCCAACACAAACCTGGGCGACAAAAGATGAAAAGTGGATACGGCTACCAACAACCTTTGCCGGCCGGCATACGGATACTCGTCCGAGGAATTTCGAATCTCGAGAAATTAAGAACAAAAGAACCAGATCCTTGAACCCCCCCCCCGACCCGACGGTGCCAAGGCCCACCCGTGTCTTTCCCCAGTCCGTCGGCGACGGGAAACACATTCCATAATTTTTCCATCACGGGCAAACATTCTCCATGCTCCCAAGGCCGGCCCGCCCCTCATTCTACCAATTTTACCATGTACTGGACTTCTAGCGTGTTTCGTTTCCTTAACGAATGAGAGTGGGGATCCAAAAATCCACAAAGCTAAAAAGACCAGCTTTTCTCCATCTCGGATCCTTCACTTCTCGTGGTGAACGAGGTTGGGACCAGGTTCGCTCATAAGCTTGAATGTCTGTTTGCTCCAGGGGAGCCATTTCTGTGCCCACACCTCTGAAGATCACATCGGAGTATTTTGTTTAATAAATAAATAAATAAACAATAAAGGGCAGTTTAAAGATAAATAAAAATAAAAAGGCTGCGAGCGGACACTAGCCAGCGTCATCCGTCACCGAAGAGGAAAAGGGAAACAAAAAAAAAGAATACTCCACCGCCACTGTGAAGATCGTCTTCACGAACCCTCAACCTGAAGCCTACTATGCGCTACTAGTTTATGTTTCCTAGACCCCTAGATTCGGGGCTGACGAAGGAGTCCGAACGAAGGAAAGAAAAAAAAAAAAAAGAGACGCCGACGCCGCTGACAAAGTCCAGAACAGTTCTCTTGAAAGACAAATGGGACTTTCATGACGCAATTGACAAAAAAAAAAAAAGGGTAGACAGACGCGAAACCCTGTTTCTTACTTACCGATTTCTAGTATATACGTGGTACTAGGTAAGTTTTCCCGGGGTTGGGAGGGATTTGCCGCGACAAGTTCAGTTCAGTTCAGTTCAGTTCAGTTCAGTTCAGTTCAGCCGCCCTTGCGACAGAAACGTCTCATGTTTTTTTTATTTTTTTAACCCCCCATGAGTAAACAGTCTCGTGTCGCCCTTTGGTGGTTGACCCAGAAGGGAGAGAGTATGGGACAGACACACATAAGCCGCCCCATGAGTTCGTCGCGAGGATAGACCAGCCATTAGTTTTATAGTATTAGTGCCTTATATTTGGATATCTCTTAACCTCCTCCCCCCTGCCTCATCCCCTGAGACCGTTTCGTTTCTCTTCCCCATAGTCTTCTAACCAATCTTTTTTTTTTTTTTTTTTTTTCAATATACATGCTGCAAGACACTGATTCTAACCTCGTGGATCGGTGATGAGTCTCGTAGAAAGAAGCAAAAACAAAGGTCCTCCCCCGAAAGATAGACATCCAAGCCTCATGAGGAGGAGTTGTCCAAGGGCCGCCCCCCCCAAGATCTGCCTTGCGCGATCTCACTTCCCGAGACTCTCCATTATGCGTTGGTTCTTCTGGGCATTTCCACTAGTAGGCTTTTCCGATTGTCCCAAAAGTCAGTCGCTCGCTGTCTCTTACTCTCTTTCTTCCCGAGCTACGCGATCAGCGATTCAGTGGCGAGGAGCTTGACGTGCTGCTGCCCACTTCCTCTCTCACCTTCACGCCGAACCTAGCTAGTGTTGTCCACCAAGTTCAAAGAGGGTAGATAAGGTATGTACAGTAGCATTGCAGTATACCAACGCAGAAACCTGATGAACCCCCCTACTCCAATGTATGACGGCTCCCTCTCATTCGTCCCCCTCCCAACAATGAAAGGTTCCGAAGTGGCAGGCTTTTTGCCTTCCGGCCCTCAATGCTTGGCCATGCCGTGTAGCTGGTTCACCGCCGCAGGGCTGCAGCCCAATTTACTTTTCTATTGATTCCAGACCCCCCCGGCCAGCCTCCTTCCCTCAAGCACGTCTGCCTTGGCCTCTCTTCCATCACCAGGCTGATCCCGTGTCTGCGTGAGAGAAGAAAACAATAGATAGGCAAGTCCCGTGTAGTGCAAGACTACTCCATTGATCTGCCGTCCTACTTCATGCGGTATTGTATGACTGCATCGGCCATTTATCTGACTTCAGTCGAGACGCAGGGATGATAAACCTGCAGATGGTCGCGACCTAAATCTTGATCCTTTGATGTACGCACGTGATGGCAGGTTTCATAGCTCAAAATCATCTCCGATGTGATTGACCATCATCGACTGTCTGGGGAAGTGTAATAGTGCATAAACATTTTTTTTTCTTCCTCAAATTCATTATAGTAGTAGTATTATGTCTCCCAGATACCCATGTCATAGCGCGACGACCCAATTAATGTGTTAATGTGACCCAAGACATTGTCGTCAAACACAGGCGGCATCATGCCGCCATCTGCGGGGAGCTGAGCTCCAGGGAAACATACAGAGATATGGTATTCCAAAATTGACCGCCATCCGTTGTGAAACCGCACCGCGCGCCCGTCATCTATCCCAAAATAACGTGTCACCCGTGTCTATATGTTCTTGACCGCCAAAAAAGAAATGTCACCTGGACGCGCTTTTACAGCTCCTCGTTGCCATCACACTGTTGCCACATGGAGACCTTGCTGATGGTCATCTCCGGTTGGGTCCAGGTCGGGTGCCACTGGTCAGTGGCCTTCCAGAAGTCCCTCTTGGCGTTGGGGCTGTTGCCCACCCAGGGCTTTCCAGACTTGCCATCCTCGAACCATCCGTTGGTGCCACCGACAGCGACGTTGAGGATGAGGTAGAAGTGCTGGTCGAATGGCGTGTTGGAGCGGCCAGTCTGACTCCAGACATCCACCAGACGACTTCCGTTAGAGTTGGTCTGGGGGAAGTCGCCGCGCTTCCACATGGGCTCGTCAAAGTTGGTGTAGAGAACTTGCAAGAGACGGCTGTTGACGTAGGTGAAAAGGTACTTTTGGGACCACTCGAGACCGTAAGTGTTGAAGCCGTCACCGTAGGTTGTGTGCAGAGCTTGGCGCTTGTTGTTGGTTCTCCACCAGGCGTCGTTGGGCTGGTCGGGTCCCCAGTGCAAGGCCGATGACATGACATTGTTGCCACCCTGCTCATAGGTCCAGTTGTTGCCGCGGGACTCCATGATATCAATTTCGCCAGAAGCGGGCCAGACGCCGTACTCTTCCTTGACAGGCATCATCCAGATGGCAGGCCAGAGCCAGTCACCCTTGGGGAGCTTCGCAACAACCTCGACGCGGCCATATTTGATGGTGGCTCCCTTCTTGGTGTTGAGACGGGCAGACTTGACAGGAGGAACAATGGTGGAGTTACCAGCAGTGGTGTTGGTAGCAGCAACACAGTCAGTATACTTATCTGAGGTACAAGTTCCATCCTTGAGAAGGTCAATGACTGTGTCCTTCTCAATTAGTGCGTTGTCGGTGAGGGTGGGGTGAATGACGAGGTTGCCGTCCTTGATGTAGACGTTCTCCTCATCGGCAGTCGTCCACTCAAACTGGCCGTTGCTATACAGGTATTAGTGATTTGTGAGCCGGAAAATTAACAATAAGATGGGTCAACATACCCAAAGCCACCAACGTTGACCTCCTTAGTCCAAACGTTGCTGTCAAGGTTGCCAGAGGCGAAGTCCTCAATGAGGACTGGGCAGTACTGGTGCTTAACGACACTGCGGATACCGTCCCAGACGAGGAAACCCGAGATAGCCAAACCGATAAAAATGCCAACAATTGGGATGATGGTGACCCATTTCTCTTTGGGGTCGGCCTTGTCCAGCCAGGGCTTCTCGACGTCCTCCTTGCGGATACGTCTCGAGTGGAAGTAGCGCTGAGAGCGCTCATCGAAACGGGTGCCTATAGCACTGGAAGACCCGAAGCTTGATGCGGGACGAGAAACGGCAGGAGTGCCAAAGGGGTTGGTACCCATTCCAGGGCGCTGTGAAGCTTGCGACTCGGCACCATCGTTGAATGGGTTTCGACTGTTCTCCGTGTTGGGAGTGCCTGGGCGAAGAGGGGTGCCGGCGGCGGTGGTGGCAGTTGAAGGCTGGCCGGCGACCTGCCGAGAGTAGTAGGGCTGGTTGTACTGATCCTGCTGCTCCATTGTGGATGTGTGATTAAGACGATGTATTCAATTAAAGGCAGAGGAGTAAATGTTCTGCGGCAGGCTCAAGTGAGCTGCGAATCCCTCCAAGTAATCAAGTCCCGGGGTAGGTGGAGAGACGATGACAAAAAGGTGTAGCGAATGTGGTGTCGTCGGAAAAGAATGAATGACTTTCTCTTTGGTAGTTAGGGTACTGAAAGGGTTATCGCTGGGGTGGACGATTTCCCTCTATAACCTTGCAGAAAGCGACGAGAGAACGGATAAAAGTACTGTTTGCAACGGACGAGGCAAAAGAAAGAAGAGAGATCCGCAAAAAGGCGTGAACGAGAGGCGAGGCCGAGTAAGTAAAGGCGAAGTGCCTTTAGGCAAATGGAAAGGATGCAGGCCGATCAAAAAAGCTGCTTAAGGGGGGGTGTGGGAGCTAAGATCAGGAAGGTCAAGTGGGAGGACGGGTAGGTACCTCAATCAAGTACCGCTGGGCGACGGCGGCGCCGGGGTGGGAAAGCTCCTCATAGCTGCTGTGGCCGGAAGCGGCTCCAATTACACTCTCGTCTTTTCACACTTGCCTACCACACACACAAGCACCCAGTGGCTCCAAAGGTAATGGTTCCCCTTTTCCAGCGCGTCACACCAGCGGCCCCTCCGCCAGTTTGGCGGCAATTTCCTGCTAGGTGCTGCCCTGTTTAGCGCTATTAACAGTACCTAGTGGCGCTCAGTTACAGGAGGCGACAGGCCAGATGGGTTAATAGAAACGGCATCAACCACTGTCCCTTCCCTTGTATTTGCATATCCGCACCTAGTTATCAGCACTTGCCTGCTGCCCCTCTATCTGTCCCCTCACAAAAATGGGATGGTTCTTCCCAAATTCATTTTTGGGTTTTCAAGGCACAGGCCAAGTCTGGGCGGCATTTAGCGTGGCCGGACTCGAATTGGCTTCCTTCACAACCATCGCCAACTTCTGTCCTCTCTCAAGAGTCATGTTCCTTGATATCCGTGTTTTCCCCTTTATCTTCTCTTTTCACCCCCCAACGCCCTGAAGCAGGAGAATCTGGCCCGCCCAAGACGTCTAGTTTGACCCAATACTTCCACCCAATTCGTCATCTCGATATCACATCGGGAAGCCGGGTTACAGACATTTGCGCGTGCACCTGGTTGGTTTCATGGGTCATCGTTGCCGCAATCGCTACCAGACGTCCGGCCCCAAAACCTCACTATTGACATACTGCAGCAACCGACTTCTTCTTTCAGAGTCAGCCTTGATGATAGTGTACGGAACAGCATGTACTCTCCCTCTCCCTCTTCCCCCAGCCTGTCTCCCACTCCCTGGTCCTAACCGTCCCGCTTCCCGTTGTTGCTTCGCTGACGGGATCCAACTCCAGCTCCCTCTGTTCCAACCCTACTGACCAGATCATGACGAAAACAACCATCCGGAGAACATGGTGCAGAGAGGCGCCCTCCTATTGGCCGTTTGCAGCGTAGAAAAGCAGCAAGAGATTTGCCCGGACCAGGCTTGCATTGGCGCGTTTGTTAGCTCCGTGGCGTGCAGGCATCTTCCACCTCCAGCCTACGATGCCCTTGTACCTGCATCAGACCCCTGCGCGACACCTTGCCTCCCCCTGGTCCCTCGTCGGCCGAAATGTAGCGATAAGGGATGCTTCCTCTTTAGGACTAAATCCATAAAGCCCCGCCCAATATTGCGCCGGTCTGCCATGGCCCGTCTTGGCCACCTCCTGGAGCAATTTCCACCAGCACGTCAAGACGTGGTGATAGCGTCAATGCTCATCTTGATCACAGTCTTCACCAGATCCGGTCGGATGAGAGAGGCCCACCGCGCGCCTGTGGGCTTGGCCTACGGCATCCAGAAAAAGAGCTTTCAGACTGTCCAAAAGGAACCAAATGAGATACGAGACAGAGACAACAACGCCGTGAGGCACGGATGCCGAGGCCCAAGCGAGCCCACAAGACTGACTGTTACCTTCAGGCGAGAGAAGTTGGCTCTCCTGCTCACAATGGCGAAATATCGGACGATTACTTGGCACTAAGCCTCCTGCAGTTTGTTGGGCAGTTATGCTTGCCTCTAGACACGAGTATCAGCTGGTGGCTCGGCAAAGCTCAGCATTGTTACTCCAAGACCAAGTAGTTCGAGAATGGAACTGTAACCCAAATGCTTGCTCTTGGGAGAAGCTAGACCTGCCTATGAACCAGCTGGTCGGTCGACCCGCTTTGAAGGCTTAAATCCATGATCGACACTGATCCTTCTTTCGTCCTGGATATCCTCAGAAGCGACGTGGCGAGAAGCAGTCCAAGTGGTTGATCGACGTCGAATGCGCCTCTGCCGGCCATGCCGTAGGATAATCCGTGGAGTCTCTGCTCTGGATTTCAACTTCAAGATCTGCCGCATGGCCAGGCCGTCCGGAAGAAAACCCTGGTCGAATGATCGACGCCTTCCGGGAGCGTCCCCGCGAGGCGGTGGAGGCTTTCCTTTGTCCTTGTCTCTCCTGGCAAACGCCCCCCACTGAACCAGATATCTCATTGAGCGTCAACGACTCTGTTCCTCTACATGTCAAGAAATTCGACCGAGGGTTGTGAAAACTCTTTCTAGATTACGCTAGTAGCTTCTGTAATTGTTGATGAATTAAAGACACGCCTGTCGCTTGTCAATTACCTGCTATCTAGCTTGTGCAGCATGCCACTTGCAATGCAGATACAGCTGAGAAGTTGCGCGTTGGCTACACAATGGGGTCTTATTCATGCCAGGTTATGTGCTACTGGTTAGATACTGCCAAAGATGCAGACTGCATGCATTAGCTTTACGAAAAGAATTGTGCTGGAGTTGTGGCTGGGTAGCTGCATCATGGCAGGCTTGAACGAGCTTTGCGCAACAAACAATGCTGCAGATTCCCCATTTGGATCACCACTGACAGCGAGAATAGCGAAGGCGACTGGGGCCAGATCATATCGCCTGTCTTGGCCTTCTTGTCTTCGTATAGCATTTCCTCTAAGAACGACCCGTAGGATTGGTTCTGGTAACGCAGGGTTTTAGTTACAGCACATGAGCTGTGTGTCTGCTTCTGGCAACACTACGAGAAGCTCCCTGCGTAGGGCAGCATGAACAGCATGCAAATGGCCAGGTGAAGGGAACAGGCAACAGGTTTCATTGCGGAGCCGTTGAGAAAATGTCAAGACCAAAGTTTATGAAAGTACAAGTAAGCTGTAGAGCGCCTCCTCAACATCAATCAGGTGCCGTCTTTCCGATATCATGTCAGGAATCTCGAGCATCCCTCTCAACGTTCCATCGTCTAGGCCGTTTGCCGTCAATCCTCGACTATCTCGCGGCCATAGTCTCATGTCTGTACATAATAGTGTACTCGAGACCATCCAGTCGGGTCATCGAGAATTCGCAGAAACCCCGCTTCTCGTTGCCCCCTCCTCCATTCGTGTTCGGTCGGTGCAGGGTTCAATCATCCTGGCCAGTAAACAGTGCAGTTTCCCTTCCACTGTTGTATTTTTAAAATAAACGCACTTCAACCTTCCCGACGCCTCCCCCATCGCCCACCCACGTCAATCTGCAGCTGGTATCTGATTCAAACGGCGTGGTGGCACGTCGTCCAATCGAGTTCTTTTTGCAGCTCGCGCTGTGTGTTTCAGTTGAGGCGGTTGATTGATACGAACGTTGGAAATAGCTGGGTGCACCGTTGCGCGTAATCTTTGTCTCTGCTCATACGAGCCAAGGTTGGGTTGATTCAAACGAGCTGACAATATGCAACGCTGCCAAGGCGAAACCCCAGGATAGGAAAACCTTTTCATCCTCATCGGCGTTGGATGCGTGTTTTCAGGCGTCGCCATTTCTGCAGGCAGGGTACGCTGCATTGCAGCTATCCTGTTCTTCTTTTTGCCCTTTCTCAAGCAGCGTAATGCACGCAGGGCTGGCTAGAAGGCCCTGGACAGCTTGGCTGGGCATGCTTTTGCCACTGCTCTTGGGTCAGCCATCGACTGATTCTGTGTGAATTCAAAAGGTTGGGTTGCGCTGGCAGCGCATGGATATATGCAGGTCTGAGGCGTAGAAAGGTTAAGCGACGTTCGCCCGGGCTGTGAGGAGGCGGGACGGAGGTTTAGGGTTCCGCATCCCGACGGCTGACAAGGCTTATGCCACGGGGCCGGGGTAAGCGAACTTTTAACTACGGTCGGAAGTTGTGGGTTGTAACTTGGGTTTGTTCCAAGTAGGCGTGGGAGAGAGCTCGCTGCGTTTCATGGGTGATGTTGGCTCGAGGTGGCACTGCTGGGCTGAGGGCTGCTTGATGCGACGGTACCAGAGAGTATGAGCCGAGCACGACGTTGCGGCTCCTGTATGGAAATCCCACCTTGAGCTTCTCTTCGTGTGTAATGCGTAGCCAAGCAGTTGTCAAGCTGCCAGTGTTGTGAAGCAAAGGTTTAGAAGACTTTGTTGTGTGTTATTACGTACGGTGACACAAAAGCAGGTTATCAGTTACTCCAAGGTTAGATATTTCTCTCCTTGGCATGGTCAGAGGGAAATTGATGTAGACCACGGAAGAGAGTTTGTATATGATACTTCTGCTGTAGAGAATAACTGGGCGTAGCACAAATATATCTTTGAGGAATCATTCGAAGCAGTCGAGACGTGTCCCGCTCACCCAGCGCGAACAATTATGCATTTGTGAAATCCATTTTGCCTCTCTCAAGATGACCGTTTCTCAATTTGTGGCATACTGGGCAGTTGGCTCGAAGGTGTCAGTTGGGAAACTTACTATCCTCTGCGGTCTCCAGCTGATGCCCCGTGTGACAGGTAACCTGAAGAACCGAAATGCCGACCTTGTTTGGAAACAGACATCAGAGAGAGATCTGCTGAAGTAGCTTCGCAGCATAGTCTTTGCATCTAATTGATAACTTGGGATCTTACCTTCCAGCCGTGCTGAAGTTGACAGCCATTGACAAAACAGAAAGAGAAAAAAGAAGCACCCTGCGTGTGATTATCTAGCTGTTGGTTGGCAACGACTAATGGCCTTTGAATAATTCACCCGAGTCAAGAGGCTTTAAAAGGGGGCCAGGAGCATGGTATTCTCATCTGTTCTGTGAGTTGTATTGTTTAATTTTGATTCATAGCACTCATATTTTATCGTCATTGTGAGGCATTAGAGCAGGTCGAAAAACCAAGTCTGACTGACTTATATATTCTCATAGCCGTGTTTGGTAGTGCTCACAAGTTCAACCAACACAGGCCATCATGATACACATACCCATATCTATTTCGAACATTTGGCAAACCCAAGCAAAGTTCATGGTAGATGGACATCGACCTTGAATACCCTGGCTTCATGGCGGACTCGGTTCCTGTGTAGTCTGAAGCAGTCTTCTGCACCCCATCGCGACTAATCCAGACGCTATACTGAGTTCGAAGTACAAGGAGGCACAGAAACTATCGGAGCAATAGTGTCCCATCCCATGTAATGAAGATGCTTTCGCATCTTGACCGTGAAAGCATATGAGTCCGGGCCCTTCATGTCACATATGAGTAGGGTTGCCCCGATTTAGGTGAATACAAGTGCGAAGGGGATCACATTGTGTAATGTCATTCATTATCATCTATTTCATACTGTGGTATCGTCCAATTCTATCATAACCCAACGCCTGATAACCCCATGCCGAACCTTTTACTCAAACCAATGCAGCAATACCTGCGAAAACACCCATAGCGACACCAGCAGTGACGCCAGTGCAGCGAGGTGCAGCAAGACCAGGGCTGGTGGTGGTTCTGATTGTGGTTGACGCCGATCTTGTGGCAGCCCCAGTGGCCGTGGCACTTGCAGTAGTGGTAACTGGGCAGCTGATGGTACATGGAATCGCACTTGTGAAAGGCAGTCCAGAAGCCGGGCTCTCGGGGAAGACAGGAGGTTGGCTGATAAATTCGGGGTTGGGGTTCGATGGAACATCTGGGTTTAGGACGTTGTCAATGATGTGCATGATACCGTTGGCAAGAAGGATGTCGGGTTGAACAATCTGGGCCGAGTTGATGAAGAGATTGTTACCAGAGCGAATGGCTTGCAGATTCTGTGAGGCTAAAGTCGTCAGGTTTGTACCATTCCTCAAGTCCGACGAGGCAAGGACTTTGCCCGGGAGGATGTGATAGTTGAGAAACTTTTTGACGGCGGCTTCATCCAAATCCTTAAGCGAACCAGCAACTCTCTGGAATGCGTCGTTCCGCGGAGCGAAGATGGTAATGTTCTTCGTGGAAGAAAGTGATGGCAGAAGCTTTGAGGCGTAAAGAGCCCCGAGGAAGGCGGACAACTTGAATGCTTCGGTTGTGTTTTCCAGCCTCGAAGGAGGTATCATCAGGTTGTCCACAATGTGAAGGAGACCCCCGGCGAATTTGATATCGCCTTTAACCTGTGTGGTACGAATGCCTTCAGCAGAAGTGAAGACAGTAACATTACCAGGTTGCTTGTTGACAAGAACGTTTTGGCCGCCAGTAACGTTGGTCCAAGCTGAGTTCTGGAGCAGCGAGGAGCGCAGAACAGACGGTCCGACTTCAAGAGATCCCGTGGAAACAGTGCCTTGGAGAATGTGATACTCCAGAATAGGCACAGCAATGGAGGCGTCTGATTCGTTCCATTTGCCGTTGAGCTGCGTGCCAGGGATGTTTTCAAAGGCTGCGTCAGAGGGCGCAACAATCTATAACAACTTCAGCCTTAGCACGATCAAGTCAATCCTTCATAGAGGAGTGGAAATGCCACAAAAAGGGGCTTACCGTGACGCCTTCATAGCTAGGAAGCCTGAGCAACACCTCAGGGTATTGCTATGTACGGTCAGTGACAATGCAGAGCACGCAAAAGATATGTCAGCGTACCTTGACCAAGTTGTAGTATATTGAGAGGTTGTTTTGGGACTGAAGAACACTTCCAAGGTCATTCTCTTGTGCGAGGGCATGGTCGATGGAGAAAGCGACAATTAGGCTGAGGGCGCCAACTGCCGTAGATAAACGAATCATTGTGAATAACTGGATCCTTGTTTGTAATAGGGGTCTTGAACAATGCTCGATCGAGAAAATAGAAGACAATTCTTGCTCTGGTGACGATAATTGGGGATTTTGATATGAACGTGTTGTGATTGTCGATGGTGATGCGAGGTGGAAGTTCCAAGGCAAAAGGGAATACCTGATGACTGGGTCCAAAGTGCAAGACAGTATGCAACTGCCTCTTTACGGTGTTATCTCCTTCCAATGATTCCAGATAATAGGCAATTGAAGTAAATGGAAGGACAGAATCGGCATCGAAATGGGAACGGCAGCAATGGCAAGGAGCAACGGCAGTAGCACCCGGATACAATAGAAGGTCGGAATCCGTGATCAGCCCGCGAGAGAAGGAGCGGTCCCCTTAAAGAGGTGACCAACGGAGGCTGCCCCATCTCATGCAGGAGCAGCTGGGTTCCTGGGAAGGATCTTCTGCAACTGGCTGGGGTAGAAGACGCTGTGAAATCCGTGCGGTGCAAGCCACCTGATGCAAGATCTCCCTCGCTATCAGTATGGATGACTCTAGGGCGGTATTAAATTGGTGTCTTTCAAGCCGTATGATATTGATACATGTCCAATAAAGGGTACACTAAGGCAATACCTCGTATGGTACATTGGACACGGTTTATTGTGGCTATCCAGCTTGGAACAATCAAGGCCAGTCAAGATGTTCGGTACTATTACATCCTGGATAGAAGAAAAGGCATGGTGGCCAAGATGAGTCGCATAACTGAGCTGATCTGATCAAGATCAGCTTGCTGTTGGCGTTGGTGATAGCGAATCTGCCGGGCCACAAAACGCCGCTGCTCTCCCTTGCCATCAGCCGTGAGATACTGACTTTCCCTGATATCGCTGCTGATAGCGGGCGGATACCGGCAACATGGGCATTGGGGGGTCTAGCCAGCCCATCACACGGAACAGCAAAGACATCAATGTCGTGCTATGTTGCCATACTACTACATGGGAGATTGACAAGACAAGAAGAAGGAAGCATCGCATTAGTAGTTCATCGTTTTGCGCGATAAGAAGGCACGCTGAAACGCCACGTTGCTGGCCACCTGCTGAACCCCATTCATTACACAGAACGCGCTTACAAACCCGGGGTGAAGGCTTCTCCTCTCCAGTCTCCAGGGATCGGGCTGAAGCGGGGAATAGGAAAGAATATTTGATCTCAATGTCTCTCCCTTCCACATGGCGCAAGACCCGAAGAAGCTAATTTTTGTGCACCACGATCTCGTGTGTTTTCGGGTTCCAAGTGTCTCGGCAGTCGCCAAGCCATTTGTTCTGGCTGGAATTGGTGTTCAGTCGCTGAACATACCCAAACAAAGTGTCGAAGAATCCACCTTATCTTGCGTTCCGCTTGTCCCGCCAACCACCAACAATAAAAAAAGGTCTTGGGTGATGAGCAAAAGGCCCCAAGCTGAGCCAGCGCTTTCTTGCAGACGTGATACGATTTATCCCAAGACACTGCCCAACAAGGTTCAACACCCAACGATCGAAATCTAACCATGAGCTAGCGCTTGCCAGCCAAGGTCGCGTCAGCCAACACGAGATGCGCTGCAGGAGCCATACCCCGTACGATGGCCAACGAGGTTGGGAAGCTGGCATGAAGCGGCTGCTTCGGAAGCACCAACCGTCTCCAACATGCACATTTTGACCTACCCAGAACACGAGCTGCATCCCAGGACCCAGCCAGCGCCCGAATCCCCTGCAATGCCTTACAGGGATCAGGTCATGTCCCACTGAACTGCAGGTTGATCAGCGCTGGTGGCAGCTGTGTATTACTGTATCGTGGCAACGCCTGAGAGTCTTATCTTCTCGGTACATTCCCATTCATGTACCCATGATCCCTGCGGCTGACTGGCTGTCAAGAAGTGTATGATAATAAAATAAAAACAAAACATGCTGCGTGAAGCCAGTAGATTATTTGAGTAAGTTGACTACCTAAGGTAACCATAGTCCATCATGAGTGATGTAGGTATCATGTGAAGCCCCTAGAGATCCTAAGGTGGGGGTAATTCATCAAATTTCCGAAACTGCTCCTAGGTGAGCATCCAACCTGCTTTTGACAGATCAAGCAATGACGTCAAGACGAACAATCCCTCTATGTGGACTATCTTAGTCGAATAAATGAAACTCAAGAAATAAAAGTAAATGGTGATAATGAAATTACAAATTTCCCGAGGGATTTGGGCTTTCTGGTGTAGAAACCCTTTCCGTGAGCTGGGTGGTGGCACCAAATTACTATTGGGATCACAGGGATACCCGTACACGTGTAGAAGGAGTGATTCTTCTCAGATTTTGGTAAAGGATTGCTTGAGGGAAACTACCTTACAGAAGGACAGGCCAAAGTAGTTGGAGGAGTACCCCTTCCAGTTGCCCATCACATGGCTACCTAGTTGAGCACTCCTACCTACTTGAGGCCTGGGAAGCTGGGCGGCCACGGAGTCCTTTCAAACCGGAAACTTGGCATTTGCAGCAAGTATGCGGAGCCGAGCGGCAGAGAAAAGTCACGCCCGAACGACAGGATTTGAAATCGCGCCTTTAAACATAGTTGCATTGGTTAACCCTTCATAGCTGGCCCATAAAAAGTATAGAGAAAAGAAGAAAAGGGTTGATTAGTGTTGGCTTCTCAGTTTGATAATATCAAACGACTGTTAAAGCACTGATAAAGAGTGCCACAGCTTGATGTAATTGATCGAACAACAACATTTCAAGTTCAACAGAGAGTAAGGGTGTACAACAACGCTCTCAGTATCCTGAAAAGCTGAACTACCAACAACTATGACCTTCAAGTCCAAGAAACACCTCATCAAACACAGTTCAACATCAAGTATTGTACTTTCCTGGGACGACCATCAGAGTTCTGCGAACAAGAATAACACTGCTACGCTATATCCGGCCCCACGTCAGGGTTACGACAGAATAAAGTTCTGTATAGAGCCCACGGCCAGCAGTTTGGTGCATATCGTCAAACAAATCCTGGACACTTGAAAGTTGTGCAGGTTGTTATTATAGAGACCATCAAGCCCCCTTTTGGCCCATGTTCTCACTAGTTTTTCTGGATTTCCCGTGGTGGAAGAGATTCCGAATGTCGCCCCTAACGGCGACGCGGTATCGGACACGCGTTTTCTTCCTTCACTGAAGGCTCTTCTCGGCCCGTATGTAGTATATTGATACAGGTTTGGAGGCGGAGCCTGCTTTTAGGTGTGGCTGGTAGTATGGCATCATGACGCCAGAAGTAAGTAAAAAAAGACTTTAGCTACTGTTAGACCGGAAAAGCTCCATATAACAAAGGCGTATTGCCTATGTTGATGTAGTCAGACTTTAAAATAATGCTACATAAGTAGAATCAAAAGAAGTAGGGGCGATTTGGTGGTATCTCATGAGCGTTACAGGTGACCTGGCCAATGTCTCAATGCGACCATTCACATCAATAACCGGAACTTGCGTTATGCTCCCTTCAATTTCATAGTAAAGCGTGTAATTCCAAGACCATGTGTCTGGCAATCCAACTGCATATCAATTTCACTTCAGGAACTTGCAGTGGACTTAAGGGTGAGCACAATGACTACTATTCTCAGTAATGCAACTGGATATCTTCTACCGTGCTGTGTCTTGCCAACAATACACGGACTAAATGCAGTATGAACACTTCTATTAACACCGTAGGCCTTATTCAACATGTGAGCTTAACGTTTTGCAGCGTCGAACGGAAGTTGAGGTTGCACTTCTCTCCTGGCGCCAAGCTATAGCTCGCCCACGAGTTCTGTTTGATCAGGAGTATCAGTGCTGGGTTGAAAGATTTGAGTCATAAGACATACCGCTTTAGTTACCGGGTTCCACCATTGAACAGCAAAGTTCACTTGGTAGTTCACAATGTTGTGAAAGTCATAGTAAGTCCAAATTGGTTCGAAAATTGGCGGAGGTGATGTCCTCTCGATCGAAAGAGTCTGAAGTCCGACCGTGGTTTTCGAGCCGATGTCTTTTGGGATACTGTAAGACTTGCACCGCAAAGGATTGTTACCTTCGCCATGGCCAACCTCATTACAACCAGCCTCGGCCATTCCAAAAAGGAACGGCAACGTACTAATTACGCCAAGAAGAGAGGGAACACGCATGGCTAAAGCCTGAGTTAGAGCCTGATAAGAGCTGTCACAAGGGTTCCACGTACCTGATGATGAGAGTATAGAAAATACGAAGCGTTAGGTTGTGGGGTATCTGTAAAAAGAGTGAATGCCAATTGCTCTTGTTCACAAGAAAATAGCTGTTCACGTCGGGCACATGTTGGTACTTGTAAAAAAAGGAAACCTTCGTCGCGTTTTATACTACGGAACCACGGTATCCCGGGGACCCTCTCCAATATATTCTAAATTGTGTCCCTCATAGTCAGGGCTGAAAGGGTCGGCCTTTCGCTTGAACATGCCGTGTGTTAAATGAATAACCAGAACTCAAAGACCCATCACAATCTATCTCTACTAACCGAAAGCGGAAGTCTACACAGACATTGGCTTCAGACTTTGTCAAGACAGTCCTACAGAGCATCAGTTGAATATTTACGGTGTGTGGCCCGGAGGCACTTATGCGGCACAAGAATACATGGCTAAGAAATAGCAAAAGTCGGATGCTTGGTCCATGAGGGACGTGGCAGAATTGGCCAGCACATGAGAATCGTGTAATGAGATACTTGCTGATACGGGATCGTCGGGTCCCTATAAGTTAGTGTCCTCAACACGATATGACACTTCGGGAAAAGAGTCTATTAGACTGGTTTCTAGGAAAGTGGACACCAACCAGCTTTTTGAGACTGTCGGCGAAGCCGTTGCCAGGCATGATTCAGGTAACCTAATAAGGTTCACAAGATCCCGGTATGAGGCTAAGGCCTTCACCGTCTGTGAGTGCCGTAGCCGCATCTAGTCTATCAGGGCCTCCGGTCAGGTATGTCTAGCTGCGGCTGAAGTAAATCTAGTTGATAACCTTTTCGCCTAACTGACCTTCTTTTCGTCTTCCATCGACTGCGGATGGCAACAGGTACAAACCAGTCCATTTACAGACCCATATTTCTATAAAGGCTAAATAACGTAATGCTCGGTGTTCGAGCGAAAGTCCCGAATACAGTATCTGTGTCTGTATGTTTATTACACTTTAAGCTAAGTACCTGTAGCCATGCCGTAGTCGAGGGGACAGGAATCGCGGTGTTTTTGAGGGGAGACAATGATGCATTTGTCACTCTCTAACTGTGACAGCCACTTCCTCGCCCGCCCACCATTCCATCTTTCTTTAACTATGTGACCTTTGATTATTAAAATATTTATTTTCAATTTAATAGGGTGAGGTTGATAGAATAGTATTATTATGAAATTATATTTTGAATCTTTTTTTTGTCCGAACTGACACTTACTGGCAAAACTCTAAATGATTGAGGCGATAGTTCCATTCTCTCGAATTGTTTTTGGTTGATTGCGTACCCCCTGACTTCTCCATCTGCGGGAGCAACATCCACTATTCTACTAGATCTTTAAAACTAGGTACCTGTCACGCAGTCAATTTGCCCACCACTTATGGGGTAAAAAAAGATGCTTCCATTCATTAGAGACTGTCTAGGGGTTATTGGGTTGATTATATAACCGTCTATTCGGTAATTACCGATTTGAAGGTTTTCATGCACAAAATGACATCCCCGTTAGTTTTATATGGGAAACAATAGCCGGGTGCATGGGTTGATGTTAGATTGACGCCTGCGTCCGGATAAAATGCTAGGAAATCTAGCTTAGTTGCATTCTTGCAATATGCTGAAACCGGGAAGAACGGGTAGATACAAAACAGAACCCCGCTTCAACCGGAATGGGTAGAATCACTCAATCAACAACATGAATCACTCTTTGCTCAATGAACCCCAGGTGTATTGCATCAAACTAATATCGTTTATCTAACAGTTGAATGCATGCCCCGATATATGCAGTGGTCCGTGTGACAGTACCTTATGGCAGCGAACCTGTCCCCACACTTCCAAATACCGTCTGAGAGGATTGCTGGTGACTCAAAAAAGCAGCGCAAGGAGACGTGACCTGCCTAATAAGTTTCACTTCGTGCCACTCAGCCATTGAAATGCCGATCTTGTATCATCATGGTGTCTCAAAACGCCTTTGACTTATGGTGAGCCGTGACTCAAGTTATCTTAAGGTATTTGAAGTATTTTCATTTGATTAAAGTTGATGCTGGCTGCGCTGTATTTTGTCTGATAACCAAGTGCTGATAAAGTCTACGGTTCATGCTGTGGGCGTATCTAACCTGCAAGCGCACTCTTGTAGAAGTAAAAGTCTCATGACCTAACCTAGCATATTTGAATCAATATCTTACTGAACTGTACTTATACATGAGTATTCTAGCTCGGTCGATTGTTTGAACCATTTAAAGCTCTGGATAGCGTCATGTCGATACTCAAGCATCGGCTCTCGCTCACACGGGTCGACTGCGAGGAACTCTATTTTTGTTGGAAGGTAGTCCCTCATTGATCTAACCCTAGGCATTCTGAATCTGAACTTAGTTTTGGGCAAACTAGCGACACTGCAAAGAATCAATGACTTCATGCTGAGATTTTCCATGTTTCCAATGGTTTGCTATCCCGGATCCAGAGACATTTATGGACTGTTGAGTATCTTTGGTATCAGCCAAACGCAACATTTAGACAGTTCCAGAGACCTCAAACTACCCATTCCGCGTTAGAGAATGATTGATATATAATATTATCAAGTACCAATTGTGCTACTGTTTCGGCGAAGAACCACCGATATTGATCTCAACATAGTAATTAACATCCTCGGCGTAGCCCGGATTCAAGGGTCCTGGGAAGAGTTAGCAAACATATTTTGGTGGTTACAGATTTTTAGAAATGCAACGGAAACTGGGTCGTGGATGCCGACAAAAAGTTTGTATCTGTTAATAGCCATATCAGCAAAATGCCCGATATCTCACTCAACTCACTAGGCATCTTGATCTGCATGGGGTTTTCTTGACTGATAGAAGGACCATCCGCATGTAGTGCTTCTGAGAAGGCAATTTTCAAAGTCCAAGACAAAGATATCGCTCATGTAGGTTGGGGAATATAATTTCTCATTGAACTATCACCTTTATCTGTCTACAAATTATCTGTCTACAAATCGAGAAGTCGACTTGACCTTAACCCAACTGGATGAATGCACAGTTAGCTGTATGGGAAGTGCGAGTTAGGACATTTGCAGAGCAATGACCATCTTTGCTGCTCAGAACACATGTCGCGCTTCGTTGGTGTAATATCAACGACTTCAGACCCTACGCACAAGGGGGCTTCAAAAATGCAAGCTTCTAACCTCCGGCCTACTGAAGAGTCTACAACAGCCCAAAACCTTACAATGAACCATAAGACTACAGCGCATTGCCAATAGTCATTCCATTCACGGATCCCAATCTCGGAGGTGACGTTAAAGTGCAGACTAGCCGTCTACATTCCACAGGTAGCCAACATATTGCGCGATCTGCTTTGCCTCTTAAAATCAAGTAACCTCATCTGATCTAGACCATCTACACCAAACGCGCAACTTGATTTGGAATCATCAAAGTCACAAGCTGTGTAAAAAAATCAATAGCGTCGGGCGTTGAAATGCCAAATAATATTGAATCCGTGAGTCACATGAGGGTTATCAGGCATCTCAACCCAGTTTAGTTCAACACGACGCGCGCGCGAAGGATCGAGAACGCGAATGCAACCAATAACTTGGCAGAAAACTTCCGAGGCTTTAATATCCGGCGGGAACTTCAATGACAGCAGGCAAGAAAGATGTTACTTACCGTACCTTTCCAAAAAAAGGAAAGACTTGGACATCGCACCCCCCCTGGACGTCTTACGCAACGACCCTGCTCCACATCTCCAACCAAAAGAATGCTGTGCCCAGGCTGTACCAAGAAAGACCCCCCTTCCCCCGGGTCAAGCTCTTGAGCGCAGTGTTCATGGTTCGAGAACAGGTAAGGGCGTGGCTGAGTACTTAACCCCCTCCCAAGCGCCCTAAGCTGTGGCTCTGCGGCACCGAATGCTGATATTCTTTTGTAGACGTTAGTGCTAGGTGTCAGCTGACCTCAGTTTAACACCCGAAGCCCTGTCCGTCGCACAGAGATTCAAGATTCTTACGTGGGATTAAACCGAGAAAAGTGGATGGGCTACTCGGAAGCGGACCAGTTCCGCAGCCATCTTTTGAAAAAAAAAGAAAAAAAAAAAGAAAAAAAAAGGCGATATCTTTAACCCGAGTGTTTCAACTACGGCCTTATCATAGTTGCGGTTTACGTATGGGATATGCGGTGTATTTACTTCTATAGATGATAATGACTAAAGTGGAGAGAGATGCTAGGCTGGCTGTGACAAAATGCGTGTGCTCGTTTCTCCTTGCAGAGATGTAATGTCTAGTATGCATAAATGGGCTGGTACCGTCTGGCTCTTGACGCCATAAGAAAAAAGGAAACACGAAAAGGAAATGATACAAGGAGATGTTGAAGAATACAAAGAGCAATGCAAGGAAATTTCTAATGCTTCCGGTCGTCGTACACTTTCTTCGCCTAACTGTGTTCATGACAACAAAAGGCCCAAATTGCAGTCTCGTATATGTCGTCGATAGTCGTGTATGAGCCTTGTTGACTTTTATTGGCCCGTCGTATTGGATCCATGCCGATGCAGTTGGGACACGAGCGGCACAGGAGTTTTCCTCTGAGGGACTCGATACCAAAGTCGTGAATAATTGCCAGGTTTTCCCCAACACATTTAAGGTGCGTGGAGTAGTGGGCTTAAGGGCTGGGTGGTGGTGTTGGAACATCCGGTCGCGGGCCGAGAGGGCCGGGACGAGGCCGGGGTGGGGGAGTCGGAGGGGCGGAGGGCAGGCGGTTGATGATACGAGAGACAATATCCTCAACAGAGCCTAATGTGCCGTCATGGTGACACGTCTCAGGTGCTTCCTCGTGTGAGATGTATGGTGGGACGTAGTCATTGAAGATGTTTCTGTAAGTGGAGGACAGCATTTTGTCTGTCACGGTTTTCTTGCTGATGTAGCTTGGATTGCAGTTTCAAATAGATATGGATATATGCTCGAAAGAAACGAAACGCCGTAAACTAGTTGGATGAAAGATATTATACGGTGATGGGTTCGAGGGTGTATGTTCGTGTGACAGACTTCCTTCACCTGAGACATTCTAACCAGATGAGAGGAGCCTCATATATACCCCCAGGCGCATTCTCCATGAGGCTCTGTCACGACTTCCCACAAAGGCGGAATGTCCGCGCAACCTATCCCTTGCTGCGCAAGACAAGTACCTCAGCAGGCAAGCAACATGCTAAGGTGTCACAAAGCCACCATGTTTTCCCCAGTACGTCAACGGCAACTCGCACGAGGGTTCGACTACTGCTTTGTGTAACCATGGAGACCCTCTCTTTGCCAAGGGCCGCGTGATGGGGGTGTCGAAAAGGCAAGTGGGAGGGGGACCATGTACTCTCATGTCTCCCAGGATAAATTAGCCATACACCATCCTCCCAGGAATTGGGGACGACCAATCAGACTCCTAAGGATGCTTCCAAAAGAGCGGGTAGGAAGCAGGACGTAGGACGCATGGCCCCCCCGCGAAATAGAACACCAGGCAAACATGTAGACTGGTGGATGGCACTCCTCCCACAATGTTGGCCAGGCAGGGGGGCTGCAAGAGGCACCTAGTCTTACGGTACTCGGGACCCGCACGTAGGGCGTGGGATGGAACCGCAGACGGGGGATTGAAGGTGAACTGCCTTATTGGGCGCTGCTCTCGTATAGCTAATACAAGCAAGGAATAGCAGCATGCCCGCCCGCATCCGACATCATGTTCTTCCAAGTAAATGGCGTAGCACTTGCAGAATGAGACGTCGCACGAAAGGCGACGTATGTAGCTGCTTCGGTGTTTGCTGCCTCGACCGTTAGTTCCGCGCTGTGCTAAGAGAGGGTGGTGAGAGTCCCGCCGCAATGGACCGTCATGTGAGCAACTAGGCCCGCCGGCGTTTGAGAAAAGATGGTGAGCACCTTCGGGGCCGGCCGAGTGGCTCGGTCAGGACGCATACAGAGAGGGAAGTGAAAGGGTGTCCAGGTGTCGGGAGATGGCCCCCGAAAGGGATGCTTGGGGGTGAGGGGAGGGGGGAACGACAGCTGAGCCTGAGCTAACGGGCTGCACCTTGAGGTTTCTTGCCCAATCTGCAATCAAAGGGGCGATTTGGAAAACAAGAGCATGGTATATTGGGAAAGTGGAAATGACCGTGCTTACGCCAGAACGGAAAGCGAGCAATGAGAGACGGGAGAAGATAGATTCAAGAAGACCCAACGACGTCAGCAAGTGTCAACCTCACGGGACGCCGGTTTTGTGGATTGCAGTTTAGCGCAGAGCCGACGGGGCGGATTTGCATTCCCATTCTAGTCCCATGCTCTTGCACCCACTGGTCTGGGATACTGCCAGGCCATAGGGCTGAAGGATTGCAGGCTTTGGCAGACATCGAACTACGTTCCACAAACTCTTTTAGGACTGAAACATGGCCGAGAATGTCCACTCGCATTTACGGCGGTTTCAGGCTGATCAGCTCAGTCGGTTGACGGTCTCAACAGAGGCCATCTCGTCTCTTCTGCGCCTTCGGAGTGGTTTGTTTTGTTCGGTTCAGCTCTGCTCAGCTCTCTTCCTAGCTTGGCAATGTGGGGGAAGCGACCGGGGGCAAGGAGAAAGATGCTGTATCGTTGAGTGATGGAGCCTAGAGAGCGGAGTTCCTCTTTCTGCGCCGCAGCCATCGGCCTCAATCATTCGGGAGCGGGTTGATATGCAATAGACATACCGTCAGACTTTGAAATCAAGCCCACCCAGATGGCATCTTGTTTTGGCCAGGACATAAATATCGACCGTGCAATCCGGAGGAAATGTCGGCCGCCCCGGGTTTAACCCCCCCTGCCGCATAATCTGGCTCCTTTGGTGCTGCGCATTTATCAAAGTTCCTTTGTAACGATATAATCACAGGGCAAAGCATGGCAAGGCAAGGGTAGATCAAGAGCCGAGATGGTGTCAGCACGAACCCGGCTGTCGGTTCTCCTTACTGTCTGAATACTTCTTCTAATATAGAAGCTGCGAAACGCCCCACCTAAGCAATGGTACTGGAACAGAGCATCGGCACCGGTGGATTGGTGGGCGGATGTTTGTTTGGGGGGTGTCGGGTGAGTAAACGAAAGTTGTTGCCCCTCATCCCAGCATCTTGGTCAGCTTGATCGGTTGCTCATTGGTCATTTCGGAAGCCCTGAATGATTGGCACACTGCGCGGGACTTGTCGGTATCGAATGAGAGTGCATAAGTAAATAACTCGTCAGCGCGCCCGAAACCGAGGCGGTCGGTGTCTGTGTAACGAGATGAAGCCGTTGTCGAATGCACCAGCAGCCAAGGTAGTTTCATGCGGCGTCTGCTTCGCCAGAATACACTATTTTTTTTTTTTTTTTGACAAACCCCGGAACGATAGTATTAGTAGCAGCGCGCGGCAGGCTCTCCCTTGTTCGATGTAAGCAATGACATAACACAACCAGAGCAAGGCCAGGCACTCACTACCTGGTGCCTGATGCCTTCTGCCTTGCAGTCGATATATGATATTGGGGTCCAGAAGTCTCGAACGTCACAGATGACTAAACAGAAATCGAGGCAGCTGCTCTGGTGACACTGCACCGCAATCCCCATCAAATCGAATCGTCGCTTGGCTCATCATCTGTCGGGCTTGAAAAGGTAAGCCCAGTGAGGGTAAACGTTGGTACTGTCGTAAGCTCACATGATCCGGATTTAATGAAAGCAAGACTCTCCGCCCGACCCGACACCATCGTCATAGGCGAAAATGTATCCGAAATTGGAGCCTTTTGTTGTTTTGATGGGACAACTTCCAAACTCGGTCGGCGGCATGAAACCACCCAGCAAGGCATTGCAGAGAACAGTCGAAAGTCTCCACAATTAAACTGGCACCCATTGCTTCGGGCCCGCTGGCTGAACGAAGGATTGCGGCGAGGTGAAGCTCAACGGGGTAAAAGTAGATTGATGGCGACTGGCGGCTTCTCATTCGTCACCACCTACCAAATCAAAGGGCCGAGCTGATGACCGAAAGCAAGCAGCAACTAGAGCTTCGTAAAATAACCAGCTACTGCAAAATCGAACCTGTCGTAGTTAGTCTCATTAAGAGCCGCGTGTACATTTGTATCATGATCTTAAAACCGGAACGCCAGTTTGTCCATCGGCGGAAGGATGCACCGGTGAGGTTCAGTGGCAAGGCGGACTTCGTCCCGAGGGGTCCAATCACAAAGTCAATGTCAGATGGAAATCAACGTCAAATGCGGGATTCTTAGCATTTGTCTAGGTATTATTAGCTCAGAATACATGTGGGCACGATCAGGTCTTACGGGTCAACTTGTGTGCCCACGCCCGTCGTCTCTTCGATTTCCCAAGCGACTTTTTTCCTGTCCCATCGAAACGCCGTAGAAGTTCATATACACAATTTTTCGTTCCCGAAATATTTGACGCGCTCATCGGTAAGGCCGTCCACCACCGCGAGGACCGCGGTCCCGGCTGCGACTGGGAGACCGAGTTCGACGGCTGTCATAGCTATCGTAGCTGTCTCGGCTCGGACTTCTTCTTCGGTGTTCGTTGCCTCGTCCACCACCTCCGCGTCTTGTAGGAGGCGACCGAGATCTAGAGTAGGATCTGGATCGACTTCTGTATCTGCTGCCTCCTGCTCCCCCCCCTCCTCCTCCTCTAGACGGCGGTGCAGCCATTGGGGATCTAGTTGGCGAACGAGACAAAGACCGCGGTCGGTAGGTATCTGATCTGGGCCCACGGCGACCCGGTGGAGGCGATGCACCACCACGACGGGGGCCGTTCTGGCCAAAGGATCCGGGACCTGAGCCCCCGGCATAAGGGGCGCCCGACTGCCTGCCACCGCCTCGAGCACCAGGCGGAGGGAGTCTGGGATCGTAGCCTGCTCCTCGGCGGGCCATAGGAGGCGGCGGGGAAAGCTTGCGCCGGGGGAGGACGATGGAAACGTTGATCACTGCGCCATCAATTTGCGCCTCGTGCATGTGTGCAATGGCCTCCTCCGCATCGGCCTCATGATCGTAAAGAATGTAGGCAGTACCTCGATTGGTGCCGTCTGAGGGTGCAAAAAGTGTCAGCCTAAATGAAGCTCCATCTTTTCGGGTGGTGGGGGCTGCTCTGGTTTGACGCCCCTGTGTCACTCACGAGTTCTATTGATAGGCAGGTCGAGGTCCTTAATGGGGCCAAACTGGCCAAAAATCTCTTCCAAGTGGCCTTCATTGATGTTCTTGGTCAAGCGCTCGACAACAATCTAATCAAGAATAGCCAGTCAGCCTTGTGGTGTTGGAAAGGAGTTGCCGCAGGAATGAATGCGAAGAGGAACGGGAGCCAAGATGGATCCTGCCGATGAGCAACAAAGAAGCTTTCTTACCTTGGTACTTCTAGCAGCAGGGCTTCCACTCCTTCCACGAGACCGACTGCGACTCTCACTGCGGTACCTGCCATTGCGTCGTGGGGTTGGAGATCGGGAACGCGACGGCGAGCGCGAATCGTGAGACCGACGCCGGACTGGTGAGCGCGACCGGTCGGATCTGGGTGTTGGAGATTGAGTACGAGAGCGGTAGCGGTCACGCGAAGGAGATCTGGACCTAGACGCCATTTTTGTGGTGTTGTTGTGTTGTGGTGACGTTAAGATTTTCAATGCTGGGCGCCACGGTTGTACGCGCAGGGAGTATATAGTGGTCGGTCGCCAGCCAAGGAAGGCGCCTCGGACGTCGCAACGCGCGACCCTCTTCCCTGGCTTGACGTAAGCACGTGACTTTCGTCATGCCACTCACCGAAAGCTGCAAACACTACCGGGCAGGTGAGACCCAGGTGAGGCTTCGGTGAGATCACGCTTCCAACGGTGACGAGTTCTCCACATGCCAGCCAACCTAGAATTGAACACACGTCAAGGCATACATTAAAGGTTTTACCTTTCTCTTTACGTCACAATATAGCAAACAAGTAAGATTTTCACAGATTGATTTATGGTTCGGGTTTTCCTATTAATACAAATATGTGCTTTCACTGGCAATTGCTACGGTACCGTACCCATAACGCCAAGTGCGTCCACTTTTGTTGTGGTTTTATATGTTCTTGTACGCTTAAACCAATGCTCGCGCCCAAAATCGCTCGTACTGTTGCTAGTTATACATGATTAAGGGTCAACTTATTTCTGTTTTTGCCCCTGGATCACGCAGGTTTGTGCCTCGAGGATGAACCTGAACGCCTTCATACTACCTGAAGATAGACGGACCGTACGATTGAACCCAGATGCGAGATTCCATGACAAAGAAAAATTGTTCAGGCTCTTAAGATGCTTAAGCAGCCCATTCCACCACTTCCAAGGCGCACATGACCAGCACCAACGTTGACGGAAGGATCCTGCAAGCCGCATTAGTACACATATTGTATGAAAAGATAGAGTGTCTACATACCAGATAACATAGCTCTGGAACAGGATCCTGGACATGACGCCCTCGTAGACTTCGTTGATTTGGCAGATCTGAGCCAGTTGAAGGGCACTGGGTGCTCCGGTCAAGAGGAAGCAGACAATGACGAAGATCGGATCGTCCAAAATGCTGACCGGAACATACTTGGCAAAAATGGCTAGAATAGGAGTCATGATGAGAGTAGGCAGGAGCATACGGCACATGAGCGACGCAACAAGGAGCTTCGTGCCAATCTGGTCCTCCTCAGGGTCCCTGAGCTTGTCACTCTTCTGGGTGTTACGAGCCAAGTTGGCTCCGAGCACAACCAAAATTAGGGGAACGGCGACTCCACCACTCGACTGAACAGCATCGGTGAAACTGTTCTTGATAAAAGATCCCTCCTCGAAGAAGATTTTCTGCAACGCGGGAACGGAAGCAACGACCACAGCAGAAAGCATAGCCCACAGAGGAGGATTCATAAATTCCCAAAGGAAGTTGTAGAACTTTCCAGAGAAGCGGGCGACGGCCGAAAGAACAATCTTGACCGGATCAGGGAGAGCGTTGTAAATTCTGCTGAAAAAGTTGGCAGTCGACTTCTTGCTTGTGACCATGGCATTGTTGACAGCCCTCTTCATGCGAACATGGTAGCCCTTGACGCCCTCAGGAGTGTCAGGTTCATCCGTATTACGAATGCGGGGGAATGAAGAAATCTCATCGTCGCTTCCGTTGAAAGCAGGATGATTGCCGTTCAGGGGCGCCAGGTTGTTGGTTTTCGCCGCCTTCTTGGGGGTATAATTGTCGTCCTCGTCCTCGGTATCGGCAGGCGAAGCCCTCGATCTGCTGACGACCGGGGTACGACCAGCGGGCTCATAGTTGGACAGGTCACTGCTAGAGGCGCTACGAGAGGCAGCAGTATCATCATCGTCATACTGGTTAAGGAGGGGAGCCGTCTCTCTGTCTCCGGGGTACTGTCCCTCCTCGACACGCTCATCCTGGTACTCAGGATACTTGTCCTTCGGGGCGAGAAGGACGTGGTAGCCCCAACTCCAACGCACCAGCTGACCGAGCTGCTGGAAGATCAACAGGTATAAGATACCACGAGCGCCAACCTCGTCATCGTTATCTCCAGGAATCTTGTCCCAGTGCAGGCCCTTGATCGTCTGCGAGAGTGATAAGACCATGGAGATAGGCAGGGAGTTGGAGTTACCGAAAACTCCCATGGCAGTGACAAAGTTCGAGGCGCGGCGGTTGAACCCGAAAAGACGCGCTACAACGGTAGCAACAAGCCATGAGACAAGGGTCTGAATGACAAAGATGATCGGAATCACGGCAAGATCAAGCAGCTTATCGGCATTGAGCTGAGAGGCGAGCTTTGTGAAGACTAAGAGTTGTTAGCACCAGATATCATCCATATGCATCAATTAAGGTAAAACCCACTTAGACAAGGAGTAAAGAGCATGACATTGAGGTTTGCCAAGAACTTTTGCTTATCGGCATCGAAGTGGCCAAGCCGGGCAATGATATAACCCGGTAAGCTCACGCAGACGACTTCAAGAACAGCCTCAAAAACAAGGAGGACTAGGTGACCTAGGGAAGGGTGAGAATCGTGCGGTGTTTGCAAGGCAATGAGCGGCATCTCGTATATATTCTGGGCCATATCGGCCAGTCGATACGACGTCGGAGGTGTCAGGTAATGTTGATCCATCGCGGCTCAGGTTCGGTAGGAATCCGGAGAATAGATGGAGGATTATGGCGGCGGGTAGGCTCAATAGAAAAGCAAAAGCGGACCGGAAGGCCGGCGCAGGGTCGTTGAAGCTGGAAGAAGTGCTCTCCGCAGCGCAGCGCAATGCTGTTGTAGGTAGGTTTTTGGGATGGAGGCTTGGCGCGATGCGCGTGGACCTCTATCGCCAAGCTAGACGAGGCCTAAGCAGGCAAACGGATGCAAGTTGTATGGTTTCGGAGCGGCAGCGATGGGATGATGCGCCTCACACGGTTTTTGGGAATCGTTATTATAACTGCAAAATGGCCTTGTAGAAGAAGGGCTTCGCGGTTGAAGTGGTTATGGGGTTCGGAGTGGTTCTTTCGGATTTAGCGGTGGTAGGAATCGGGCCTCCAGAGTAGAGATCGGCCTTTTCCAGAGGATTGCGACGAAGCTCTCATTCTCTGGCCGAGGAAGACATTTGGAAAGAAGTCGAGGTTGGTTAGGTACGTTAGGTTCGGGTTTGGTTTGAGGAGGATGGAAAGAGAAGTATGTGATGATGGGACGGGAATTGGTGGAACGTGGTAGAACAAGAAAGGATAAGAGGCAAAGTGGGAAGGAAGAAACGACCGAGGGTCAGCCACACGAGGGCGAGCACGATGATATTAGGACGAGGTGGGTAGATTGATAAAGGAAAAAAGAGTGAGCTAATCTGCGCACAAGATGGCGATGGGTTTGGCGCAAAGCGCACTGGGCGGTCGCTCTAGGGATGAAGGCGGTCCACAGTGCTACTTTAGCGACAGCTCACAGGTGGTTCCGTCACTGTACAGGCGCCGCCTCACTAGGTAACCTACATACTCCTTAGTACTATGGTAGTAGTGACTGTCGCCGCTACGTATAGGGGAGGGGGGCCCAGAGCAGGGGCTAAGACTTCAGACTGTAGCGGTTACGGCTACGCTGTTGTCGTCGAGCAAAGCGGCGCGGTAACACCTACTAGCAGGTAGAAGCAACAGCTCCCGAAACAGGTGAAGCCTTGACGGTGGAACACTTGTGGGCTCTTCGTTTCCCGTTGCGTCGTCTGGTTACAAACGTCGGTCGACCAATCAGAAGGGTGGACTCTGGCACGATGACGCCGGATAGCTCCAGTTTCAGCAAGAAGTGCCGAGTACAGTCCAGGTATCCCTGCCAGCAAACTCTGTATGCAAGGTACCCCGGCTATACCTGCTCCTTTGCTGGCGCCTGTCTCGTCGCCTCACCGTCCTCACCGTCACCTCCGCGTCACAGACACCTTGCTGGGCAAGACAGGTATCGGTACACTGACTACAGTACAAGGTTTTGACTTTCAGCACGGCACCTGGATTGCCTTTTCCAGCCAGCCCAGCCCTGGTCGTGGAACCAAAACCAAGCCACCTGCAAGACAAGACGGCCAAACCGATATAAGAGCGTTATAGGCCCCGCACCGTTTGCTGATTGGGAACCCAGAAGAAGCACCGGGGGAGCTGACAGTCTTCCTGGCTTTGCTTCTTGGCACCATTCGTGGCAGGCGCAGTGCGTCGCATTACCTTGGCATCGACGCTGACAGACTCATCGAGCAAATTACGGATATCTTGACGTCGATAGGGGTGGGACGTGGTCGTTGCCAACTCGACCGACATCCATCCATTTCCATTTTCCTTTTCCAACCCCGGCTACCGATACAGTCAGTCCCGTTTCTGTCTCATTTTTACGGGATACGCTACTTTCGATGGTCCAATTTTTCCATCCCCTCCCAAACTCCATCCATTGTGATTCATCCGTTGTTTGAAGCCGTTGCACAAATCGCTCAGTGCATATGGCTGAATACCCCTCTACATCAGCATTCATCCCCATTCACCTACACCACAATCTTCAGGGCACATGCACGAGAGAGACACACATAGACACTCCCACATGCTGGGCATCTCCCGCAAGGGACGGGGAAACCCACACCTTAGGCCGGATTGGCTGGTAGACTCGCACTCTCCCTTTACTCATCACACCCATTTCAAGTCTTCCATTTTATCCAGCCAACCAGCAGCTCAGGCGGCCCGTTTCCCCTTCTATGAGAAGCGGTTCCAGACCTTCCACTTGCCTGTTCCTGCCTTCGTAAGACTTTTGACGTGTAATGTTCAGCCACACTGCTCAGGCACCATGACGAAAGCTTCCCTCCCTGATGCCTTACTGCTGTTAGGTTGAGCCTTCACTATTCTGCCCCCGATTTCGCTGCCTAGCCACACGGCGCATTCAGAGGTCCAGGGGTCTTGCCAGCACTTTAAGCTTCTTGCGTGCGCTCTGCAGGGGCCTCAAGCTCGGCTGCATTCACCTTCACCTCATCATTCTGGGCGCGCGCCGGGACGCAGATACAAGTCCGATAGGAGGGCCGTGGCGCTCGAGAGTATTCCCCGCCCGCTTGCTGCGCCTTTTGGTCCGCCTTGTAGACGGCATTGGCTAATTCAACAACAACCGACCCTCTGTCAAGGTATATGCCTCTTTTTTTCAATATCAAACCACCGCTCCGCCACAACATGACCACAGCTTCTCGGCCCGCTCTTCATTTGTGTCGAATGTTGATCGAAATGGCCATCTCCTGCCGGAAAGTAGCACTTCCAGCCTGCCAAGATAGGACTCGGTACGGCAGCAACAGGCGAAGGTATGGCGAGCCGAACCGGCTGCCTCTTTTCGCTTCTCAACGTCTAATCTTTTCGCCTCGTGCCAAGCGGCATGTCACTTCGCTAGATGCAACTTCATGCGAGCAGGACCAGCTCTCGATGATCCCTCGGTCATTTTCAGGGCTTGGAACGCAGAATATGGGTAAGGTAAGGGTCGTGGTGTCGAGTCACCCATAAGAAGAGTAATTCGATGCATGGTGGGATAGGCCTTTTTAGAGGGTGTCTTACAAGCTTTCCGTGATGAACAACACTACTCCAGATGATGGAAATAAAGAACCAGAAACAACTTGCAGGCACAATAACAAAACAGATGAGAGATGTGGTTCGAGGTCTAGGCAGAAGCAACCAACCAGTTCTAGATTCTCTGAGTAGAGGTCTACTTGCAAACTTTCTCTTCTCTTTTAGCTGCATTCTCCTCTAACTTCTATGGGTTGTTTCTATAAATACCTCTTTCTGGGCTATGCCTTCATCGACTGTTGGCGCGAGAATCTACAAAGCCCATAGTATGTGTGTGTGTGTGCGTGACAGAGAGAGAGAGAGAGAGAGAAAGAAAGAGAGAGACTTTTTAATGGTGAGTTCGACTCTCGACTAAACCTTTAGAAAGCATACGGTCTCGATAGTTACTGTCGACACATGATCAGAGTCGTGGTGAACAAACAACAATGGCAATTACCTATCATGATGTGCTCTCGCCCTGAGTTGCCGTTATAAAAGTCCACTGCATCACTATCAACAACTTCATCAAGCTGAAATCGGCGAGAGAAACCCCAAACTCAAACTTACACAGAACAATCCAAAAAAAAAAAAAAACCCAAACACAAACCTGCTTCACCAGATCCACCCTACTTACCTGCTCATCACAAAAGTTGCTATACCAAACTTGCAGGCTCAACTTACAAAGATGAATCAGCAGCAGCAGAAGCAGCAGAATAAGACCAGCGGCACCCAGCCGGTCGACAAGGTGACCAAGGCAGGTGGCAACTGTAGCAAGACGGTCGATCCCATCATCAAGGTCATACAGCGCCCGCGCCGCATTCCCAAGAAGAGACTCGGTGACGCTTCTACTCTGGACACGGCGGATGACGATAAGTACGACGACGCCTGGCTCCCCGAGTACGGCGATGGCGTGTCCACGGACAAGATTGTTGGGGACGACTGGGTGGAGGTCAAGAAGCCGACTTCAACCCGCTAAGTTACATTCCGGCAGTCTGGGCCTTGCGACGGGATAGCAAGGGGCGAAAATGGGAGGGGGCTGTGCTATCCGACGGGTGGCAGGATGATCAAATGTCGAGACTGAACCCCCAGGTCCGCGGAAGGGACGTTACTCTCTGGGAGGCGAAGAAACAAAAACACATGGCGGGCGGGCCAGTTACCTGAGACTCTTCCCAGATCCAGGCAGGGTGAGTTGATGTAACCTGCCACGGCCAGAATTATTCCTGAGCCAGCATCTAACGAGCAAACGCAATAGGACACGCTTTGAGACTTGTGATTTAGATCAACAGCAAAAGTCGAAGGAAACTCCCTCGACTCCTAACCCCAGAGCAAAACCCTTGAGATGCGCCAAGATACCCCTGATAGACATCCTACAAGTCACTCGAGACAATTGATATCTTTCGTCACAAATACTCTGTCACGTGCGCTGGCTGGACGTATATTGACCGTGACGTAGTCAAGGCGATTTGAGCATAAGACTGACTACTGGCCAGTAAGAAGGAAAACGCGACACGGTAATAATACCGATTGGCCAGGCAAGGGTTATTCGTAAAAAACACGCAAGAGTAAACCCCATGATATCAATTCGCGTCGAGCATGCATGACCAAGATGCACTTTGTGATGATCGAATTTTGGGGAGGGGGAAAAAAAAAAGCACATAGGTTTGACTCAAAGATGATCGTATGGAGTACCTATGCAAAGTCACTGGACTCAATGTGAAACAAATGACAGATGTGGGGAGGGGAAGGGGGGAAGGGGGGGGGCCGATCTGTGCCCATGAACAGAACAACCACATGGCTAATGACGCAAAGAGGAATAAGCGAAGTAGTGTGCTAGTACGCTGATGACATGCCATTTTCGACTTTTCTTCTGTTGTCTACCAGGTGTAGGTAGGCATTAGGAATTCAACATGGGGGGAGAGGAGAGAAATGGTTGTGGAGATTCCGCAGAGCTTGGCAAAGATTTGAGCCAACGACCCTTTTTTTGCCATGTTTCGGTTTTTTTCCCATTGACTTTCCTTGAAGCTACGTCAAGGTTGTCGCCTGCCTGCATAAGGCTCTCACTCGTGCCACATCACCACTTTTGATTTGACGGCATCGGAGGGGGGAGACCATCAGGCTGGATTGGCGGTCATGGGCAGATGCAGTGAGTGTGTGAGGTAAGGAGCAGAGGTGGGATCTTCAGTACATCGGACGAAGGGCTGGTAGGCTCACACATACGAGACATCAAAGACCCTTATTCCGACCCTACAGGATTTGTTGGTATGCATGTGTACTGTGGCTGTCGGGTACCATCTCCAGAGTGAGAAATAGAAAAAAAAAAAAAAGTGGCCATTTGCTGTTGGCCATTACAAAGGACTACCAGGACGCTTACATGGGTCGGGGACGGGAGACTTGGATCGAAGATCAGGAGCTCCTGTGTTCCCCCGAGTGCATAGTAGTATACGCGTTTCAAGGAAAATAAGCGCAATGGGAGCCCACCGGACGAACGAAACATGCATCTCCCAGACCTGCCTGAGGCTCTTTGACGACATTCGCTGTAAGCAACCCTGGAGCTGACGTTTGAGGAGCAACGATCGTGGGCCGAATGAGGTTCGGATCAGATGTATGCTCGTCTGTCGCTCAACCGTCAACGGAATCGAAGAGGTGATGTCAGACGGAGCTTTTGTTCCGGCGGTGTTGCTTTAGTACGGATAGGTACACTGCATTAAAAGAGCGTACTGATTATGTAAGACAATCAAGTTGTTTCCCTTTGTTGCCTGTTTTGAAAGAAAGCTCTGAAGGCGCAAGGTGTAGGGCAAGACAATCAAGCGTCGTCTCTTTTTCAATATGCAAACTGTGCCTTTTCCCTGCGGCAATGATGCAAAATCAAATCTTACTTCTCTCCGCATGGCATCGTCTCATGTATGGTGAGGTCTAGGCCATTCAAACTAGCGCGGCCCGAGAATCATGTTCCCCAATAGTGGGAGCGTGGAGGAGTAACGTCAGTGGGGTTCGAGGTTGGTGAGAAGGCAGGGCAGACGATGGCCGTGTCCCCCATGAATTCAACCCATGGCGCCAGCGTGCTCTCTCACCGGAAGTTCGTTTCTCTCCTAGTCTAGCCTGGTCATCTTGCCTCCAAGCCTGTACCCGGCGGCTGGTCAAGCCACAGGTCTTTCTGCTCTCTCTGTCCACCCCCAACCCGACGTCTGCCAGCAACGTCATCGCTCCTGCAAACCCCCAGCAGGTTGCGAGACACTTGATGGAGGAGCAGACAGGGGTTGGGATTGGAGATGGGGGCTGAAAGTGGAAGGGGAGGGGAAAGCCCCGCGACGAAGCGACAGGGAGAAAGGGCCAGAGCTCCAACTTGGGCCTCATCCGACTCTGGCTTTCCTTAGCAGGGCCTAGTGTTGCTGTCTTGAGCTCATGATTGCCCGATTACTGGTCGACGGAGGACGTGTTGCCATGCGAGCCTTGACGTGGTAGTTTATATTTTTGCGGGTCACGGTTAATGAGCGCCAACGGGCACTCTTCCATCTTGTTCCTCGAGTTTTCCCTTCGTGCGTCTTAGAACCAGTCGTTTCGAGAGCCTTCATCAAGTAAGCCTCCGGTAGTCTCCAAATCTGTGTTTTTTTTATCTTTTTCTCTCTCTCTTCGCGGTTCTTGTCTTATTGTGGAGGTGCTCTGCAGCCACACCCCAGTCACCTGTGTAAGACAAGACGGCCTAAGTCTGGTTAGCCGTTGCTTAATTTCCCATCTATGCCAACGCAGCAGTAGGACTATGGTTCAAGTTACATCATACCGAACCGTTGTTGGCTATTTTCAGAAACGATGAAGGGCAGCTATCTGCTGCAGGCCCCAAAGCATGCATGTCGCATCCACACGTTGGGATGAAATGTGGTGAGGCGAGGGAAAAAAAAATCTTGATGCTGACCCTGCTGTGATACCCCTTCAACAGCCTGTCCGAGACTTGGGTTGTTAGACCCTTGCGATATCTGTATTCCACCTGCAGCCTCTTGAGCATGAGATTGGTGTGACGGAGGGAAGACCCGTGAGCAAACCCGGCAGAGAAAGCAAGGCAATAATGGGCTATAGCCCTGGGTGAGATCTGACCGACCTGACAATGCTACCGACGGATGGACGCACGATGCATTGGAGGGGGCGCCAGGAGTGGGTTTCTGATAGTACGACGTTGACCGTGTTCTGAAATGACACTGGACAGACTTGGACAAACTGGGTGGTGATGCAGGTGGCGGTGCACCGGATGCTCAAGGGCGGCAGTTGCATATGCAGGTTGTCCAGGGCGGCGCGCCTTCGCGAGCAGTTGAGAGTATCCGGTTTTGCAAAGTCAAGCCTGATATGGCGAGCATCCTTTGCTTCCTTTTTTTTTTTTTTTCCTTCTTTGCAAGTTCACGCCAGGTGCCAAGCTTTTACCCCCCTGACAGAACATGCCGTGTTTGTCTGCGGCAGTGCGGCAATGAGGCAAATATTCAAAAGAAGGGTATGTATTGATTGCGCAGTCACGGTAACAGCAGCTTAGGGTGATATTAGACAGGAGCCGGGTAGGTTCCACCAAAGAAAAATGGCATGGGATGGCTGGCTTCTTGACACCTAAAGAGAGCCTGAGGGTGGATGACATGAGAGGAGCTCTTAGTGAGCAGCAGCCTGTTTGAGGGCATATACCTTGCAAAAGGTCTCCCGCACGCGAAAACGAGCGGTAGAGGCACCCGCAGATTGTGAGGAGCACTTGTACCGATACTCCCCATCGGGCGTAGACGTCGGAGGCGGTTGTCATGGTCATTTGGTTATCACCTTTTCGTGTCGTACTTGCCTCTTGGTTTTGATCTTCCCTTGGCCTTCCCAACTGAAATCAACCCAAACAAGACCAGAGGTTTTGATTGAGTGTAGTGTGCTTTCCCTCTGCAACTTCTCCTCTCCCTCTTCCATCTCATCTTAGTGTTGTCGTTATCATTGTTCTATTCTTGCTCCGCAATTCAGGGGTGTCTTCACCGTACCCCTTCCATCGTGGCCACAATAGTATATAATGAACAGACGGAGAGCTCCAGCCTCTAACACAAGGCCGTCTGGACTGTTCATTGCAAACCTTTGCCCCAACTCGACTCTGTGTGCGCACAGAACCGAACCTGACATCAAGTCGATATTACAAAACCCACCCTCCTCTTCTCCCGAAAGTGGAGAGCAGTAGCATCGAGATCCTACTAGTCGGTGAGCCGCATATTTTCTTAACTGGGTGACGGGGTTCCTGTCCCAGTATCTCATGACATTCCCATATTCACATTTCTTCCTCACCTCCCCCCATGCTCATCTCCAGAGCCCCCGACTCTTTTAATTCATGCCCAAAGTCCCCAGGGGTCCTTTTTTGGGTGTCCAACGGAGACCCTTCCTGCCTTGAAGTTTATTCATGCTCCTCCCCAGCCCAGCGGCAGCGGAAGCGGCAAGTAAACTCATAGGACCTTCCATGCTTCCCTCGCAATGTACCACTTTGGGTTAAAAAAAAAGATTAAAAAAAAAAAAGACCATATCCCCGCTATTCGGATTTGGAGGGAGGTACACTAAGAGAGGGTCTGAAGGGAAGCAAGTACCTGCCCTTCTCGTCCGCCATCTGCCCACTCTGCTAGGTACCGTGGGGTATCTCTTGCGGTCTTTTGTCCTGAATTGTCGTCATGAGCCAATAGGCTGACTTGGAGGAACTTGCCGTGTTCTTCAAGCTACTGGCAGTACTTGGCAGTACACGCGGCCGGTGGAAGGTAGCTATGGTACCTGCCTGCATTTGTGACGTTTGCACCAAAATTGCGTTGCCATTTCGAATCCATTTCGCTCGTCTAATTCCTGTTCCCCGCCATTCTCTTTCAAGGCCTTTGCGGAAGAAGGAACATCATATGTCTCTTTGGCCCTTTCTTGAAGTCTACTACTTACTGCCTCTCTGCATCCCGCTGCCTACTTTGCCTTTACGTCAATCCGATTACCTCCACCTCTCTCTCCTCTTCCCGCTCTTTTGGAGTCTTCAAACCACCTTCAAATCCTTTTTCTTTGCTTTGTGTCTCCCTCCTCCCCCTACTACTCTCGTCCTTTCCGCTTGCCGGGTCTTACTCTCGCTCATAAGAGAAACCTAGACTTCCACAGACCTAAGAAAGCTCCCACCCCAACAATTTTCGGCCTCGCCGGTCTAGCACCACCGCCGATTTTCACACTCGCACCCCTCCCCCCCGACTTAGAGTTCGCCCTTGCCACCGCCCCGGTCGCAACCCCCGACCTCGAGTGCGCAGCACGCCAACATAACCCAATCCACCGCGTCTAGACCCCGCGATTGCTCCTTACAAACCCCCAAGTTTCCGATCTGCTGCCACCGCTCACTACTGAGCCATCGGCCGAGATCTCTTTATTCCGGCACTCTCACGACCGACGACGCCAAGAGGTTCCCCATAGTTACCGCCCGGCTGATAGTTGTATGCGATTCACATCTCGTTTCTAAACATCACATGCCGGCCACGTTGTAGGAGCACTCGACAATCCTTCCCTCCTCATTTCAAACCCTCCTGCTCTACCACCCCTCGCTCCGCCTTTTCCCTCGATCGTGATTCTCATCATCACTCGTGAGGATAAGTTGCATTTTGGCCATGGCAGGCATCAATACGCCCGACTCGTTCCCGGCCACGCCTGATGGCTTGGTGGACAGAGATGGCCTGAGCAGTCCCGCATCACCTGGCTCCGCCGACTCCTCGGAAGCCAGCACCCCACTTGAAGCGCCCTCTGATAGCATCTCCGACATCCCCAAACGAGTACCATCGCTGCGAACTGTCTCCGATCCTCAGAACATGACGCCCTCTTCGACCCCTCTCGGTATGCTAAGCCATGCGCGCCGACCCCCGCCGACCGCCTCCGTCATGAGCATGGGTAGTATGGGCAGTGGTGCGATGAACGATATCATGGCCAAGGCGCGCGCTCTGCAAGCTCAGCGTATGGGCAAGCCGGCCGGAACAAACCCCCCTCCCAACTCCATGTCGGGCAGCCCTGCTTCACCCGTCCCTCGCCAAGGCTCGCCAGGCGGTCCGTTGCCGGGAGGTTTGCCGGGCAAGTTGCAGTTGCCCGGAGGCATGGTACGCCCGCCACCCGGGGGTTTGCCGCTCTCCGCGCCCGTCATCAAGACGAAACCGTCGCTTGCCGACAGGAGGCGTCCGCAAATGAAGCTTTCAGATATGGGTAGTTCTTCGCCAGCTTCTCCTACGCCGAAGCTCTCGGATATGCAAGGATCCAGTGAGGGCGCCACGAACGGAACGAGCGGTTCGAAAATGGACGACTTCAAGAAATACATTGATTCGGAAAAGGGTTGGATCACATTTGACGGCGCTGCAACCATCACCAGGACGGGTGTCAACTTCGCCAATGGCAGTGCCTTCACCATCTCATTAGACGAGGTGGAGGTCTTGGACGAGCTCGGCAAAGGAAACTATGGTACTGTCTACAAGGTCAGGCACACAATACCACGAGTCCCTCGTTTTGGTACTGGTCTTAGCGGATTTAAGCCTGCGAACCTGAACACATCGCAATCAGACCCCTCACCCGTTAGGAACCCAGATGGGTCCGCCGATGCCTCGCCTACCAGCCCACAAACAGTAACGGAAGGAACATCAGGAAGAGTTATGGCCATGAAGGAGATTCGATTGGAATTGGAGGAGGCCAAGTTCACGACAATCTTGAAGGAGCTGGTCATTTTGCACGAGTGCGTGTCGCCGTACATCATCGATTTCTACGGCGCCTTCTTCCAAGAAGGTGCTGTGTACATGTGCATCGAGTACATGGATGGCGGCTCTATTGACAAGCTGTATGCCGGCGGCATCCCCGAGGGCGTTTTGAGGAAAATCACATACTCTACCGTTATGGGTCTCAAGTCGCTGAAGGATGAGCACAATATCATTCACAGAGACGTCAAGCCAACAAACATCCTTGTTAATACCAAGGGCCAAGTCAAGATTTGCGATTTCGGTGTTAGCGGAAACCTTGTTGCCAGTATCGCCAAGACAAATATTGGCTGCCAAAGCTACATGGCCCCTGAGCGGATATCGGGAGGTGGTATGGCAGCCGGTGCAGATGGCACATATAGCGTACAGAGTGACATTTGGAGTTTGGGCCTGACGATCATTGAGTGCGCCATGGGACGATACCCTTACCCGCCAGAGGTATCGTCGACAATTTTCAGTCAACTGAGTGTGAGTGTACCAACCGCGAGTGAGAGATTAAAACTGACCGTGAACAGGCCATCGTCGAGGGAGAACCCCCAGGTCTACCAGAAGAAGGATACTCTAGTACGGCACACGACTTCGTTAAGCGCTGCCTCAACAAAGTCCCCAAGGAGCGGCCGACTTATGCCATGCTGCTTCAACACCCTTGGATGGCGCCGTTCTCGAAAATCGAGACAATCACCGAGGAAGCCGAGGAAGGTGACGAGGCAGACGCCGCCGCAGATGCTGTCGGTAAGATGTCCCTGACTTCCAGCACAGAGGACGAAGAGGTCGCGGCGTGGGTCAACTCGGTATTGGAACGCAAGAGAAAGGGACTTGATCCTAAATCTGTTTCACGCCCTGCATTACACGCTGCGCCCCTTGATAGTGTCAGCCCGGCATCCAGCCCTGCGGTAGGGTCGGACGCCAGATTGGAGTAGATGTCGTTGTGTTGTTTTGAGAGAGGCCAAACCCTTGCGGTTGATGGGGAGGATTATGATTTTTCACAAAATTCCCACACCGACCGAGCTGGCCTCCGTTGGTCTTCTGTTCGCCATTCGCTCCCACTTATCCCTATGTTTCATACCCTCAATCCAAGTATTCTACGATGCATCATCCGCATATATCACTGGCTGGCAAGGAGTGTTTGCTTTTGAGATTCATTTGCGTTGGAATGGCACACTTAACAGCACCTGCTTGGGTCGCCCAGTATACGACATGGACGGCGTTTTCAGACTTTTGACTCTATTTTTCTCCTTTTGATCTCATTGGAACCGACGAGTCATGGTGGGAGAATGGTTTCTTTTCTTTTTTTTTTTTTTTTTTTCTTTTCTTTTCTCTTGGGGCGGTGGATTCATGACGAAATGGAGGCCAGGCGTATACGACGAGAAACTAGCATGAGAAGAGATCAGAAGACCAGATCGTGGTAAAACAAGATTTATAAGAATTTGTGTGCGTCCCCGTATACGAGTAGAAGGCTCGACGGCGGATATGTGCTGTTATCATGAGCAAGATGGGCAGGGGTAAGGGTAGTAGTGCCTGAGACGTCACTCATCTGCGAAGATGAGGACGGGCTTCAAGATGTAGGTGGGGAAGAAGGAGACACGAAGGGTTGATGAGGAGGCAAGATGCAAACAATTTCACCGAGAAAGAAAGCTGGGGGGGGTGGGGGGGGGGTGGTGAGGAGAAGATCGTTGAAGATAGTAAACCAAAAAAAAAAATGAAATTGTTTGATGCCGCAATGAGACTCTTGTTTAAACAGGCATTGGTCGTTACGAAAAAGTTTAGAATCACGGTACGCACATAACAGATGTTGAGCTGTGCGGCATGCGACTGATGTGCGGTTCCAAAGTGTTCGTCTCTTACACGCATAGTTTAATCTTTATTTTATTTTCCCCCCCTAGTTCTCTTCTCAACCAATCTCACCTAACCCATGGGGGGGGGGGGGCGTAATTGAATGACTATATCAAGTTCTACGTGGATACTCTCAAAGATTGATGAAGTCAAAGAAAGAGAAGATTAAGTTTATTAGGCTAGACGTCCACTCGTCGTGTAGGGGCTTCGGGTCATTCCCTAGCCAAGATATGCCAAATAATTTCCCGGGCCCCAAGGCCCGAATGAATGCGAGCGTTTACTTTGAAAAACGCCGGTGACAGTGCTGCTAAAGATCATTTTGCGTAAATACAATAGACGCTGGTTCTGGATATCAACAATTCCGTTTCCCCCTCTTTCCCGTGACCCATCCATCATGCCAAACTCCGATTTTCGGAGTGGTTACGTTAAAAGTTGTTATTTTTGTTTTTTTTTCTTGTTAATTTTTACCTTTTTAAAGGTTATTCATTTGCTTGAGCAGCTCGTGGTAGCTAACAAGTTTCGCCGGTATAAAACGTTCGTCTTACGCGTAGTCCTCCTTAACACGACGGCTCGAGTTGACGTCAAAGGACCTGCGGCTACGCACGCTGCGCTTGCGGCTGAATCGGGACTTGCTACGGCTGCCCGACTTCTCGCCGCGGATACCGATGCAGAAGAGGACGGTAGCAAGAAACAGGGCGGCCCAGGCACCCCAGCTGAAGCCGAAGGCGTAAGTACCGATAGAAGCTTCGCGGCCTGCTGAGTGGAATGCGTTGCGGGCCTTGACGAAAGTTGCGCTGCGGGAGAAAAACAGTTAGCATTGTTGACTTTTGTGAGACATTTGGGGAGAGGGGAAGGGAAAAACAAAACATACGTCATCAGAGAGACGGCAACGGTAAGGAAGAACAGCGCGCTAGCCGACACCAAGAAAGCAATGGCAGAGCCGAGACGGCCGCAGCAGGCGAGGAAGCTTCCAAACCAGGCGACAACCATGAAAAAGAGGGCAATGAGGTACATGACCCATCCGAAGCGCCAGAGGTAAAAGTACTCGGTGCTCGTCGTGCCACCGCCGTGGCCGCCGGCGAGTCCCGAGGGTACGTTGGCAGCATCGCGGCCCCAAGCCCAGCCAAAGGCCGGAGCGGGCCATGGGCCCCAGCAGCCGGTGTTCTCGTCATTGCAGTAGTAAAAGTAGGTCCATCGCGTAAGGCCGTTGCGGGCGCCGGTGATGCCTGAAGTGTCGCCTTCGAGGAAGTACGTGTTGTTGAGAGGAGCCGTGTCGCGCACGCCGGCGAGGATGACGAAGAGTAGTAGGACTATTGATCCCGAAAGGAGGAATATGGAGGCTAGGCTCAAGCCGGCTTCTGAAATGCGTGTCAGTCAGGCTCGCGGGCCGTGATGAGGACAGGGAAAAGAGGAAACAGGCACTTACGTTTGGCCATTTCGTCGGCTGTTCAGAACGGTCGTTGTCTTAGGTGTAGTTCGTGATGCTTTGCGATGGCTGGGAGAATTCCTTCAGGGCGGTCTGTCAGGATTTGTATTCGAGAAATGTTTTTTGGTCTGAGGGATGGAAGCTAGGAAAATGATGCGCGCAGAAATGGAGAGAAGGGGTGAACCTTGTAAGGGGACGGTGTAAGGAAGACACGAGTAATTCGCCTCGGTCTTGTCCTTGAAGGGGACGAGAAGAGTAAAGAAGAGTGGTGGTGATTGCATGACCGGGGGGGTGAATGCGACAGTATCTGGGGCAAAACTTACCGGATTCGCAGAAATGTGTCAGTCGAATCAGGGAGCTATGATGCCTTGTGTGAGTGGGGGGACGGGATGACTCTCGTTTCTGTTTCTGATTTTTGTTTCTCTCTGCTTGGAACCCTTGTTCTCGGCCGAGTATCTGTAGCAGACAAACGAGGAGCGAGGTAGATAGTAGGTAAGGGGGGGAATGGCTATTGTATTAAGAGCTTGCTGGGAGTAATGATTCTTCTAGGGGATTCGGTTGGCTGGAGGTGGAAGGAACCAAGATATCAAGAGCAAACACAGAGCTAGGTACGTAGTGAGGTAGAGAGGAGTAGAGACGAGAAAAGAGTTGACTGACGGGCGATGCAATCAGATGATGCAAAACCAGGTTTACGTGTGCCAGGGCCGGGATGCAAAGCCAAACTAGTGGGGGGAGGCAGAGGAAACCCCCGGCCCGTTGGCTGGGACTACCAAAGAGAGAAAAACCGAAGAAAAAAAAAACGAATGCTGGTCACCTTAGAATCACCTCGGGTCACTGGGCTTAGGCCTGTAGCTTGGATAGCTTTAGAAGGGGGGCCATTTGGCGGTCATGTTAGCTCTGGGTACCGGGGTGCTCGTTGTTTCCTACCTTGTGAACAGCGCATCGTCGACCATGACGACACCCTGAGCCACTGCCGGGCCCACCTAATAGCACTTTGTACTTTGATAATGATTCCAGGCAAAAGTCGGATAGTGTGCAGTCAGGCGCATACGGTACAGTCCACTAATGACCGCGGCCCTACCGGGCAACAGCACCGCTAGCGCTGTTCCTGAGCCACTGATTCGTCGCGGATAGCTTCGCTGCCAGCGCAGGGACCACCTCCTCTTGCCTAGTGTAGTCCTACCCTACCCAGCCATCCACCCTTCACGACGTCATTCTCTGATCAAAGCGGGCCGTCGTCTTCTTGCTCTTTCTCTCCGTCCTTTCTCGCTCATTCCCTTCTGACCAACCACACTCTCTGGGTTCTTCAATGGGGAGGGGTGGTCTTGACTGCATTCAGTGTGTTCTGTCGGCTCCTTCTGTCCCGTGACAAACCGGGCTTCCTTACAGCCAACTTACGGATCCCTTGTTCACCAACCAACAGTGTCATTGATCGAAACAAGCTCAAATCACTGACACTTTTGGGATGACCGGGACTAGCTCCGTCTAGCTTCGGATGGACTTGGTCTGTTCTCGCCTGTCGTCTTCTCGATTCGGACGTCAACTTTACTTCCAACCGTCCGCTCAGGCAATTCATCTGCCAAAGCGGAAGGTTGGTCCAAGCCGACGGTGTAGAATGCGCATCTCTGAGACGAAGCTTCAACCGCAGCATTCCCTGCCCCCTGCGGATGCTCTATCCTTGGTGGTAAAATGCAGGGTCTTTTTGTCCCGTCCCGCAGCAAAAGAAGTACGTACAGCACGAGTGGTTGTCTTGCTTTCTGCCATCCTGTTCCAAAGCCAGGCGCAGCACCCGCAGGACCCTGATGTTCGAAATCCTTACACACGGTAACCATGGATCCCCCCTCTCTGCCGGCTTTGAGAGGATCTACGCTCTAATCTCGGGAAGCCCTTTTTTGTGTCCCGGCGATTCATTGCGCGGCCCTTGGCTGGTGTTGATGTGTATTACTGTGGCTCAGCTGCAGAGTGGTAAAGCTTGACCATAGTTAATACGTACCCGCTTATCCTCTCGGAAAATCAGCTCGCACACGGAGGCTGAGCCGTGTGCTCGCGTCACCCTCGAGTGGGACGGTATCATAATTTTAGACCATTATTTTTTATCGCCAGCTTCAGAGACATGCTGCGGTATCGGTTCTGACTTTCCTGTTGCTCGTGATTACGAGCCACCAGAAGCATGTTTTGCATCTGTCGAACCAAGTGACAAATAAAACAATCGCCCCTTTGTCTGTGTATCATTCCCCATGTTTGCCCAGTCAGCCCAGTCTACCAATACCTGCACCAGATCAGCCGGTCTCGTCGGTACCCCCACATGGCGGCGCGCCGGCGTCGGCTCGGCACACCATGAGCCTCGAATGACATCGTCTCTGGCGTTGGGCTAAGTCTGCTTGTCATCATGATGGATAGTCTGGCGATGGCCGCGTCATTCTCAGGCATTCGTTTACTTCGCCGGACAACCACGAGACTTGAATTTCTTTGTGTCACTGAGGATCGGGTTGAGATTAGTGAGCGCAGCATTGGTAGTCGAACATCAGAAGGCACTCTGCGACCCCTTTGTGACTGAGTCTGCAGCGATTATGCCGACGGTGGCCACAGCGCCGTTCCGAGCCGGGCTGACTGATCGCCAGTCCTGGATATCGGAAGCCAGTAGCCGGCTGGATCGCCGTGGTTGGTCGCCGTTTGACTTTGTTGGTGTTGACCGCCGTTGACTTCATGTCAGCCGACGAGGTTTCGTTCGAGCTTCGTGACATGCTTTCTTTCAAGGAATCCACCCGCGCACGAAGTCAGGCTTGATGGTCAGGGGAGATTGGGGATTTGCAGATAGTCTTTTCTTGGCGTTGTTCTGCTCTCGCTGAGTATGCCTCTTTCCATGTGTTCTTAACAAAGCTCGAGATGGGACTAGATATCCCAACAGTTGTCTTGCAACGCCACATGTCATTACTTGCTGGCCTCGGCCAGATACTAAACGTTCTTCATCAATGAACCCAGCAGCAGTAGGGGGATGTCACTACTTCTCATTGAGTCTAGTTGCTGCAGGTATATGCTGCTGAGGGCTTTTTGATACGTGACTTCGCAGATCGGGACCTGGCCTGAGGTGCGAAAAGCAATGGAAAGAGCAAATGGAATGAAGCCTGTTTCGGGATCATGAAAGGGGAAAACTCCGGTTGAATGGCATAGGAGAGACCTTTTATGAATCAACAAGAGATACCCCTTACCTTACGAGCATTATGATCGATTTTTAGTAGGCCTTCTTCAATCAGTGAGTGTGTTCTTCACGAACATGTAAAATTTTATCTTTCCCCTGAGATCCTGGTGGGTTTGTCAGTAATACCCTAGCGTGTTCTTCAACAGTCTCAATAGGAAGGGAAAGCCGACGTCTCGGGTGGCATAACCAGCAGGGCCGTTTAATCTTGTGGTGAGGGCTAACCCTATATCTTGATAACTAAAAAGTTTGAAACCTCCATTATAATCTGATGAAATCTGGTTGCTTCTTAGTATATCGAGGCTAATTTTAGGATGTTCCGTTGCTCACAGCATGCGAGTCGCTTTCTGCACCTCGACATCTTCGTATACAAAAGTTATGCACTTACACTCTCCAAGTACCTAGAACGGTTGTGAAATGAACAAAACAAGTTTAATACCGCAACCTCTATGACAACAACCCGCACAGCACTTGCTCGTATATATGCGTTTGTTGTCAGGACGCCCGGATGCTCCTCCTTTTTGGCTAAATGTAAAGAAGAGGATAATTGCGACCCTTCCCTCGTGTGTGAACTTCATGTGCGCAACTTCAAGCATGGCAAGTACAACTCTGAAGTCCCCATGCTAGATGAAGCTTGTTTCCGGAATTAAATTGCCGCAAAAGCTCAACACAGTTCTCGCAGCAATATATCTGCTTCAGCTGATATGACCATATGGCACGTGTGTATATGCTGTTCTACGGCGCTCTATGGCATACAACTATTAATTTGAATGGTGTTCCTACACTTTGTCGATGGCTTTTTTGGGCCAACCCTTAACACAACAAGCACTAGAAAGGTCGTCAAATACTAAAGATATGCGATGCCGATCAACTCTCTCTCTCCGACCTGTAACAGAATGCTGAAATCATTGTTAGATGATTTAGCTTCATCGATTGACATTTTTCTCAACAACACTTTCGGTCGTTGTCGTCAAAATTCCTGTCCTACACTGTGAATGTAGTCGACAGACCTATAGTTGTTACAAGGAGGCGAATGATTTTAGTTGCTATCCATTACAAAAGTTTCTTTCATCCTTAAAAATTAAGTCTATCGTTGACGTCGAAGAAAAGTTACACTTCCCAATGAAAACTTTCTGAATAGCCTAGTTTCCTACAACTTTCAAGACGGCTAGTACAAGACTTGCACTTGGCAGGAGGAACAGCATGTTCCGAGTGCCGCGCCAGTGCTTGGGCCAACAATGTCTCTATTATCCGTCGCTCGTCTTTAGTACCGCGTGTAAAACCAGTGGCGCCGTTGAATCCGACATTCCAGTCAACATATGCACCATGACAACTGTAAGCGGGGACCCAAGAACCTGCCCCTCACCCTCAGTAAATGTCACTCTCAGAGGATCGCAACCCCTGATTCCAGCACAGTCCGTGCACCGCCTTCCCGTTGATCTTATCGATAAGATGCCGACGTCAAAAAGAAGCACCCCCCACATTGACCCGAGCCGTCCTAACCCGGCTCGTTCCGTCAAACGCCGTCCAAGCTTTCTCTTGACTTCGCCTGCACAACCTTCTACTTACCCCCCTTCGTCAAACATTCGTCCAGTCACCAATCGTTTTTCGACAGCCGGTACGTGCGGTCGCAGCCAATGGGGCCTCCTCGAAGCATTTGCCGCCTCTGCGCATCTTCCGCGCGCCAACTCTCCCGCGCCTCACACCGGGCACCAGCCCAGGCGCGATGGAGCTCCTCGCAAACCGTTTCGAAGCTCGTGTTCTCCGACGATGACGGCGCGGAGCCGAGTGCAGTGAGGCACATCCACATCTCCTCCGACCCGACAAGCGGCACGTTCCCGTCGTATACCGCGGCGTCAGAGTTCCAAGATTCCCTCCGTCATGCCTTTCTCGAATGGAAGTCGGCACCAACCGCTCGCGCCCCGTCGCCGCTCGTCATCTCGTTCACGCCGGCGCCGACGTACACTCTCGGCCGTCGGCAGAAGTTGCTGACGGGAGAACAATCGGATAGACTGAGACGACCGTTAACGATCACTCTTGACGCTGCCGGAAATACAAGGACAGAGGGAGAGCGGGAGTACATCCCGGAAGTGATTGAAACAGACCGCGGAGGTTTAACGACGTACCACGGCCCCGGCCAGATCGTGCTCTGGCCCATTATCGACCTGCATAGCGAATACTACCCCCACCAAACCGTCCGCTCTTACGCCCGCCTCCTCGAGCAGACAACCCAGGCGGTTCTCGCGGATGGGCCGGGCTTAGGGACATACCTGTCAGAAGAGGACCCGGGCGTTTGGGCCGAGTCGGCGAGGTCGCGTCCAGGAGGCCAGGAACGCAAGCTCGCCGCCATGGGCGTCCACCTCCGCCGGCATATCTCGGGTCTGGGCACAGCGTTGAACGTCGATGTCGTGGTCGACGGCGGCGAGAAGACGAACCCTTGGGCGAGGTTCGTGCCGTGCGGGCTGGAGGGGAAGACGGCCACAAGCGTGCAGACGGAAGTCGGAGCCGGGACGTGGGAAGCCTGGAGAGCTGCTGGGGACGAGAGGGCTGGGAGGGAGTGGTATGCGCGGAGGTGGGTTGACGAGTTTGCTAAGCGGCTGGGGGTACAGCCCGCGAATGGGACGGTGCTTCACCGTCTAGATTAATCCCGGTTTTCGCCCGGGGCAGACGAAGGAGGCACTTCGACAATCTGCATTTTCCAGCTCGGAAACTCCCCCCTGTGCCGCATGCAGTGCTCATCTTGAGCAGTCCTGATCATTGTCGGCCGAGACGCATGAAGCTGCGCTTACAAACCTTACCTTCCGTTCCGTTTCTGTTATCAGTCTTCGCGGCGAGCTCTCCGGGCTGCCCCGGCTCGGTCATGGCGCTGTTGTCGCGGGGCCGAAGCTGTTTTGCCTAGGCTGCCACGTCTGTCGGCGGAGAGGGGGGACTGACTGCCGAGAACGCTGTAACATACTAATTCATGTATACCACCCATGTAAAGATACCCCCCCCCCAATTTTCTTATCGCCTTGGCAGCATCCTACAACCAAGTCTGATGTGTCGCTGACCATCAGATCATGGGCCACTTTTTTGTACTCAAAAGACACTAGACATGCCTGGGTTGCAAACCCGATGCCGGGATTCAAAGTAAAAGTAAAGAAATAAATTGAAAAACAACCCACTGTCAACACCCATCGGTGATACGAACCAAGAAAAGACTGTTGGCGGGCACCAAGACAGGAAGCACGCCATTGCTCACGACATGCGAGACACGTTTTGACGGGTCCATCGCCCAAAAACTGCCAACGGGGGGGAGGTGAGACTTTCCCATGCCACGCACGGCATGCCAGTATGATCTGATCAGCGCGCGTCTACGCCGCTTCAGCGGGTCCCGGCGTTTGCTTCCCAGAGACGCGAATACCTGTCCCGTGTTACAAGGCGTGCCAAGGCCCGTCTCCGGCAAGCAGTGGTCTCCTATACTACCATGATGGGCACTAGATAATTGGAGCAGTTAATGCCCGGTCGGGTGGCGAGCATTGAAGGTTACGGTGGTAGTAGAGAGAAATGGAAAGTCCAAAGTCGCTACATCCACATTCAGTAGTATTAGAATCAACGCCGATGCTATGATGAGTATCAACCTGAGGATTGAGCCGTCCCGCCAAAGCCATGAAGATAACCCCCCATCATAAGTCATGATTCCATTCCCCGTGAGCAAAAACGAAATGAGAAAATTACAATCACAGTAAGCCAAATGAATCAGTTTTAAATCTCCAATCATGCATAATCCTTGGCCATCACTAGGCCCCCAAAGTTTGCTCGGTCTCGGATATCTTTGTTTCGCAGCTCGCTACCCTTTTCGCACACCATGAGTACACTCTTACTATCAAGTCTCGAACGTCTGCATCCAATATGTTGTGTGGGCGGCATAGCGCCCTCCGGGAAATGAGGCATTTTGGACGTCCGTCACGATTCAATGGTGCCGTTGTCCCATTGTGGCCATTTAGTGCTCCGCTTTGAGCCGTCCCTTCTTCTTGATACTTGGGATTCTTTCATGGCCATCATCATCGGGCGTCCATTCTTCCGGGTGGAAATGTGGGTTCTGGTAATGTGCCTTGTTGAAGTGGCTGTTCTTAAACATGGCTGTGGTGAAGCTGGGCTCTGGAAAACTTGGCTGTGAGGACAACATCGAGGGCTGCGCTGAGCCGGAGTTGCTGAGGTGCCAGCATTGGTGGCTGAACCTCAGCTGGTAATCAACAGGCTGTGATGGCTTTCCAGGGGCAGGGGTAGATTGTTGTGACTGGGGTGGCGCTTGCGGCTGCACACGAGCAGCAGTTAGGGGCTGCTGTTGTTGTTGATGTAGGTGGTCGGAGTAGGGCGTAGTCAGCCAGGGTGGCTGCGGCGGAGGATCGTAAGCGTCCGGCAGCGGCGACGTGGTGGTGGGTGAGCCGAGAGAAGAAAGGGCAGAGGAAAGACCGGAAGACGGGCCGCCGAAGCCGGGTAGCATAGCCAAGGGGCTATAATCGATGTTGGTGAAAGAGTGCAGCGACGGAGTTACACTCGTAATCTCCTGTCGGTGAGAAAAGGACGTTGCTCGATTGACCTGCAGGTTCAAGGGTGCCGGGTTTGGTGGAGATTTGTACAGAATGTCGTAATGATCAGGCCGGTATAGAAGGTAGATGATTGGGCCTAAATTGGCGGGGTCCTGGCCAGCGGCTTCGTCGGGGAGACGGTAGCTGTTGACCTGGCTTCCGGCACTGCGATCAAGGTAGGCAATTTCCAACACGAAGTTGACAGGCTTCAGCAAGACTTGAACAAGCAACTGGATGCCGAGATGCTCAATCTCTCTGTTGGGGCGCTCGAGCTCACTGCAGTAGCCGGCAATACCCGTGTCACCCGGAATGAAGGGCACGTAGGCATCGGCGTTGCCCTTCAACCACGAGCTCGCCAAAAGGCGCAGGTGGTAGATGATTGCGTTGGAGGCGTCCTGGTCATTGAAGCGCTGGACGAGGATATGCATGGCCAATTGCTGATTGGCGATGTTCTGTGCCAGGTCTCTCAGGAGGGCAATCGTCTCATCCACCATGTCCTCGAACAGCATCCGATCGTAGCCGCCAACATTGAGGAGGTACTGATTAAGACTCGTGATGCGCGCCACCTCGCCGAGGATCTGCTGCTGGTCGCCGTTGTTGACTAGCTGCTCGAAGTAGGAAAAACCAATTGCTGTAGAAGAAGCAGTTAGCTCAATCGTCCACTGACTACTGGAAATCCCGCTTCTCCCCGCAATATGCCATCATCTCATGACCTCCACGAGTGCCAAACGTTGTGTGGCTAGTTTACAGGTAAAGTGGCCGACTTGGGAGGTCACGTTTACTGGAATGTCCTCCCACTTTGTCGAGGGCTGGTAATGCGGGGTAGGGCGTGCACGAAATGGACGTGATCGCGAAATCCAAACTCACCTCGCCAGCCGCAGTTTCCATCGCCTTGAATCGGTCGGTAGTGCGAATACGTCTGTGGAAGTGCCTGTAAACCGGCGCAAGGGCGGTGCAGTTTAGTTACTGTTCGGTGACAGTGCGGTTTGAGTGGCAAAGAAAGAGAGAGGAACTCACGATGGTCTTGGCAACGTAGATATCGTCGGCTTTTGCATACTCATCGGTGATGGCATCGCTTGTGATCTTGTCGCCCACCAATGGACCCTCGAGCTGTGGTTGGTACTCCCGGGCGGCGGCTTCCTGGGCAGCGAGGTCGGAAGGCTCGCCGGGCTCCATGGTGGACGGGCGAGTGCTCGTGGAGTTGGCGATGCTTGGTGCTGTGACGGAGTTGGAGTTGGAATTGGAGGAGTTGTAAAAGGTTGAAGAAGCTCCAGCGTGGTGGAAGTGGGAGTGGGAATGGGAATGGGAGGAGGACGTGGTCACTGAGGATGCGCCTGGGCTGTGGTGGAAGGAGGCAACGTGGTTGTGACGGTGGCCAGCGGGGGAAGGCGAGGAGGAATACAGGCCGTTTCCAGCAGGTAGAGGCGTCGTTCCCTGTGCAGCTGGGGGAGGTACTGTTGGTGGTAGCGGTAGTAATGGTGGTGCTGCTGTTGCTCCCGCTGTGGTAGCAATAGAACGAGATGCAGAAGGTGTTGTCGCAATTGCAATAATAGCAGGAGCACCTGCACCCGCACCTGCACCTGTACTCGTACCCCCACCTGCAGCTTCCCCGACCCCACCAGAGGCCAGAGACAGTGACTGCGACCGTGATTGTGATTGCGACGGCGGCTGCGACGGCGATTGCAGTGGACTGGCGCCCAGCCCCATGGCCATTCCCGCCATCCCTATCCCCCCCATGCCCGGCCCTAAGCTACCGTTCAGTGCATGGCCGCCGTGGGCCAGGGGGGTGCCCATGCTGTGGCCGTGAGGGCCAGCGGATGCTAAGCCCATCCCAATACAGTTTGCACCCGAAGACGAACCCACTCCCAGCGGGGTTGGTGGGAAGTTGTAATCGTCCAAGTCTTCTCCTCCCAACACTCCTACACCTCCCAATCCCGGGCCTCCCCTTGGTGCTGCTGCCGCTCCTCCTCCTAAGTTCATGGCGTACCCTCCGACATTTTGAGGTGAGTGGTGAAATGACCGCGACGAATAGGCTTGAGATTGAGAGTGAGAGTGAGAGTGAGATGGAGAATGAGAATGAGAGTGAGGGGATTGTACGTGCAGAGCCGACACAAAAGGCGTGGGCTGAGGCTGGAACATGGCCTCGCTTGCGCCTTTACTTTGCCGCCCTTGGCTGTTGATCGGTCTGTAGTTGTTTGGTTTAGCTTCCCGTTCGTGTAGGAAGGCAGTATTGGTGTCGTACTATGGGTTGCTGTCCTCTCGCAGTAGAAGCAAGGAGAGGCGGGTTGTTGGCGCCACTGCGGCCGATTGCTGTTGCTCGCTGACGACACAGCTGATGGCGGCGCGCTGTGCCCAAAACTTCCAGTGCGTTATTGGCGAAAAGGGGGATGAGAGGCGAGAGGAAAGAATTTACAGAGAGAGAGAGCAGGGGGAAAAAGAAAAGAGGACGAGAGGGTGGTGATCAATGAGACGATGAGGGAGTGGGAAAGGGAGGGCGGAGAGGGGGGGAAACCCGAACAAATGGGGGCGTCGGACGACGCAGCGTAAATTCAAAGTAATACAACGAGACAGCAACAACAAATGGACATTCGACTTCTCTGTGTTTTAACAAGCCTGCCCTCCAGTCAGGTCAGCTAATTAACGACTGAGGAGATTCGCCTGGCAAGCACTGCACAGCTTGTAAATGGCAAAGTGACCAGGTATATCGTGCAATGGCACGACCACGGAACAGGTACTTCTCTGTACCTCAGCTAATGTGCCAAAAGGACGAATAAAAAAGTTGGATACAGGGGGCGATATTGCAGAATTCGATGGACCGCCCCAAGGGCCAAAAAGGAATAATAATGTGACGAGTGGTTTTCCGGGGTGCGTCTGGTAGGTCCCTTCCTCCTGCGTCTCTCAAGCCCGGCGATTTGCCCGATCGACTCTGGGGTCCTCTATTTTGTGTGGGTGTCTAAGTGAGTGAGTGTGTGTGTATGTGTGAATGTGTAGAGGTGGTCCGACGGCGGACAGGCAGGCGAATCTTGGTATTGGCGTTGGTGTTGTTGGTGGTGATAGTCTGCCCCCCCTCGTTTGGTTTGGGGTGGTCCAGTGCCTTCGCCTAATGAAAATAGCCCTTCAATTTTTATTTTCTTTGCCCTGGGGAGCTGGTCGCCGGTTCTCTCTCGCCTTGTGTTCTAGGTACTAGTAGAGAGACGAGAGATTAAGACCGAGAGGGTGTGAACGGGCGGTGTTCTGGGCAGAAACTGGACCTGGGTATTGTATTGGTGCTGATGCTTGGTGCTAGACGAGCCGAGCTGAACCGCAGGTGGTTGGCGAATGACAACCGAGGTGGACGAAGTTGATGTGATGTGATGTGAGTGTGCAGTGCCGTGCCGCAGCTAAGGGATCGGAGGGTAAGGTACAGTAGGGCAGAGAAGGCCCAGTATCACGGTTGAGCTTGGGAGAGGCTGGATGGAGAGATCAAAAAAGCTACCATTGCCTTTAAAGGGTAGTTGGGCTTCGGCCTATTGATGTGGGCGAAAAGGCGGCATGAGAGGTGGTAAAAGGGAAGGAAAGAGAAGATGAGAAGAAAAGAAGAGAGAATTGGCCAACTACTTTAGGGAAACACAGGGGCATATGAGGACCAGTAAAGGGTCTCGTCGACGCACGGCAGGATGAGAGGCGAGACAGGAAAAACGACAGATGAGTGTCCGCAGATGTCGTTCTAGGGTAGCGATGGTTGCACCGAGACGGGCGAGGGAAACCAGCATGACACGACTACAGAACATCAACGGCACCACCATCATCGCCGCCACTATGGAGTGCTAGGATCACCCACCACAGACGCAGAGGGTCTGGGGGAGTGGGAGGAGGAAGAGGAGCAATATCATTAACGACGACAAGACTATGAAAGCCAGGGTCCATCCTGGAGCTGTGGTACCTAACCCAGGGTGCAGACACATCCCAGCCGTGTCCGCAGCGAGGACTGTCATCAGGTAGGTAGATAGGTAGTTAGGTAGGCAAGCTCGGTCAGGTATATGTATTCGTGCAGAGGAGCAGTTGAGCAACATGGGCAAAAGTATGGTACGTACTCCTGCCTACTTCATGTAAAAGCGAGGCATGGTGAGGCAGGCCATATGGCAGGGTACGCAGAAGAAAGAATGGAAAAGACGGTGTCAGTGACCGTTTGAATTCCATTGTGCGATAATGGAGATAGATGGGGTACCAATGCTGCTAGATGGTTGGTTGATGGCACTCGGTACGGACATAGACTGTCTGGATATAGTTTAGTATCAATGGATGACATGATAGCGTTGACGGTTTATGATTCATATGGTGGGAATATTGAAAGACCAACGACTATGACGGCGGCGCACAGCAATTAGCAAGTCCACGCCGCCGCCAGTCCTGATGACAGTAATAAACAAGGATGTGTGGATAATGGTGAACCCCAGCCCTGTAGAGGGTGAGGTGCGGGCAAAAAATTGGCAATGAGATAAACAACAAGATGAGAGACTCTCGCGCCCAGTTGTCTGTGTTCTCATCTCTACCCCTTCCCCCTCCCATCTCTGTCCTTTCTCCTCCAATACAGGACGGGGAGGCTTTTTCGGGCCAGCATTAACCGGGGCGCCATCAATCATCGGACAGCTGCATCCATAAGATACAAAGTACCTTGCTGGAAGACAAAAAAGAAAGCACACCAGAGAGAGGTCCCCTTGTCTTTCGGTCGGGCCTGGGCTGGTCTGCACCAGGTTTTTCCTGCAACTCGTCGTCAAGCTGCACCCCCTCGGGGCAGGCAAGGGAAGTGGCAGGCAAAGTACGTAGCGGATGGTTACCTTAAGGTACAGAGGGCAAGGTACGGATTGGCTGCATCCGCCAGCAGGGAATCCAGCGAACGGGGGGTTGAGCGGCGTAGCACAAAGATGATATCGTGATATTGCGTCTGGGTAGGAGCGTCACGTCGTCCCTTCCTTTATTTCTTGCTAGCTTACCAGACCTCATGTGCCATCAAGTCGGCGCGCCATCGACGGTAAGAAAAGGACTTTGGTTAGGTCAATCAAGGGTAGCCTCACCTCGCATAGAAATAAATCAAGTCGCTGCCATATTTTTTTTATTTTGTTTTCTTCGCGAAGGAGGAAAAAAGGATGGAATTGATTAGAAAAGGGAAAGAGGACAATACAAGGCAAAGCAAATGTGTTTTTCAATGGACAATTACGTTTATCCCTGAGGAAACTGCATGTTTCCCCGAGGGCGGGTACTTTCCTTCAACGTTGTCTTTCCTGCCAGTCCGGTCTGTTATGCAAGTACCTACCTACCTACCTACCTTCCTTACTTCTTACCTCTCCTCCTACCTCCCTCACCTAAGGTATTTTGGTATCCTTGTATATAGTATCAAAGCAAAGTAAGAAAAAAGGAGCGGAACACAAGTCTGGACAAGAGCGACGTTCCGTCCTCCTTTTCCTTTCTTCCCTCGCTCTTGCTATTGCTTTCGCCCAGATTGGAAGGGCCAAGCACCTACACTCCGAACTGTCTCGCTGGGCCAAGTTGACATTCTCTTAAGCTACACGCTACAAGCTGATAATGCTACTGAAATGCAGCATTCTCCGTTCCAACCGTCCCATTCCCCTCTTCCCCGTCTCGCCCTCATCCCCCGTCTCCACCCCTTCCCGCCCTTACGATGGCCTCCACCACCCCTGTCAGTCAGGAATCGGATAGCATGCCATGTGTAACATGCAGGAGCCCCCCCCCCCCCCCCCAGGCCGTCCAACAAAACCTCCCTCGAGGGAATTTCAAGCAATCATCAAAACCACAGGATCCTTTAGGACGCCCGGCGTCTAAGGACCAGCCTACGAAGGATACGCAGTCTGCTAATGCCAGCAGTCACTTGGCACCGCCTTCACTCACTTTACATGCTGCAAGACCGCTGGGGCAACATCATAAACGACGGCTACCTCGACTCAGAATCACAAGGGTGGCATTCTAGGGTCAAATCGAACCGGGGGAGAGGGCCTGTCATTCACCGTCGGAGCTAGCAAGGGGTTTTCGCGGTGCGCCCATGGCATGTCAAGCTGTTCGAGGGAAATCGACAGGGTTGGCACAAGCATCTAGGGCTCTAGCACGAGCTAGACAAGACCACCACCCTTCATGGGAAGTGTGGCACCCCGGCGACTGTGGCACTAGTCTACCGCACAGGAAGAGACAGAGAGAGAGAGCATGGAACATTTGTCCTTGGCTGGGATGCAATGGCGTCCATCTATTGCTCTTGTCAGGGCCGACGCCAAGGGCAAGCCAGAAAGTACGTACAAGCACGCAGACATGCAGACCTATACTTGCTTACCTAGGTACTGTGGGCAGATGCTGATGCAGTACCCGTAGTGCTGATCCAACTGCATTCATCGTGATCTCTCCACATTTTCCACTTTTCCACCTTTCCTCCACTGACACCCGCCCTAGCGCTGGCACGGATGCTGCTCCAAGTCTCCAACCCTTCTGGGGCCTCCCTCAGCTACCATACCGCAACGCTATCTAGCGCGAGGTAGCGCCATTGGAAGAGATTGCAAGGAAGCCCGTCGCTTTACCTGCGCTGGCCCTGGCACTGCCTATGGCTGCTTTGTGCCTCTGCATCCCTCGACAGTCAGGACAAGGGTGCCCATAGAATAGGAAGTAACTCAAGAAGACGACATCCGAATACCCCTTGAAAACTCGAGCCGCCAAGCAAAGCTCGACGAAGATGCCCAATTAAATGTGGCTCTCTCAAACAAGAGACTGCTATCACCTCGTTCGTTTTCTAGCTATGTCTCTCGTCGGTTCATCAGGTTTGACAACGTGGTAAGCAGGCAGGCAAGACAAGCAGCCAGCGGGAGAACTTCAATGGTTTGTTGCTGGTGGCTGCTGAAAGTTCATCACCGCCCTCATGCTGTCACTGTAGCCCTTCCTTCCTGTGTTCCCCCTTATCTCTCTCCCTCGTGGACTTGTTCCCGTTTGCTCTTCCCCTCCCGCTGCTTCTGAAAGCTACAGTGGACAGTTTCCATTGCACATTTTTGTCATGCTTTGACCACCCAGGGCAGCATACTGGCACACCAATCTAACAATATCCCCAACAACTTGTGGCCTGCCAATCGCCTTGCTGATCTTGTTCTTTGCTTCGATTTGACTGGACTAACGTTTCCACGAGACCGGCTTACACCAGACCTGGCCCCAACACACCTTGCCATGCTTGCCTTGCAAGGGGTATGCTTGTGGTTAGCTGAAGGCGGACGACCGACGGCGGCCTATTCCGTTCGCCGCCTGCAACAGACGGACATTTCCCACGGGAAACCGTGATGTAAAACCGGTTAACTGGTTCTCACTGGACGGGTGCTAGCCGAGGAAGCTTGCAGAAGCTATGCTGCTGCAGTGGCCCAGGCCTGTCACTAACTAGGCCCTAGGTTCCGGTCCTCCAACACGTATCTCCGCGGAGTGCCATCACCAACAGCATCAGGTCATCATGGGGCTTGTTGTGACATTCATTTTTGCCTGGTGGTGGTTTTTTTCAAGGCTTCTTCAAGCGAGGAACCACGGACATATGTCATATCAGCCGCAGGTTGGTGACAGAATACCATCAAGGAAGAATTGCAAAGTGGATGACACTGGGGCCGGCTGCATTGGCCTTGGCTTTGAAGACCGACTCAGCCATCTAGGCGAATGGTCGGTGGCGCATCAGTGCTAGGCCCCGAACCCAGATCCCAAGGGTCTAAGTACAACTTTCAAGGCTCTGATACGGGAGATATTGGGCCGTGATATTGATTAATCCTACTTCAGGGGGGATGCTCTTTGCCGGCCCCATACTGATGCATTGAGAGACACATCGCACCGTCGATCATCTTGCTGAACCAGGGCGAGACGCAAAAGGCCTCAACGATGCAGGGTGAAAAGCCCAGTCACAAGGATTGGCACGGGATTAAATACAAAGCAGTACGTTCTATCCATCCAAATGCCGCATAAATGAGTACTCAGCACACTCCTACCGGAAGAAGGTCTGGTTACTACTCAGGCCAGGGCGACCTGAATTGTACCGTGTGGTGTAGAGTACCTCAGCAGTGGCCTGGAATTGGATTGGACAAACCATGGAGCGACTCGCATCCGACGCTTCTTCGGCCCCGACTAAACAGTTCCACATGCGCAAGGTTGCCAATGTGGGTGACCAGGGGCGTGAATACAGGTGTCCGCATTAATACTCGGATTGTACGCCTAGGTTGCTCAGCGCCGGGCTCCATCACATTGGAGAAACACCGGTGGGTATAACTTGAAAAGAAGAAGCAGGTCTTACTATGTATTCGCCCCGCAAAGATGGAAGTCGGCTATTCGATTGGAAGCGTGATGAGCCTTTCATTCTAGACGGTGCGGTTTTGGTTCGGAAGCCTGGCAAGTTGCAAACCCGAATATCAAATGGCTTTACAGCTACTTACGAATACATCGGGGAACCTTTGGGTCTTGCAAGGATTCATGCAGAGCTGTTGGAGCGAGCCGTTTATTACTGGGGCTTCATCCTACAGGGGCTTCAATCCTGCTCTGAAATGGCACCCAGTCAAGCAAACCAACTATTAACCGTCAAGGGAAGGCGAGGCACTGAAACTCTGCAACGCATTTATCTTCAGGATGAAGCATACCAGCAGCGCACCTAATAGCCCCGGTCTTTCGAGACTCCAGCAGCGACGGAGGATGGCACGTTGTGCCATGTAAGACTTCACAACTATTCGCTCATATATTCGATTAGTAAAGTACTCCGACAAGGCAGTTAGGTCCTTCGCAGTACAAACACATGTGTTTGATTGGAGCTGTGTAGCAGATAGGCGGTCAGTTTCGCACACAATCAAGCCTTGTAGGACGCGATTTAACCAGCAGAAAACAAACACGACGATGACAACCAGATGGGGAAAAAGGTATTTCTGGTGTTGGTGGGTTCTAGGACTGCATCGGGATCGACGCTTTCCGTCCCTCGATGGACCACTGCCAAGTGAGATGACAGGGAAGCTAATAGATCTACTACGACTTACTCAGATTCTCATCACATCTATTCGTTCATGTGTTGTCACGACTTTTCAAGGCCCATAAGTCTCGCAAGTCCTCCCATTAAGGGACTGGCCAAGTACATAACCAATTCCACAACAACAACAACAACAACGGATAAATGGACGATGTAGAATCGAAGAGCCTAGATCTCTTGAATAAAGTTTATATTCCGCCAGTAGACCAAAGGTCTTGGCACACGACACAACTACGCAACAACCGTTCGTTACACGCCAAATACCCCTACGCACGCGAGTCTCCGCAGCCACGCCCGTTTAGTGAGTAAGAAAGAAAATTTACCAGTGTGGCTTCATTGTGGGTTTTCGTACAAGAGGAGCCAGGCACACCAATCCGAAGGGATTATTCTACAGTTTGCCATCACTTCAATCCAGCTGTTAGGGATTCCCTGCATCCTTCTGCAGCACGCAGTGATAATGACTGTGGCTTGGGCAAATACGCTTCAGATGTTGCCAACACAATGTACGTGTTTGAGCGTCAGCCAACACAATCAGGAAAAGAGGATTCGCATCAAGGAACCAACCTGGCCTGTAAAGCAAATGTACCCGCTTCTCAAAGTTTATCAAATGAGCTTTGTCGGTGGTGCTTGCAGCTGCAGGAAAGGCAAGGGTATCTCATAGGCCAAACTCGGCTCACATCCTAGACAATGAAAGGAGACAGGACCAAGATAACGCTGCTACTCCAAGCCCTACGCCCTTGTCTTTACTTCACGCTATTACGAATCTGCCCTAGAGGAAAGCCTGAAGGACATCGAGAGAGCCCAGTGTTCACAATCGCCTTGGGAATGGCCCAACATCGGCGCAAACAACGAGGCATGTGAAGGCAAGGGTGGATCGAGACGAAGAACAGGCACCGTCAGGTCCGACATCCCGGGGAGAAGTTGGCCAATCATGGCTTCTGAAAGGCGGTGGGAGCCCGTATGCCCGTTCTGTTTTGAGAAGAACATCGTATTGTGGCTAGAAGCCCAGCTGAGGCTGGGAATGGGATGTTCGGAAAGGCCTCAAGTCGCAACACCACACACCTCCAACGACGTCGTATTGTCTCGTTCTAGGTTGCCCGCTAAGATACCATCCCGTCCCACATCTGCGACATTTCCGTCCTTATTGACTGGCTGGGTGGATAGCAGACAGGGACACCGCGGGCTTTCTCTATTGGGGAGGTGAGGGCATGAAGACGATTTGAAAGCCCGCATCGAGAAGATGCCAGGCCCTACCCTCCGCCGCCGCCATCGTCCTTGTTCCCGACGCCTCACTTCCCGTCTTTGGAAGCACCTCTCATGCAGCTACGCAGCTGGCGCTGCACGAAATATTCCTTTTATTTTCCCCCGGGAAAATGGCTTCAGAGCGACAAACGTCCCTTGGCGATATGACAACTCATACTTCCAGCGGAATGAATCCCTGCTCGCGCATGTTGGGGATAATCACTTGGCTCATCGCTCAATCTCAGGCGCGCAGCATGCCACTTACGCCAAAAAAAAAAAAAAAATCTAGAATTTGAAATCCACAACCGAGAAAACGTCAAATTTGATATCTCATCGGTGTGGATCTCGGTGTTTGATGGTGCCGTCGGCCTCGTATCCTACTCGCCGTCTCCTGCGTCGGTGAGCCATGCTTGCGATGATCAGCCGTCCGCCCTCAAGGGTAATGAAAAGCAAGGGGTAAATATCTCGCTACCGTTGCGGTATCTCTCTGCCGCCACAACTCAGCGCGAACGGGTTGATGGATCCGGGAGGTGTCCCAGACGAAAGGATATGGATCACTCCAACAGACATTTTGTTTTCTCTAGAGGCCTGAGGTTAGGCTTGAGGAGCCTGTAGAACCACGGTCGCTGGGCAGCTCAACCAGTGGCTGAAGCACCGTGGGAATTCAAGAAATGTCGGATCTACCAGAGCCAATAGCCGTTTAGGAGTTCAAAATGTTCGGTTTGTATAACAGTAAAAAGTTTTTCAAGTCTGAATCGAACAGAACGTGGCAAGACTCCCAGAAATTTGTTAGAATTCGTTGAGACTCTGTTTCCTTTGGGTTGCTTCAACCACGATTGCCAGATGCAACCAGCCAGCACACGAAGGAACAGGAACTTTCAAATACGTTACAATACATTCCCCAACCGACCTACTCCAACAGCGGACTGTGTCAGGCTAGCAGGTTGTTTTCTTGGCTGCTTTACTTCGCTCTACTAAATCTGTGACTTTCATTTACGATCTTGTTGGAACTTAGCTTTGTGGCGGCCATATCACCACTCGTTTCCGCGGACCGAATCAACGGCAAGCGCCTCCCTCTGTGCCGCGTCTTGTCCTACACCCGCGCTGCAATAGACCGACAGCGAGAGGAAGCAGTGAACCGTACACCACATCGCCTGCTTGCTTCGTTGTACAACGCAAGTCGCAGACGCCACGCCCGGTGTCGCTCGCGTGAGTGGACAGATCCCGTCGATCGCTTTTCGGCAACATCTTTGACAGGATAGGGGTACGGAATGAGGCATAACAATAGAGGTGCTATATTGGTTCGCCTCCAAACCCCTCAGCAAAAAGTCTGTTTTCAGAAGGAAAAGAAGGCGATCCATTTCCATGAAGATGCTTGGCTGCTGAAATGCATCTCTTATGATAGTGGCTGACGAGGGTGAGCCTGCATGAGGATATTGGCCTGCTTTATTAACCGATAGGGAGCAATTGGTGCCTCGCAACGGGTCCGGGGCAAACTTCCAAACAAAAGTAACGTCGGCCGTGGTTGCATTAGAGATGTTTGTTGGTTGGAAAACAGTCTCGCCTGCGCTGTTCCCGTCATTGCCCGTCATCCATCTCCCTTCTGCTTGTCTCTCCCGCCGGCCCCTTCCACTAAAGCTGTGCTCATGCTCGCCACGCAGGTCGCAATAAACCTTATTATCCGTGCAATTCGGGGTACATCCCATGGCAGAGCTGAACAACGACGTCGTCTCATTGGCAAACCTCTCGCACGTCAACGGCGCACCTCTGTTTAAGATGCATCGAAGCTGGAGATAAACAAAAGCAAAGCAATGAAATAATACTAATAATAATAATAATAATAATAATAACTAGCACTACTACACTTAATCTTAGCTGTCAGGGACCATCTGAAGTATCCCGTGCCTGCATAAAGGGCGCGGGCAGAGTTTGTTGTATTCTACCGCACTACTACTTAACAACAGCGGGAAACGAGGATAGTATTGACAACGTTGCGGTTTAGCTTCAGGTCCCTGTGTCATAGATGGCGGTATCAACGAATTGGTAGGGGGGAAAAAAATCTGCTATCACGGGAAACTCAAGTTTTGCCATTTTGCCGCGCTCATAATTTTTGTCTGCCGAGACAGGAGGGAATACTCCGGTCCAAGCAAAGGCGCAAGCTCTAGCTACGAGTTCTCGGCAGGCGTCTATTCGGAATCAGTAGAACCTGAGAACATTCCTTAGCCTCGTTGTTTCTTGGCGGGGTTGTGTTTCCCGAACACCGTTGACATACTCGTTGCTGACAATTGGTCGAAGCCGCTCGGAATGATACCCGTAGCTTACAACATCTGACCCATTCGTGAATCCCCCTAGCCGATGCCATCAATAATCTTTCCGTACATCGTACGTCACGGGCAATTAGACTGATCTCCCTATTCACACCGGATCAACTGCTCCTACTGACTACAGCTCCTGCTCCACATCATGGGGTTTCACGAAGGCCACGCCGACAGATTCAGCACCATGCAGCGGAAACTTGCTTCCAAAGTATCTGGTTAGCGGCTGCGCATCGCCGAGGCCGGAATGAGTGCTTGTTCCCGGGCCTGTAGCTCCCCGTGATGTATAAGGGGAAGGGTGAAAAATTTCGTCTTTCTGTTTTCTTTTTTTTTCGCCTCGCCTTTGGTATCTTGTTCTTAATTCTTTTCACATCCATCCGAGTTCCTCGTTTTTTTAATGCCAAGGACCTAGGAGCCGCTCTAACGTTGCATCTTGGTCACGTCCCACCACAAATGTAGGGAGGATAGCAGCAGCAATTGTCTAACCCACTCGCTTCGCTTGCCCCGCCGCTATTCCCATCTCATCCCGCCCCCCTCTCGATAAGCATCGGTCCAGCCTCAAGTCCACATTGGCATCACGCCCTTGCCCTTCCGTCCTACGCCTCGCGGTGGTCCTCGGGGACCGCCTGCCCTGGGTGTCAGGCCGCCCATCAAATCCATATTCTGGTCGTCGGTAGTGTACTCAGTGGTCCGGAAGCCGTCGCCCTCCTTGAACATGGTGGTGTAGAGATTCGAAACGGACTCTGTGAGCTCATACATGGCCTTGGTGCGTTCGCTGTCGGCATCTGACTGGATCTCAAGGGTACCCAGCTGCTGATCGATCTTGCCGTCAATCTTCCCGTCAACAATGAGGAAACCGAGAATGTCCTGGACCTCGGGTTGCGAGATTTTCAACTGCTTCGCGATCCAGGCTAGCTTCATCCGCGTGTAGGGTGCAATGAGCTTGAGAACGCCCTTGGTACGCATGTTGCGTGTAACTTCATCAATGTTTTCGGCGATAAAGGGATCGGCAAGGATATCCTGGTTTTTCTGGAGCACGCTCTCGTAGGCATGGACATCGTCTCGTTGGTAGGCGTCCACCAATTCCGTCATAGCCGTAATGCGCGGGTCCTGCTTGTAAGGCTTGGTCTCCTGTGAGTCAAACGGGTTGATTGTCGACTTGACCAGCATGGTTGTGAGAAGCAGGTATTTGAGCACCTGAATACGTTGGAGTGAGCCGGCCTCGTCGTAGTTGCGGAAGGACTCGAAGAAGTCGGTCTGGGCCTCAGCCCAGTTCTCCTCGCTCATGTGCATCTTGCCGCCGCACTCGCGAATGATGCCCATAATCTTGGGGTGCGGAACGGCAGACCTGACCTTGAGGGCACGCTGATACAGGCGCTTGAGCTGCTTGTTGTTCTTGGTCTCGGCGTGCATTTGAATCTCAAGAGCGTATATCTCCATAGAATATGTGCCCTTGCTGGGGTCGTCGCTGCCATCCTCCTTCTGACAAGCTTTGTGGAGATCCCGAAGCTTCTTGGAGACGGTGTTGTAGTCCTTGCGGTCGAGCAGGAGCTTCGCGAGTTTGATATTGGTCTTGAGCCAGAGCCTCTCGTTGTTGGTGCTTTGGAAGCTCTCGAGCGTGAGAGAGTAGAACTTTTCGACACAGGCCACCGCCTTAGGGCCATCTGAGCCCTTCTCAATGTAGTCCAGCATGTTGTTGATCGATTTCTCCGAGTAGTTTCTCGTTACTGCTGATTTGACGTACGTCAAGAGTTCGGCATAGTGTTCTGTCGCCTGTTTCCATGTCAGCGACCTATCTTTGCTTCGCCTTATGTGTGCTGAGAGCCTGCCTGTACCTTATCATACTGGCCAAGCTTAAACTCAAGTTTGATTGCTTGTTTTAGACCTTTGAATCCCCATTCGCCCTTCTCCTCTTCTAAGGGCGGTATGCCCAGGAACTCTGTGATTGCATCTTCGGGGTCGGTAAGCTTGAGCTGCTTCGCGTTGTAGTATTTGTTTTCGATGCCGACATCTCCGGAATCTTCGTCGTCGTCTTCCTCGTACTCGAAGTCATACCTGTCTTGATATTAATAACAACTCTTTGCACCCCAGTCGAGAAGATCGTGATGAAGGGAAGCTCACTGCTCCTCATCCGACTCCTGCATGAAGTCTTCGTCGTCGGACATCGTGGCGGTTGGTGCTCAATTATTTGGCAAATCACAGCTTTATATGGTAGATTTCTGATGACCGTGCCGCCATAAATTATCGGGTTGAAAGAAAGTGAAGAGTAATTGATTTCGTGGTTCGTGGCGCTGGAAGTGAATGTTTAAGGCTGAGCGGTTGAAGTTGGTTTCCAGGCAGGTGCTGTTGACGGAGGTAGGGAAGGCGGGGGAGCTTATCGATTGGCGAGACCCACCAAACGCTTGTCTGATAACGCACAGACCAGGCAGGCAGGACCATGGAGGCAACTTTTTTGTTCCACTGTTCCAGCCCGTCGCATTTCTGTTCGCCATCCTCAATCATCACACTACAACATCCGTCGTCTATTCTGCTCGACGTCGCGTATCCCTCGAATTTGCTGAAAACTTCAACAAAAACCCGCGGGAAAATCCGACAAGATGGGTGGCGATCTTAATTTGAAGAAGAGTTTCCACCCTTCTCTCCTGAAGAACCAGGCCAAGGTTTGGGAAGAGGAGAAGAAGGCGTTGGAAGAGCGAAAGAAGACGCAGCAGAGGATCAATGAGCTGAAGGAGGAGCGCGCCCGCGAAGAATTGCAAAAGAAGCTCGAGGCTGCCGGACACGCCAAAAAGGTCGACCGCGTTGAATTTCTATACAGCGGCCCTACCGATGGACAGACCGGGACCACGGAAGAGCGCGAGAGCTACCTCTTGGGCAAGCGTCGCATCGACAATCTCATCAAGGGCACGGAACACAAGAATCTTGAGAAGCAGGCTGGACAAGAGAGCTTTATGGCCCTACAGACAGCCAACACGGCACGGGATACTGCTGCAAAGGTCCGAGAAGATCCTCTTCTCGCGATTAAGAAACAAGAGCAGGCTGCATACGAGGCCATGATGAACGACCCCATCAAGCGAAGGCAGCTACTTGCATCCATGGGCATCGAAGATGAGAAGAAGTCCAAATCAAAGAGGAGGGAAGACAGGCATGAGCGACACAAACGGAGACATCACAGGCATCGCGAAGATGGCTCGGACGATGAAAGACATCATAAGCGAAGACGTTCATACTCCCGATCCAGGAGCCCTCGCCGGCACAGAGGTGACACCGAAGACGAGGACAGACGTGAGAGACGCCGGCGCAGCGACTCTCAGGACAGAGACAGCCACCGACGGAGACGAGCATCCCGGTCCAGATCGCCGCGGAGACGTGAATCTGGAAATAAGGACGAATCCGACAGACGAGATCGACGCGAATACCGTGATGATCGCGAAAGGCGGCGCCAAGACCCCGGGTCAGATGAAGACCGTGCTGTGCGACGACGAGAGAGGTCACCACGAGGCTACGACAGGCGGAATGACCGCAATGCAGGCAACTCAAGCTCTAGGGGTCCTAGGCATTACGACAACCACAGGCACGACCGCGACAGAGGCCATGACAGCCGATCACACAGCAAGGTAGACGATTCGGCGGCGGATGAGGAAAGAGCAAAAAAGTTGGCGGCCATGCAAGCCGCCGCCTCTGATCTTGATACCGACCGAGACCGTCGACTGGCGGCTCTTGAGGCACAGGAGGCAGCAGCGCGCGACGCCGACAATCAGGCAAGGGAACGGTCCTCCAAGTACGGTGGTGACAGGCAGTTTGTCAACGGACTGCATCGCAAAGCCGGCAACATGGGTCTGGCGGAGAGGCTTGGGCGGGGCAGACAAGGCCTGCAGAGAGATGACGACTGAGGAGAGGATGCAGATGACCAACTTAACAGAAACAGTTCAAAGATTGGCCATGGCACTAAAATGAAGCTGTTGTGGAGTTCACGAGGCAGGCCTTCGGGGCAACTCGCGCGCGGAGGAGTGTTTTGGGAGAATGGACCTGGGTAGCACTGGCCAATGGAGGGATCGATTCTACATATGCGGACGGGAAGGCTGGAATGGGACTGAACCATAAGGGGTTTTTGGAATGGGATTCTCCCCCGCATAACGACTTTGGGTGCATGCTGCACATCATCAATAGAGCTTCAATAATTTTCAATGGTATGCAGGCAGGAGAGACATGGATAGAATACCCAACCAGAGTGACGATGCGTCATTCAAGAATAAACAAAGCACATATTCTGGCAACTACAGTTTCCACCATTTACATAGATTACGTCACGGCTGGATCGGCGAATGAGATAAACAGCAGCTATGAGCATTGATGTTCTCTCCACAACCAAAGCACTCCAGCAGCGGGAGGGCTTTTGGAGCACAGTCATCGGGCGGGCTTGGTTGTGGCGGAGGGGAGGGATGAGGGGGGCATCCGAAGCACGATGGAGCGGCAAGCCAGCGTTTGGCGGGGCGGCGAGCGTCAGAAATCCCTGGCAGTGCCTCACTACTCAATGCGGCGGGTTGCCCTGGAAGTTGGTGACTGCGACACAAGGTCTGATGGATGAGGAAGCTCGTAATGTTGTGTGTCGTCCTACATTTGGGTTCAGGGTGGTAGTCTTACTGTGATGAGGTCGTTACCTGGGTGAGGCAGTCAAAGTCATGTACGGAATTTCGGCAAGAATTTTACGAGCCAGACGGACGCAAACGGCTCCAGGTCGGAGGCCAGACGGAGTGACACGAGTCTGGGTCCTTGCACAGTCTGAGGTCTCTGGTCCCGTCAAGGTCGCCGCCGCTCTCGGGGCCTCTCAAGCTTTCGGCAAGGTGGTGGGCTGGTTGGCTGGGATAGGCCTGCTTGCTCGAGAGAGGTGGTCCTTGGTTCATGATGGGGTCAACGTTTGAGTAGTGGAGTTTGTTTGGTTTGACAATGTGTGACTTAGTAGTAGTGCCTTGGTCTGGGAGATGACGATTTGAAGGCGAATGAGTCGTATATTGCCCAGAAGTTATTGGTGGTGAGGAGGGCAAAGAAAGTGCGCGTCTGGAGGCTTAGATGAGGTGTGGTGAAACTGGGCAATCCGTCCAAGAAGGATTCGTTGAGATAGGCCGGGGGAGAAAATAGAAGACGGAGATCAGCAAACATTGAGGTCGCAGATGCGAGTAAGCTACGAGGTATAGATACACTACCTCAGCAACCACCGGCACGGACAATGAGAACGTCGGGGATTTTGGCGATGATCTGAATCTGCAGGATCTGACAAGTTGCGGAGGAGGGCCGAGAGCAGCTGAGGATAATACACGACACTATCTGTGCATGTAATGTAATGTTGCAGGAAAGAAACAACCTTGTATCTGTCATAAGACTTTGGGCGTACTAATACAACATGCCCCTCCACGCTGTCTTGCCCAGAGCGGCGTTCACGGACTGGGCCCGGGGGGGTTCTTGACGCCACCGGACTGGTGAACCAGGGGGGAGAAGGGCGAAAAAAGCCTAATCGACAATTACCACAACACAACAGATAGATACTCGATACGGATATTTTGCAAAGCTACCAGGACCTTAGTGAGATGCAACAGGGCTCTTTCCCCGTGGCGTGGCTCAGCTCGCTGGAGGGTCAAAGCCTCATTTTAGCGGGTCTTAATGAAGTCTTGTAAAACCGCGTTGGAGGTGGCAGCAGCTGAAGCTGAAATGATGATTGCTTTTTCTGAGTGTGATGTCTGCAGATGTTTGTACATTGCGGATACATCTCAGCGTTGTGATGGATATTTGTTTTAGTGCATGCAGGACGCGTGCCAATTGACTGGCGGGGAAGTAGACATACTCCACTCTGTGAACTGGGGCCTCCTGTATGTTGGTGTTAGTGATGATGATGATGACGATGATGATGCTGTGCTGTGCTGTGCGCTCAGTCAGTGACATTTTGCAGCTGGTTGCGTTCTTGCCGTCCGTCGCCTTGGCTGCCCCAGTCATTTCAACTAAGGTAAGGAGCCCCATCGTGGCAGGCGCGGCCACTTGCCTGCCTTCCAATTTACCCCCTGGGCACTTTCCACCTGGCCCCGTTGCTGCTGTTGCTCTTGCTGTTATTGACGGAGTACTGGGCGCCTACTCCTGCTTTTCAGCATCCAATTACTGCAGCCTCTCCCTTCCTCCCTCCTGCTCTATTTCTCTTTTGAGGCCCCAGCCCCGTCGCCCATACTATCTATGTACATACATAGTAGCAGGCAGCCCACCACCACAAACACCACCCAAAAGCACAGTCCCTCCTTCTCCGTCCCTTTTTTAACCAACCTGGACCTGGCAAGAGTGACTAACCCGGCCTTGCCTTGCTTGTTCCTGCTGTTTTTTCTCGGCCCCATTCTACGGGCCCCTTCTGACTCCATCTCCGCCAATTGAGCAGCGTACCTTTTTCCAACCAATTTCCCACAGCGGCAGTCCCCATCCATTGTCCCCAATCCTAATCCAACCCAAATCCAATCCCAATCCCGTCTCCATTCACTAGGGGCACTTTCCTCTGCAGATACATCCTACTAGCTGTCACTCCTGCACCTGCCTTTCACTTTACGTCTCTTTTTCGACTTTGCAGGCTTGCATCCAGGTAGTGCACTTTGTTGCACTCGCAGTCCCACAACGCAGCGTGCCTTCCCTCCTTGTCCCCGCTCATCCTCCTCGTTCCTTCCCTCCCGCGCTACCATTCAATTTACTCCCTTCCTAAGTCTATCGCCTGAGCCCGTTGTCCCTTCCGCCTTTGGCCTTTGTCCGTTTCCTTTTGCCGTCGCACACCGGCCCAGAGCACAGCCGCAAACAACAACTACCCCGTCCGGCTTCTCTTCCCCTTGCTACCTCTGACGAACCACAACTTGCCAACCCCCCGATTGACGATCACCAGCAAACAAACGTTGCTTTCTTCACAGGACCGCCTGTCCCTGTATCGCTCCAGCTTGCTCTCACCATCCCTTTAGCAAACCTCACACTCCTCAACCCTTACGACACCTACCAGCCCACCAATCTCACCCACCATGCCCTTGTGCGGAGGTTCTAAGACGGTTCAGCGCAAGCTGGTCCTACTGTAAGACCAACCGGCGGTTCCCCCCTTGTTGGTGTCGCTTGGCTGCGACGTGTGGACTCTGGCTGATTGATTTGATACCTGCAGTGGTGATGGCGCGTGCGGCAAGACATCGTTGTTGAACGTCTTTACCAGAGGGTAAGTCCGACGCCGCCTGGCCTTTCTTTCTCTCTCTCACTGGCTCTCGCTGGAAGAGCGGGCTTGCCTCTGTATTTGATGTTTCTTCTTGCTGACCCAAAATAGCTATTTCCCGACTGTCTACGAACCCACCGTTTTCGAGAACTATGTCCACGGTACGCGACACTTCTCTCCTTTTGCGTTCTGGCGCCCGATACCTCGTTTTCCCTATCGAACATGTTGCTGATGTAGGGCTCATAGACATCTTCGTCGACAATGTACACATCGAGCTCTCGCTCTGGGATACCGCTGGTCAGGAGGAATTCGATCGCCTTCGTAGCTTGTCTTATGGTAGGAACAATCCCCGCCCTCGATACGAGGTTCTTCGCTGACTTGGGCGTAGACGACACCGACCTCATCATGCTCTGCTATAGCGTCGACAGCAAGGACTCTCTCGAGAACGTCGAGAGCAAGTGGGTCGGCGAAATTGCTGACAACTGCCCCGGTGTCAAGCTAGTTCTAGTCGCCCTGAAGTGCGACCTTCGCGAGTCCGACAACGAGGAGGAGGAAGGCGCCGAGGGCCAGCAACGTGAGAAGCGCCCCATGATCAACTACGAGCAGGGATTGGAGGTTGCTCGCCGCATTAATGCCCTCCGCTATCTTGAGTGCTCCGCCATGCGCAATCGCGGCGTCAACGAGGCCTTCACCGAGGCCGCCCGTGTCGCCCTCAGCGTAAAGAAGGACCGCGAGGAATCCAAGTGCACTGTCATGTAAGCGCCAGCGACACTATTCCGATTCGATTGTCATTTCGACCTTCCATGTTCTCCTATCGACCCTCTACATTCACGACACTATCGATCGGGCGGACCTTGTTTCGGACTGGATCGGAATACCAATTTTCACTTTTGCACTTTGAAGGCGTCGGCGTTCCCACGGATTGGACCTTACACCCCCTCATGTTGCCCCATTCACATCATTACGTCCTTTATTGCAGCCCGTTCAGCTCTTTGGGCAGACGCTACTCTACTTCGCCTTCGACCACTACACGGACTTGTGGCTCGACATGACGTTCTCGATACCTATTGGGTATCGTCTGCTTTTGAGCACAACTGTAAATACCCCTTTTCGATTCTCAACGCATATATGGTACGGGGAAGGTTTTGTTTCCTTTGTCTCATCGTAAATTATGTATACAGGCGGGCCGCATGGCTAGGAGGCATAGCATGCTAGGCGGAAGGAGGTTGCACATGCACATGGTCTGGCTAGATTCCTCAGATGGGAGAATAGCAGCAGTCAGTCCGTCTTTTACTTTTCTTTGGCCTGTACAAGCAAAAGTTCTTAGCCTAGATGATGCTTAATGAAACGCCCATTCAACAATCTGTCATCCACTCTTTGATAAGGACCCCCATCTCACGTCTCCGGTCTCCGACATCTTGGTAACTCAAGATATGAAGTTTGATCGTCGGCAGGAGCGATCGCCAGCAAGGAATCATCTGGACCCTGGTCGGAAAAGTAGCATCAAACTGATTCCTCATGTCTGCCCGGTCAGAGTTGGACAACAAGAAATGGATATGAGTGGTATTTGCCAGGTGTCAGGTTAGAGAATTGCCATCACGCTCCTAGGGATATCCCCGACTGGACTAACTCTCGAAGCGCAGACGGTCCTGTTGCAATCGGACTGGGGAAGCGGAAAATCAGGGTCCAGCCAGCAGCCACTTTTGCTGGTGGTTAGAACCCTAGCCCAGGGCGGGCTGAAAAGACAAATCTTACACAGCCGTGCCGTTACGCCTCCCTAGTCGTCCAGTCCGTTTTGTGAGAGGTCGTGGCTTTGGGTTTTAACATCTTTGTTCCCATTGTTAAGTCAGAGCGGGTGCAAAGGCTATGATTTCAGGACATCGAAAACGGCTCACAAAATGGTCTGGAGGGTACGGATGCGGTCAGCGCCCTTTCAGCCATCCTTGAGCAGTTGACATGCTTTATTACATGTAATCCTCAGGTTCTCACCGACACCTACTAGACGACATTCCTCTGCCAGCGCTGACTATTCCTGTTGCTATGTTATCGCTACCGCATTGGTGACTTAACAATGAAAGGACAATACGGTATCACGCCAAAATGTCACCGTGTCAAATTCATCGAATGCGATGTAAAACGAGCAGTCTTGCTGGGGTTGGAAATTTAGTTGTGGCCAGCCAATTCATTTTCATTTACCTCGCTAGTCGTACAAAATCTGCTTTCCAAACTCCGAAATACACAATCGCTAATGAAACACACACAAATATGTCGGTACTAACACACCCAAATTGGAAGGTATTTTAAGCCGCTCAGTCTCAACTCCAGTCTTGTGTCTTGTTTCCGGTTTAACCCTGTTTCCGGTACACCACGGCGTGTGCCATGGACATCTGAATTAAGCATGAAGAAGAAAGGAAAATAATCAACGGAATCAAAATGTGTCTCGTTTATGGAACGGCATTTAGTCGCCGTGGCCTGGAAGTAGTTAGCGTCGAAGGACATGGAGGAAACGCAGGGTAAGAGGTAAAAAAAAAACTTACGACCAAGAGCCTTGCCGCGCTTGGAAACCTCGCGGGCATGGTACTGCTTAATCTTGGCCCGTCTGGCCTCCTCGCGCGCCTCCTCCTCGAGCCGTCGCACCTCGGCCCTAGCGGCAGCGACACTCTCCCTGGCGGCCATCAGTGCGCGGTCGGCCTCTTTCTCGGCGGCCTCTGCGCCCATGACGCGCTCGCGGGCGTGCACGATGCTGGGATCCATCTCAACGGAGCCTCCTGCGCCGCCGAACTTGTGGAGCAGACCACGACGGCCGGAAGAGGCGTCCGTGGATCGGCGGAAAACGCCGCCGCCTGCCCCGTTGTGGTTGTGGCGACCATCTGGGGAGGTGTGGTACGTGGTTGACGAGAGCGAGGAACGAGAAGTGGTGGATGTGCGTGTTGTGGGAGTGGGGGAAGGGTCACGGCGCGAACCAAAAAGTCCGTGTTTGCGAGGGGGGTGCTCGGCGACGGGCTGGTGGACGACGGGTTCCGGCGAGGGCTCCCGGCGGGAACCGAAAAGGCCGTGCTTGCGGGGTGGCTCCTGAACGGGGTGGTGAACAGTGGGCTCCGGGGAAGGGTCACGGCGGGACCCGAAGAAGCCTCGACGTTCCGGGGGTGGTGGGGTTGGTTCCCGAACTGGCTCGGGGGAAGGTTCGCGACGGCCGCCTCCGAAGAATGGCATTGTTGAGGGTGGAAAAAAGGGTTAGGGGACAAGGGTGGCTTGGTGGGGGAAAAAAAAAGGCTTGTTTTTGGCTCTTTGAGTCTTGGGATTGCGTGGATGCTTACGACTGAAAGCTTGGGATGCTGGGTAAGTCGGATAAGTAGTTTCTCGGCGAGGAGGATATGGGGTTATATCTAAGTCTCCGTATCCCCTCCCAGCCCGTCATGCCATTATCATTGATGACTTAGCTAGCCTTCTGTTGTGCTATTCACCGCTGGTGCAAACCACCACCGTGCCGAGACCTTGACCAACGTATTGTTGGCAAGCGATGCTGCACAATGATGCCAAGATGGGCACTCGTTTCCTCTTCCTTACCACGAATGCCAGCACAACCGACTAACTGCATCAACGGCGTCCAGAGTCTTGAGCTGTGCTACCCCAAACCTGTTTGCTGGTGATCGGCGGCTGAGATCACCATGGCTAATGACGTCAGGGGACAAGAGGTAAGCAGCGGTCGCTCGAGGTCAGCTGGCCAATGAGAGGCGGACATGTCGGCAACCCAACCCTTTTTGGCAGGACCCCTAGATTTCTCCAGTCTCCGAGAGGGCGCTTTTGGGGAATGGGTCATGCAGGGTCTTGTTCAGGAATGTCTTGTCCGTCGTCTTCCTGCTTCCGAGACTTGTTGGTGGGTGGTGCTCAGATGACAGGGGTCTGTAAGGGGAGGTATTGATTATGACATCGTACATGTCTCTTGTGGAAGAGGAGCAATGCTCGACGAGATTTTGAAAGGGGCAGTGCTGAGAATGCAAGGGGTCGTATTGGTGAGCCTTGACGGCTCATCGGGCAGCGGGCATCAGCTAGTCAGACCCTGATCGTGTGCTCAGTTGCTCAATGATCTGGCTGGCTCCTCCGTCGTCTGAGACTGGCTGGTTTCTAACGGTCGGGATTTTGTAATTGCAAGAGGCTAAGTTGGACCGTTGACGCTGTGGCTTGGGGTATGGCGTTGTGGTTGGACAACGGCCGTCATTGCACGGTGGTCTTAACGGGTGGCATTCTCCGTTCTCCGCGGACACGCACAAACGGCAGACGTGACGGTGGTCTTAATACGTTGACCGGCCTATCTGTGATATTGGTTGCGGTTACAACCGGGGTGGGCTAAATGTTGCAGGAGACATAGCCTGAAGCTTAATCTGACCATGTTCGCGGGGAATCCGTTTTGACCAAGGTCAGATTGGTGCTGTTTCCTGCTGGATGTCGACGCTGCCCTGAATATCTTGCTGAAGATCATATTCTGGGGCCGGTTGCAGCGGATCATGGAGGGTCTTGATGGTACTTGCCATGGCCGAGACTTTGAGGTTATGCCTATATTTGGAGCGCTCGTGTAGGTGAGTATAGTCGCTTAGTCTCATTGATATTGCTTGTTGCGATTGTTAAGTGGATGCCTCTCTGCTCTTGATTTTTGGCATCCTTGCTAGTGAAAGCTGAGTACCATTATAGTCTCTTTCTTCGGCAGACCTTGGCCATGTTCCCTTATGCTTACGAATCTACTATATGGGTGTAGGTAACAGTTCGGTTATGTGCCGAAGCTCAGTATGACTGTCTTCTCCTCGGGTGTTGATCATCTATCATCAAAAGAAGAGATAGGGAACGCTCCTCACACTCAATTCCCATACATCTTCAAGCGGACTGAAAAAGCCTGTCTCTTGCGTGAATTATGAAACAATTAGACACAATTACACTGGAGGCTTTCAAATTTGTGACACTAATATAGTGACCTAAACTTTGAGCTGATGCTAAGGTGCTTCCGAACTGTCCTGGAGCAGATAACCGCATGTTTAATTCTGTCGTACGACTACCCGAGCTATTTTGTTCGAGCTTGGATTGGATTAGACCAAGAAACCCTTTGCATTGATAATCCGCCGCGAAAGCTTCAAAGTTGCATTCGCTCGGCGCCATCACAGCCAGTCAGCTGCAAGCATATCATCATTTGCGACTTGCAGCGTCGTTACCTCAACACCCAATCGGCAACATCAGCGAATACAGGCAGACCAATGACGAACATGCCAGCGTGCGTATCGCTGCACCCCTGGATTGGCCGAATGCTGGGTCAATCTCGGATGTAACTCAAGGGTGAACGTCACTTGATGACACCTCGAAACATCCTCTGTAAAGATGGAATTCGACTTCTTATTCCTAAGAAAACGCTGGAGTAAGTCGTAATTGAACGGCTTCAATTCGATGAGGCGTCGAGCTGATACTAGGCGATTTGGGGGATTGGTGCTGGGAACAATTCTAAAACGCGGTACTCGACAGGTAAGGCGACATGAATAGCCCTGAGAACGAAGGTAGTAGAAGTATAGTTCTAATTATTACTCGTTCTGGTGCTACATAGATTCGTAGTCAGAACTGAAGACAACATTGCGAAGCTTCTGACTGGGTATATGCTCGCACTCTTTCCCCTCCTTAAGAAAATTAACCGGTCTAAATAGTGCCATTACCGCACCGTTTATTTAGGACTTGGCAACACCCTTCTCAAGCTTGCTCTCCTCTGGCTCCTTCCTGTCCCAGGCCATCCATGCGAGCGCAATGATGAACTTCACAGCGCCGGAGATCCAGAGAGCACCGGGCATGCCAGCACGGCTCCTCTGCAACCAACCACCAATGATTCCTCCCAAGACAAGCAGGACGACGGCCAGGAATCTTCTGTTTCTCTTGGGGTTCTCCTTGAGCGGCGCGAGCAACTTGGGGTCAGACAGCAAGTCGCAGTAGACACTGGTCAGAACATTGGTGGGGACCTCGTTGAAACCCAGGATTCTGCTTGTGACGATCTGACCTCCGAACTGGAAGGCAAGAAGGGCGAGGGGAACCATTACTATGGGGTTCTCGGACGTCTTGAACTCGTGGTTGGACTCGGATCCCTCCACAGAAGCAAGTCCGAAGTCGGCGACAACACGCGTCTGGGCGAAAGCGGCGGCGAGAAAGATGAGGCATGCCTGGAGGATGAAGGACAGCGCGAGGGTGCTTCTGCGCTTCGGGTGGATGTGTCTCGATTTAGAAAAGAAGAAGCAGCCGAGCCAGAACGCCGCGATAGAGCTCAAAGACTTGAGCCAGAGCAGAGGCTCGCCAGCAGGCAGGCGGGAAGCTCCAAGGGCCATGAAGATGGTGTTACCTATGTTTGGTCAGACGGACGCCACCTCCCAACAATCATCTGACAAACTCACCAGTCTGCATACTGACAAACACGCCAGCGGCATTCACTGCCACGCTGTCGCACAATCCGGAGACCAGGCAGCAAGCAAGGACGGGAATGTCAGTGTATCGAACATTAACATCGTCACGAAGCCAATCGATGACACCTCGCTTCGACTGAGGGGTGCGCACTTCATTGCCGGCATCGGTATCCGACGAGTCTGCGACCCGGACGGCGTTGTCTGCGCTCATGTTGATGACTACACAGGTTGCCGGCCAATGTTTGTTACTTGGGTCAGTGTCGTTGTGGCGTGCCTTGTGAGTCTTGTAGTTTGCTCCTGATATCGGCGGCCTCTTTGTGGTCCGTCAATATTGTTGTTGGAATGATGAGGTGATCAATAAGGACCAGGGAGCGCGAAAGCGAAGGGGGTTCTAGGCCATTATATGAATGGGTGCGGCAAAAAAACTTGATGCCGCATGCCGCGGGCTCGTCTAAAGACTTCAAGGGTTGGCATTGCGTTATCGCGTCTAGGCATGTCGTGTTGCGATTTGACAGGGCGAATTTGGCACATTTGGTATGACTATTACCCCTCGGGTAAGCGTACTGTCTTAGAGAAGCCCACTGCCGCGTAATCGGAACCGCGCGAGGGTGTGGTCAAGGCGACCATTGGGGGGGGGGGATAACCTGACTAATTACCTACTTATTTTGTGATTTATGGGGCTACCCTGAGATCAGCTGACTATGGTCAGCTAGTTAGCTATGGTCAGGTTGAAATTCCTTAGCGTGGTTTGAAACCTTACCCTTGATATACTTTTTATAAGAACATTCGACATTTAAACGCTTCTAAATCCGTTCCGAATCGATTTACAATGGCTTTTTAATCGATTGAAAATCTCTTCCCTCGCCTAGAAGGAATAAGTCCTCTATTAAAACCTACTAGTCTTGATATAGAAGCTAAAGAAGACTTAAATCTTTACTATCAACTACCAGCCCAGGCCCAGTCTGGCTTACTAGTAAATGAGGAGGTAGGGATATATAAGAACGACTTTGGAATTAGTTCTAAATCGATTCAGGATCAACTCGAAACCGATTCAGAAATACCTCCAACACTTGTTTCATTAGAAGCAACCCGTTCTAAGTATAATAGCCTCAAAGATGTTCATGTACTTGCTCAAAAAGTAATCTTTCTACCTACATTTATAGAATATCCAGAAACAAGTAAGAATGGAGTCCTTTATGTTATTAATATAAAGACTTTAAATAAGGAAGATATTAAATCGCTTTAAAAAATAGTAAATAAACTATTTTTAAATCGATCTAAGATCGATCCTAAACTATTTTAAAACTAATTATATTATAGATTTAGTATAACTATACTTAGTAATTCTTATTAAAATAGACGACTTTAGTATTTTTTTAAAATACTATTTATTTATATTTAACTTATACTTATATAAGTAGAAAAGCATACTTTTATTTCGATTAAAATCTTTTATACTAGAAGTATTAGAAAGTTACCTTAGAAATCTTATAAAGTATTAAAATATTATGAATAGAGGTATTATAGTATAATCTTAAACGGAAAGTAGTTTCGTAAATATTTAGAATCGATTCTGAATAGGTTTAGAACCTTTTTAGAAATAATATAACGTACATGATAAGCGAGTGAGACAGACAAGCGAGTGAGACAGTAAACCAGACCTTCGCGACAATAATATCGAAATCTATAACAAGAAATCTTAGATTGATTAATACTACTCGGATTCCTGTTCTTCGGATGTTTCCTCAATAAATTGACATGTTCTCGCGTTGTGGCCTGTATTCCCGCATACGCCACACCGACGATGAGTCGTCTCAGACCTCACTTTGCGACCACTACTCCGTCGCGTTTCCTCTTGTAGTTGCGTGTCTGCCTCTCTTTGCGACTGTATATCCTCTCCAGTAGATATAGTAAGACTTCCTCCTTTCTGTAGACGTGTTTTCTTAGCCCTTCGACGCCGACTTAATATTGCATTCTCCTCTCGAAGGATTTGAACCTCTGACTCTAGTAATGCTACCCGATGCCCTAGTCCTTCTGTCCCTCTGGCTAGCTTACTCACAGCACTATAAATTGATGCTGGAGAGCTGCTTCGGTGGCGTGAGATTCGACTCTTAATAAAAGTAGACTGTGATCTTGCTTCGCTTGGGTTGCTCGGCGTCCTAGAGATCCAAGGGTCTGGTGTCTGAGGGACCCCCTCCTCAGGCGTTGGCGTTCGGAACTTTACATCCAGCTTTGAGAGAACACTTTCTGCATTCAAAGGGACAAGTCCAGCTCCTCGGAAACCTCCCTGGATATTTTTCCTCGTAAAAGACTGCTTAAAAGCTTCGTGAAATGCTGCAAAGAAATCTTCCTTCGAGATATGGGTTGTGCCTCGCCGCATCTTATTCTCAATTTGCCGACCGTAGGCATTCTTTAACGGCTGAAAACAACCAACATCTAAGGGTTGAAGTAGATGAGACGAGTGAGCCGGCATGCACAGTGTAATAATGTTGTTTTCTTGACAAAAGAGCTCGAAGGCTGCGGAGTGGTGACTTTCATGACCATCAACAACGAGGAGGCGATATTTCCCAGACGTACGTGGTTTTGTATAAATGTCGAAGTGTCTGATCCAGTCAATACCTCTCTCGTTTGTTGTCCATCCATTTTCAGACGTTGCAATAGCCCAATCGCCCGGAAGAGAGGTTTCTGTATACCAGCTTGAGAGGTGATACTGGCCTGCAACGATGATGTATGGCGGGATGCTCTCCCCTTGGGAATTAATAGCCTGGATAACTGTAACCCATTCCCTATTGCCAGGCTGTGTCATCTTCGTATTTGAACGCCTTTCAGCACTTGTAACAACCATTCCAGAAGCAATAACGCCCATCATAAAGCCGGTCTCATCAAAGTTGTAGATATCAGCATCAGCAATACCATACTTCGCAATTGTATTCTTCACAAGCGAAAACCAGCCACGAATCACCTCTGGATCTTCGCATTGAGCTCTCTTATAGTCATACTTGCGAAAGAAACGCGTCCTAAGCTGTGGTTGTCGCTTGACGAAATTAGAAGCCCAGCGCTTCCCAACTGGAGGCGCGTCGCGCTCTGCGAGAAGTCGATTGGCCATTTCTTCCACACCACTCAGCCGGGGAGGAAATGATCGCGCATCTAGGTCGAGAATATACTCAACTATTGTCTTCTCTTCTAAATCTGATAAATTCCGTGAATTAGGCATGCTGTCGCGTCGTGAGACTATTCCCTTTAGTCGCCGGCTTAATGTTGCGTGACTGACTGTATAGAGTGCACCTGCGGCCCGAGCACTAAGTTTTGGGTCATTTCTCATTGCTTGAAGGGCAATTTGTAACCTTCTTTCAATACTAGCTGATTCCATGATTTATTGTAGAGGAAAAGGTGCCGGTCGCGTCAAGGTGCGACGGTCGCGGTTTACTGTCTCACTCGCTTGTCTGTCTCACTCGCTTATCATGTACGTTACTAATACTTATAAATAGATAAGTATAAGCATAGATAAAACGTTTTTAATAATATATTACCTACCGACTATTTATAAAAAGATATAGTCTTAAAATAGTTAATATAAAGTATAAGGTAAAAAGCTTTTCTAAATAAATTAAGAATTAATTTAAAACTAATTCGGAATTACTTTAGTATATTTTAAGAACTTCCTAGATTATAGCCTACTATATCTACTAGTTATAAAGTCTTTAAAGAGAAAACTATTATATTAGCTTTCTTCTAATTAAATTCTAGCTATATTTACTTTTAATTAAAACTATACTTTAAAAAGGAAGTATAAAAGAAAGCTTCCTTATTAATAGCTATTATCTTTTTATTAGTAATAAGAAGAGAATTATACGATATAGTACGTAAATTAATATCGAATCGATTCTAAATAGGTTCCTAACTAATTCTAAATTAATCTAGATGCTAATTATATCGTTCCTAAAATAATTCTTTAAATTATATATTTAATAAAATAAAACTTCTAAGTCTTACTTAATTTAGAAGCTATCTTAGTTATTCTTCTAACTTTTTATAAGGTTTATTTATATCTACTACTACTACTAATTAAAGCCTTAGCTAGTATTATATCTAGGTTATAATAAGTAGTCTAGAAGATTAATTAACTTAGAACGGGGTTAAGTAAGAATCCTTTTAAAATCGTTTCTAAACCGATTTAGAACTAATTTAGTATTAATTCTAAATATATTCTTATAATCTTATAAACTTTAGGAATTCTATAATACTTATAATAGCTAGACTATTATAAGCGTTTATTAAAGTCTAGTAAATATAGACTTCTTATACTTAATTATTTATAAATAAGAAGTAATTAGCTTCCAGTAGGCTGTTTATGTTTAGCGATTTGGTATGAATACCAGTATGCTTAAACTAGGCGTTAAATTCGAGTATAAAGTGATTCTGAATCGGTTCTAAGCAGGTTCAATACTAATTTACTTATAGTATATTCAGTACTTTAATAATAACGGCAATACATACCTATATATTATATTTTATATAAAGCAAGCTGAATTATGGAAGAAAGAGGCTTTTAATACTTTCCAGGTAGATACAAACTATAAACATCTAGCTGGAAAGGAGGAAGTTGAGGTTATTTGGGGATGGTATAATTCGATATCTTCGAAAGGTGCGTAATCGCTTCTAAATCGATTTAGAACGGATTCTTAACAGATTCCTAACTATTTTAGCAATTCCACTTATCCGAGTTTTTACCAATTCTGAAAGTACAGAAATGTATCAGCAGATGTATACAATTGTGTTTAAACTACTTTATAAGAAATTTGGATATAAAGTCAAGTGGAAACACCTTCATGGTAGGGGTCTACTAGGTATTACAGTTGATCAAGACCATAAAAACCTTATTGGTATGGGTTCTTAATAGTTTCTAAACCGATTTAGAACCGATTTATAACTAATTATCTAGGGTTTAGGAAATATCTATCTCTAGAATGTAACCTAGAGCATAGACCATGGGCATGGCAGGTTGAACGCTCTGTACGCTTCTGTTTAATTTATTTCTAACGAGGGATTGAGGCATACTGTATAGAAGACCGTAGCCTTGACTCTCTATGGAATTAAATGCGTAGCCTACTATTCTGCCGTTCCTTAGAAGACTACTTTGCTTTATGTTAGGCATTTGAGAGTAAGGATTAATTCTATATCGCTTCCGAATCGCTTTAGAATTACTTAGGA